TCCTGAAGGCTCTGTCAACCCCGCCCTCCAACAGCGCCAGCGGCTCCTCCGCCATCAAGGGTCTGGCCCACATCACCGGTGGCGGTCTGGTCGAGAACGTGCCCCGCATGCTTCCTTCGACCCTCTCGGCACACATCAACGTCTCCGCCTGGCAACTGCCCCCGGTCTTCTCCTGGCTCAAGAAAACCGGCAACGTCACCGCCACCGAGATGGCGCGCGCCTTCAACTGCGGTGTTGGCATGGTCATCGTGGTCGAGAAGGGATCCGAGGCCGCCGTCAAAGAACTCTTCAAGAAAGAGGGTGAAGTCGTCTACCAAGTCGGTGAACTCAAGCCCCGCCAGGGCGGCGAGGAAGGCTGTGTACTTGAGGGCTTACAGACCTGGGATGCTTGAAACTGCTTCTGAAAACCAAAAGAATTCTTTCCCTTTCTTTGTTACATACTATATCTCATGACATGCTCTCTGAAAAACCTTTTTTTTTTCCCTTTTTGATTATCTATATTTTTGTTTGACGACAACTTGACTTGCCTACTACATAAGTGATGACGAGGGATGAATGTCAATAACACCTTATGTTGGGTGGAATGCACTTACTTATAGAATGAATACAAGCAATACCCACACGTCTATATACTCCTCAAGTACACCTACTGAGATTCTAGGCCTGATATCATGCGATAAACTGCCAACCACCGTCGGTGACTGCTTTCTGGTAGGCACAAGAGCTAGGCTGTGACATCATATTATAGAACAGACTACAAGACGTACCTCTGTGCTCTCTACAGGACTAGCAGGAGCCATGCCAGCAGCGAGGAGCCAGGTTCTCTAGCGATAATTGGAGTTGAAGACAAAGAGCAGGCCGGAGACCAGAACATCAATCGGGTGAAAATGGGAAGCAATAGGATTCAAACAGGCGCTGAACTATACGAGAACTGTCACCGCACTGTCCACAAGACCCCATGTACACTCCTTCTACACTGCTCCCTTTTATCGGCTCTCACTACTCCTTCTGGCCACATTCCGTGAGCCGTCCGAAATTGCCGGTACACCGAGCAACAAGCATATCAATGGTAAACCCATCTCTATTTCACAACTAATATAAAAAATTCCTTTTCCAGGCAATCTTTTCCTCATAGTGCGAGTAGAGAAGGCCTGCATGTCACCATTCCCTCCATTCCGGTCTTTTGATACAACGGGACAGTACGAGCGAAGAAAAAACCAAATGCAAGAGCTGTAACCCGGTCAGCTTAGTGTCATGGAAAATTCAAGAGAATAATGGAGGAACACCGTCATACCTTAGAAGCACTTGCGGTGAACGATCGAAGGACCGCTCTCGTCGTACTCCTGCTTGGAGATCCACATCTGCTGGAAGGTGGACAGGGAGGCCAGGATGGAACCACCAATCCACACAGAGTATTTACGCTCAGGAGGAGCAATGATCTTGACTTTCATAGATGAGGGAGCAAGGGCGGTGATTTCCTTCTGCATACGGTCGGAGATACCGGGGTACATGGTGGTACCACCAGACTAAAGAGAGGAAGAAAAATAAGCACACAGTTGAAAGAAAAAAGGACGGCATGAGCCGAACAGAAAGGCAAGAAGGCTTACCATGACAATGTTACCGTAGAGATCCTTACGGACATCGACATCACACTTCATGATGGAGTTGAAAGTGGTGACGTGGATACCGCCGCTTTCCAGACCCAGAACGCTAGGCTGGAAGAGAGCCTCAGGAGCACGGAAACGCTCGTTACCAATGGTGATGACCTGACCATCGGGAAGTTCATAGGACTTCTCCAAGCTGGAGCTCTGGGAGGCAGTCTGAATCTCCTGCTCAAAGTCGAGAGCGACGTAGCAAAGCTTCTCCTTGATGTCGCGGACAATTTCACGCTCAGCGGTAGTGGAGAATGTGTAACCACGCTCAGCCAGGATCTTCATCAGGTAGTCCGTCAGGTCGCGACCAGCCATGTCGACACGGGAGATGGCGTGGGGGAGAGCGAAACCCTCGTAGATGGGGACAACGTGAGTGACACCATCACCAGAGTCCAGGACAATACCGGTGGTACGACCGGAAGCGTAGAGGGAGAGAACGGCCTGGATGGAGACGTAGAAGGCGGGAGCGTTGAAGGTCTCGAAGACAATCTGGGTCATCTTCTCACGGTTGGACTTGGGGTTGATGGGGGCTTCGGTCAAGAGGACAGGGTGCTCCTCAGGAGCGACACGGAGCTCGTTGTAGAATGTGTGATGCCAGATCTTCTCCATGTCATCCCAGTTTGTGACAACACCGTGCTCGATGGGGTATCTGAGGGTGAGGATACCACGCTTCGACTGTGCCTCATCACCGACATACGAGTCCTTCTGGCCCATACCAATCATGATACTGCGTTGGAATCGTCAGCGACCATGACTCGAGCTAGCGCAACAGCCGAGAATTAGGAAAGGGGGAATTATTTACCCATGGTGACGGGGACGACCGACAATGGAGGCTATCTCGCAAGTTAGCGTTTAATTGTCCAAATTAAGCTGTCGTGCACGATGATTCAGGGAGAGGAAACCGCCAGTAGGGGAATAGCCACCCGACGCAAGGGCAACGGTTGACACATCTCCTGGCGACAACCTGCACAGTGACATCAAGGGATGACATGTGGTAGGAGGGGTAGACTCGAATGTTTAGCATTATGGGGTGAGGGGTTGACTTACGGAAGACAGCACGGGGAGCATCGTCACCGGCGAAACCGGCCTTGCACATACCCGAACTACGAACCAAGCGTCAGTACGAGATACGAAATATTGTGTTCATCATCTCAAGAGCATTTTCTCGCTGCGTTGAATAGAAAGAAACCCAAGGGAAGCACTCCGTGAGAGACAACCGATGCCAGCGCTGGAAGGTGCCAAAGGCGCCAGTTGAGCGACCGAGAGCTCGGACGGTCAGGAGGCTCAGAAGCGGGACTCTTTGGATAAACAACGCCCAAGTCGAGAGAGAACCATCAATGATGCTGAAGATAAAAAACATACCCATTGTCGATGACGAGAGCAGCAACTTCTTCTGTAAATTGGAAAGATGCAATTATCAGTAGTTGTTCGCTATGTGGGTGTAAAGCAAGCGAGCAGGAGGGGTGGAACGGGGGGTTGTTTGGTGGCAGGGAACCCAAGCAAAGCTGTTGAGGTGTCAGAAACCACGTACCTTCCATGTTGACAGAAATAGGATTAAGACGAAAACTACAGAGAAGAAAAAAAGAAAATTAAAGAGAAGAGAGAGAGATATAGACTGATGGAGGGGAAAACGAGATAGAGGGGAGGTGGATGGAAAGTTGAGTTTGAGTACGTAAGTTGGGAAAGGTTGTTGTGTAGGGAGGGAGAGAAGTTCGAAGTAGGGGGAGAGAGGAGAGAGGAGAGCGAGAGAAAGGAAGATAGCTAGCTGGCTGGCTGGCTGGCTGGGTTAGCGGTAACCGTAAGTAACTTTGTAAGGTGGTGGTATTGGTCGGGGCGGAGGAGAAGGAGAAGGAGAAGGGAGAGAGAGGGGACTAAAAGGGAGTGGACTAGTGGGTGCTGTGGTGGGCTGCGACTGGTCCAAGAAAAGAAAGCGAACAGTCAAGAGGCTTAAAGTCCACCCAATCTTAGTAGTCTTTCTTTGCTAAGATTATTGTTATGTCGATGATGATGATGATGATGATGTTTGGTTCTTTAACCAGACAGTTGTAACGACTATGAATCGTCTTGACAGTGATGATGTTGGTGCTTGGATAAGAGGCAAAGAGGGTCGTCGGGTTTGTTGCCGCTTCGTATAGGAGGCCGTCCACCGCCACTGGTATTTATACCTTAGCTACAGAGAGATCGAGAAGAATATTCAGCACTACAAAAATGATGCCTATTTGAAGTTGAATTTATCATAATCACATAGACTAATGCTAATTGTTCCAGAATATTGCTGCCTCTCATGATGATGCGGCTGCTGATGAATGATGGCTCGGTAGACCAAGTCGTCAATGCCGTACTCCGTAGAAGTCGAGAAATCCTAAGGCAGAATCATTTTGACACTCGTCCTGGAGAAAGCATTTGAGCACAGTGAGTGGTAACGCTTAGGTGGCCTTTCACGAGGCCAGGAGGATGGCAAAAACAATTGCGCATGCTTCGTGGGGCTGGTCCCTATCCAAGAACCAGAAATTGATGTTCAATGCCTCAATGATCATAATCGGAAGCCTGGGAATGGTTCCTCCTGTCACTGGGCGGACCAGAGAAAGGGTTCATCCTCGTCCCATAAGCTAGATTACTTACCAATCATCGTATCCTCCTGGATGATGATCCTAGGCTTCCACATACCATTCATTATAATATGGAGGTACTCTTCTATATTCGAATCTATTGGGATGAATGGCCATCGCAATTGCTACAGAACCCTATTGCACGTACTAGTATTGGTTATTCTCTTGATTCTCTACCAGAACCCTGTAAGATTAGGTCCCGTCATAGTAGTCCATCACTGCGGAAGCATCAGCCAGATGGTCTACGGTCTACAAACATATGTACAATGGTAATACGGAATAGTCTCCGGACTCATTGTTATTACCTTACTGACTCCATGTGCATGAGTGCCTGATTGATCCGTCTTAAATGTCAATGATCTTCTGTATTCTCCTATCATCTTGAAGAGACGGAGACCTGGTTCTGGGCTTACCATTCTCACCTCACCGCCTTTTGGGAGGACTCCAGATCCTCCATAGACCAGGGGGCAACATTGAGATTCATATGCATCTAGTACACACTATTACTTGAGAAGACTGGAGAGGCACAGTCAAGAAATCTTCTTCGGATTCCAAGGTTCAAGACATTGCACTCAGAACAGCTGGTGACCATATCAGCTTCCAGCCATATCTCATCGCGGGGTTAAGCGGCGGATGGCGGGGCAGCTTCTAGAAGAGCAAGTTCTAAACAGCCATCACAGCGTCCTATATCAATGATTCACAGCTAAGGTATACTGTTGATCTTGAAACTATGTCCTCAAATGCCAATCCCAAACGTAGAATCGCCCTTAAAAATCACTCTGTCAACTATTCTTTTCTTACTGGGCTCGTGCGGTGTGTGTGGGAGTGGAAGCGGGTGGAACGTCCATGAACCATCTCGATTCGTCAGAACAGTACCGCCGCCCATCTACAGAGGTATTCCAAAATAGAGCGATAAGAAAAATTATCTGTGACACATTTTCTCCGTCATAAAGATTACATTATATTCAATTTCATTCAGTCGAATTTCAATCTAATATCTGAATTCATCGTCTTCATACGTCAATTGCTATATTTGGAGCACACTCTCCGGGAACCGCAGTTTTCAATCCTTGAGCAAATCACTTTCAGACCATCACCATGGACCCCAACATGAACAATCTCCTCAAATGGAGTATCGAGAACTCGACCTCAGCTCGGCAGGCCGGCGATTCCAATGACGCTGCTCCCGCCCCTACCTCTCGCAGCAATCTGAACCCTGAGCTGCTCTCTGCTCTGTTTGGAGGCCCCTCAGATGCCGACCTCATGAAAGCCGCCATGGAAGCGCTGCACTCGGACGAAGTCGATCTCGAGAACAAGATGATCGCATTTGACAACTTCGAGCAGCTCATTGAGTCTATCGATAACGCGAACAATTTGGAACCATTGGGTCTGTGGACGCCGCTCGTGGAACTGCTCAAGCACGAGGAAGCTGAAATGAGACGCATGGCCGCCTGGTGCATCGGAACCGCCGTGCAGAATAACGAAAAAGCGCAGGACAAGGTATGTGCTTTGTTACCGGCTCGCTTCCTGATTTACTGTGGAGAAAAAAAACGCTAACAGGCACATCTCCAGCTCATCGTTTTCAATGTCCTCCCAACCCTCGTCGCCATGTCCACCTCAGACCCGGCACCCGCCGCTCGCAAGAAGGCAGTGTACGCCATCTCTTCCGGAGTCCGCAACTACCAACCCGCCATGGATGAGTTCGTGAAGCACCTTCCGGAAGGATATACTAGCGGAGAAAAGATCGATGCGGCAGATATGGATGCTATCGACGCCTTGCTGGACAAGCTCAGGGCTCACCCGTCTGAAGTCTCCGCATGAACCCGCGTCTGCATTGCAATTAGACATATACCCTCATTCGCTGTGATGCTATCACGCATGTGAACTTCGCGAACTGGATGAATGGTTCTGATGGGCAGAATACCGCCGTTCCTGCCGCCCGCCATTGCTGCGCGTGGCCCCGCGTGTCTGGGCCGTCGGTGGGCGAACCCCCGCCTCGGTTGTATAAAAACATGGAGTAGCTCCGACTCGAGCGAGCTATGCTTGACAGGCTCTCATCCTGCAACCTGTATATCAGGCGAATTCGAGCGTTGAGCATGACTCCGCTAGGCTGCTATATTTGCACTTCCAAGCATTGCTTCGGCCCTCGAAGTATGAATGTTACCTGAGTGCAAATATGTAACCATATGCTACGTGCATTGTACGTGTACATGACGAATATAGATCAATAAATACAGAAACAAATCTTAACTATTTTGCGTCAGCTTGTGTAAACCTCACTGTTTCAAATCAAGTTCGACAGGCCACTGCCTAGCCTTAGACTAGGTACCCTTTTGCTAATGCCTAGACTGTATACGCGGTGAATGACCCTTTTCAATGTGCCACCGCTACTTTATGTTCTCTACGAAACAAGTTCGTGATCGCCGAAATTCAAATTCTAGAACAATTCATCAAGTATAAACATAAACAGAGCATAAGGTAGGTATGCCAGGCTGAAAGTACAGAACCCTCGAGTACAAGTGCGCCAGTCAAGAGAAAACAAATAAGGTATGGCTGTGACGCACTGAACATGCTCCCACTCGTACCAAGAACGCAGCAAACAACGCACAAAATCCAAAATCAGTCAGTCCATGGCTACAACGCAAGGTTGTAGGTGTAATCATCCTCTATGTTCTGCGAGATCCATAGAACAATAGTACTGTAGCAAATCAATCAGCAATGGGGACAGATGTGTAGCTGCAGGAAACACATCAACAAACCTTAGCATGACCAAGCCATTGGCAACGACGTTAGCGATTCCAAAATACAACGTCGGTAACGGGTAATTCTTGATCAGATATTTCAAGACCATGACCGTCTATTTCCATTTCCAAATCAGCACTTTCAGCCCTCGACGTCCGCAGCAGCCGCAAAGAAAAGAGAAGAGACGAACCACACTCCCCGCCAAACCGCCCGCCAGCAGCGCAAACCCCAGGAACAGCACAAACCGCGCCTTCCACGCCACGCCGCTCCCGCTATAGCTGAAACTATCCGCCTGCAGCCGCGACTTCTCAATCGAGTTGATCACCAACATCCCGAGCGCCGAGCAGATACCGGGAATCCAGTCGACGAACTTGACGTTTACTTTGGACCCGTTGCGTGAGCTGTGCGAGAATGCGGCCGCATCGACGAGGAAGAAGAATCCGAGGGAGAACTGCTCGCAAAATATGGTCAGTCACTCTTGGTGCTGTGCTGTATTGCGTTCAAGAAGACGGGGTCGAGCTCACCAGAGCTCCTGACGTGTAGACGCCCGCATTACGGACGCTCGAGTTATTCAGCCATTCGGGCTTGGACCATCGGAAGAGACGGTTGTTGGAAACTTCCATTGCGAGCTTTTGTTGGAGTCAGATGCCGTATAGAGTAGCTGTGCTATGGCAGGCGTAAAAGTACGTATGTTTGCTCGATCGACATCCGCATGCACAGCTATCTGGGGTTATGATGCAGTCAGTGCCCGGACCTCGGAGATTCACAATATCCGATATATGCGTAGCCCCATGATGCATCCTTGCCAATTCTATACCTCCGTATCAACGATAACGTCGCCAGGGACATCTGTTACATTCGCGTCTGGACTCGAATTTACTTGTGCGAATACTGCTGTACAGCGAGTCAGATGGGCGGTTACAGTTCACAAACAGCTCAAAATCAACATTGAGATCTCGAATTTCAAGTAGACCAATCAATTGCTTAATTCATGACATCGTATCTCATTAATCTGTACCAGACAGATATCAATTCTCTTCACAAAATAGCCTCAAGAATTCGTCTATATATGTCATTGCCTTTTCTTTGTCCAGCAAAGGCGGAAGCTCCTTCACGGCCCCGTCGGTACTGGGGCATTGCTTCAGATACTTGCGGAGGGCAAATGTTGATGCGCGATAAGTTGCATGATACATCGCCTTGAACTCATCTTCGTCGGTACCAGAAGTTGCCCCTATCTCAGTGGACAAATTCACATCCGAATCCACCCCATTGCCATTTTTGGCTGTGCTTGTAGGTCGCGATGAGCGATTGAAGCCGTACAATCGCATGCATGTCAAGATCGTACGAGTGATGGTATATTTATTCTCAGAAATAATGGTTTCTGCATCCTTGGGCATCGCAGAAGGCTCCAGCTTGTCGTCCGAAGACGGTAACGCCGTCGAGTGTTCCCTTCGGGACATAGATTCCACTGGATTCGGGGTGTTCTTCCGCGAAGCAAAGTGGCTTCTGCGGCTGCTAGGTCGGGACTGTTCATTTCGGATATCAGACGGTCTGAGGGGATGCAGATTGGCCCCAATGGACAATGACCGCGACCGCTGACAGGCTATCTTCTCCAATAATGGCAGCGACGGTTCCTCGGACTCACGTTTGATTCTGAAAGTCTGTAGATGTTGGGAGGGATGAGAAAGCGAGCTGGCCATCAACTGGGAGACTGCCTCTCCTCCTTTCTGTCGCACTTTCTTGTGATGCTGAGCAGCTGTCTCAAACAGCGTAGCAACTCGTTTACGCTTGGGGCTGGGTGACCGAATGTCCGGAAGAAATTCAGCAAATCGTCCGTCGCCGGCGAGCCCGTCCGGATCTTCCGGTGGGGAACAAAGAGCCTGAGTCTTTGTGATGAGGGACGAAGAAAGCGGGGTCGCATAGATTCTCAGCTCCTGCTTATGAACATGAGATGCATACTCATACGGCCCGGGAGAAGACGAGATAGGCGGAGTAGGTGGCCGTTCAACTGAGCCTGCGCTTGACAGGACACCATGGACCAATAGATCTGTTGTAAGGAGACAAGAGGCCTTGGTTCGAGATGGTCTGTCGATACTAAGAAGGATTCCGACCGGACATTGAAACGTATGGAACTTTTCTAGTTCCTCCTCCTGCAGCCATATGTTGCCCAGCAATTTGCTCTTGAGCCATTGTGATGTTTCGGCGTCAGCTGTGTGTACTTCAAGGCTCGGTCCAGTTCGGGCGTAACAGGGTATCAGTGCGGGATTCACGAAGCTTCGAAAGGCTAAACTTGAATCTTTGAGTGTATCCGGTTGCCAATTCGACGTCCGGTCGATTAAACGTAAACCTGTAAATTCGGTAGTGAGCAGCGCGCAAAGCAGAGGGCTCAGTCGCGTGAAGCGGTACCTCGAAGCAGAGATTGCCTGTCCAGCGCAATGGATCCAGACCAAATGTCCATTGTAGAGTAATTATGTGGCCCGAGAATCGCATATCTTGCTGATGTGAAGATTCGCTGGTGCAGATACAGGCGCACTTTATTAGGTTGCTGTAGTGGGAGGTTTCTACTTGCAACACGACGCGCTCTGGATACCGGCGCGAGGTCACGTGCCATCTACTCTGTCTATCTAAACCAATTAGTCGACATGGCTGTATCCGAAATCTTGTCTAGATACCAATACCATGCGAATATATAGCATGAGTTTAAAAAGGATCATCGAAGCTTAAGCCCAGCTAGGGGTATTACCCAAGAAATACCGTGGCAATGCTCTATATAACTTCTCATCGGCTATAGTACACCGTTCGTATCGCTGATAAAACAGGGTCAAATGAAACAGGCTGCAGTTCATGAAACTTCACATAAGAGTAACTGTAGGCCAAATCAAGCGGGAAAAAACAACTTGTCACTTGTGGTGAGCCAGTGCCCTAGGGCTTCACAGAGGGCTTATGAACGGTCTGCTGGAATGGTGTCGTAGAAAAAGTATCCGCCCTCGAGCGTTCCCCGTTGGCTGACGCTTTATGGAGATCAAAACTCCTCTTGCTCCTTGAAGAACATCGAGAAACTGATAATAGTGCCGTAAATCAGAAGACCTCCGAGGATGGACATGATCATGGCAGGGAGCTGGATAGCTCCGCTATGTGCAAGCACGGCCGGCAGGGCTAGACTCATCGGCATTAGGTACCAATCATATGACAGAAGGTTTGCAAAGCATATAATGAGGGTATCCCACGAGACGCAAATGCGACGGAGGAAAGAGGATGGCAGTAGACTGAACAAACTTACCAATACCCATCAACACCAGGAAACCAGTCAAGAATCGTCCAAAATCAGCAACTGCATTACCAGAACTGTCCATAAAATCATCTGGATTAGCGCATCGAGCGCAAATCCAGTTCGGTAGAGGAGCGATGACATATGTCGCAACCACAATCAACGGGAGGAAGTTGTGCCAGAGAGCGGAGGAGAGGATGACCAGAAGAAAGCCAATGGCAAGAACCTAAGCAGCAAAGATATTGTATCAGTACAATGCGCCACCAAAGCAATAATAGATAATGAGGGACTCACAAAGGAGAGAGCGATAATAGTCTTAAGACCTGCCATCATGACTGCGGAGATACAGGACCTCGAAGGGCCCAAGGCAGGTGAGATATGAGGAATTCGTTCTCTGTAAACAGAGCCAGCAGCGACTTATCTCCAGATATCGGATATGATCTAAATCACAGAGACTGTTTTGTCTGCATCGAGACGGTCTGGGTCGGTTTAAGTGATAAGCGTGGGCTAGCGGCACAGCTGCAGCTGTGGAGGTGACGTTGGCGATGGGGCATTATTGGCAGCCTCAGGCACACAGGTCCGAGCTTACCCAGCAGGCGGAGAGCTTCCCATGTACCACTGACAGTTGCTGGAGGTCACCGCGTCAGTCGCTCACTGCCTGCTTCGATACTGCTTGTCTCTCTATCCCCCCTCCCTGCATCATCAATCTTTTTCGACCTCTTCCTGTTGCTATTGAGCTTCACAGGAGCAATAATCTACCGAGACTGAATCCTCCTTACTACACTCCCTCCTCAACCATAGCCCGCAATCATGTTCAGAAACAATTACGACAACGATGCAGTCACCTTGTAGGTCCACCGAGCTATCCTATCCATGTTATAAGGCTCTCTCATAACTAACAAACCATTGATTGGGACAGCTCGCCGCAAGGCCGGATATTCCAGGTTGAATATGCACAGGAAGCAGTCAAGCAAGGGTCAGTTGTCGTAGGACTTGTCAACAAGACACATGCCGTGTTGGTCGGTCTAAAGGTACGAACTGTCTTCAGATTTACGTGCTCCCATCGCAGAGGACAGCTGATATGCTAATACGTTTTATTTTTGCTACCTCTAGCGAAACGCCGAAGAACTATCCTCCTATCAGAAGAAGATCATCGAAGTTGACTCCCATATGGGCATTGCTATTGCCGGTCTGGCATCGGACGCTCGTGTGCTCTCCAACTACATGAAGCAACAGTGCCTTGGTTCCAGAATGACTTACGGCCGCCCACTGCCAGTGGATCGTATCGTTACTCAAATCGGCGATCGCGCCCAGACCAACACTCAGCAATATGGCAAGCGACCATACGGTGTCGGTCTGCTCGTTGCAGGTGTCGACGAGGCTGGACCCCATCTGTTTGAATTCCAGCCCTCCGGTATGATTCAAGAGATGCTTGCTTGCGCCATCGGGGCTCGTTCGCAAATGGCGCGGACTTACCTGGAGCGGAATCTGGACAAATTCGCCGACTGCAGCCGGGAAGAACTGATTAGCCACGGACTCCGGGCTTTGAAAGAAACTTTGTCTCATGATAAGGAGCTGACGGTGGACAACACGTCTGTCGGGGTGGTGGGACTTGCTGGAGAAGGGGCTCAGGGCAAGATCGAGACCTTCAAGTTATATGATGGCCAGAGCATCTCACCGTTGCTGGAAGCTCTTGAGCAGACAGATTCCGGGGAGACGAAAGAAGAGGAGTCGATGGAGGTCGATTCATAGTTCCCTTTGGACTTAACGCCGATAGATATGCAAGCTTGATCTCTTTCCTCTTCTTGTGGATCCGCTTCCCTATGCTTATTCTATACTCCGGCATATTCGGTAGTACGATCTGATTCGGGATATGGTTGTGGGATTATGGATCCATCACGGATGGTGCAAAACTAAATGTCAGAAATTCGTAATGGTAGTGTCTCTTGCATTGCATCAATCGTTCTAGGTCTATTTCATCCCATCATGTATCCGAGCTGCTAGTCAAAAACAGTCCCCGAGCCGAAGGTAGTACCACCAGCAATCCGCTTGGACTGAACTCATTCCTGGCCCCAATCCAGGTCCATCCTGCCATTGCTAACCCGGTACTCCAGCAGCTTCGGCAGAACCTCGCGAGGATCCTTCGCCTCGACTAGGATCTTGCCATTGTCTGCACCAATGTACCCCTCCTTGACAGCGCTCTGCACCCACGACAACAGCCCATCCCAGTACCCATTGACATTCAGCAACACAATCCCCAAATGGTGAATACCCAGCTGATTCCACGTCGTCATCTCCATGACCTCCTCGATAGTCCCAAACCCACCCGCCAGCGACACGAAGCCCGACCCAGGGCCCCCGCCATGACCTTCTCAGCCATAAGCCGCTTCCGCGTATGCATGTCCGGCACAATCGTCGTAGTCCCGTACTCGGACTCTCCCAGCAGAGCAGTCTTGTCAAGCGGTTCCTTGATGGTCCGCTCCGCGCCCTTCCCGCTGCTCTCCGTGGGCTTCTCCTCCTCCCGCTTGTTGTCGTAGCCTGGTTCTACGCGGACGAGCGCCCGCGGGATCACGCCGTGGACGGCTTGTGGGCCGGAGAGGGAGACGAGAGTGCGCGCCAGCTCGCCCATTAGCCCCTTTGTGCCACCGCCGTAGACGAGCTGGACGTTGTGCTTGTGGAATTCGTGGGCTAGGGCGCGGGCGGTTTCCATGTGAATGGGGTCATTGCCTGCCACTGAGCCGCAGCTGGAATGGATTGCATTGTGTTAATAAGCTTTTCGCCATGGATAAGGTTGGAGAGCTTGTTGTTTTAGAGGGGATGGCGTTTCCGGTGGATGGCAGGGAGGGGAGGGGTGCTTACAAGACACAGACGACTGCAGGCTTGTCTTTTTGTGTGGTGGCCATGGCGATTGCTATGCGTTTGGCAGATTGAAGGATCTATGGTATAAGGATTCTATGAATGAAAGGAGATGTGTCTAGTGTAACATTCGAGGCAATCGTTGTTAAGTGGAGGACTATAAATATATCACACGGATAAGCTGGTACAATCCGTGACCTCAGGATTGGCCAGGTCAGAAAGATCAAAGAGCAATAATAGCTTCTTTTTTATTCGGATATCTCCACGAAAATCTAACCATGTCTAGGATTATAGTCGATTGCTTGACCGTATTTTCTGTCCATCTTTGAGTCATCTCCAGTGGGTTTTGTGATAAGTAGCTGCAGCCTAGCTGGACATTACTTGACTAAATCCATTCCTGGATGCAATAGTTGTGACTCATTGCTGTACTGCCACCTGCTCTAACTTCATTTAGATCTGGTAACGTAAAGAAATGCTTGTTTTCTTATGAATAGCCGCATTAATATTAAGTCTCTTGGGGTATCTTGTAGAAGTCTAGTGCATTAACAAGAACATGCTTCAACCGCCAACTCGGCCCTTTTTCTTCTTTAATCTACTCTCATCAGCGCTAGATGGCGTCCCGACCTTCTCCGGGCCTTTTCCCGGTGTATCCACTCTCATCAATGGAGTCCCCATCTTCGTAGGAATCGTATTTGGCGCCTGTTTTGCTGTCGCCGTCCGATCTACGTCATTGGCCTTGGACATGATGAACGATCCAGGCTCGCCGACCAACGGATTCTCATCCATGTACTCGTCCTCATATCTGAGAAACAGATTTAGCGATTCAGCGAGTGTCCTCGTATCCTGGAATGTAGAAGTAGTGTTCCCCGTCTGCGACCCCACCAGCGGGACTCTGGCCGGGTTCTCTGCATCGGGCATGGGCGTGTTCTCCTTGCTCTGCTGAGACGGGACGCCAGGTTGACCGGCATCAGCCGGTTTCGGAGCTGGTGGTAGATAGGTATGCCCATGGGCCGGGGTGAAAATGGGCAGCGTCGAGGCGGTTTTCAGAAGACTGGTTAGGGATGTGACAGCAGAGAGCTGATGCAATTTCGGTCAGCCATACCTTCCCATACGCGAGAGAGATAGAACCATTGTAGACGTACAATGCGGTTACCAACGACACTTGCAACCGAAGGAGCCATGTAGATACAATCCCCCACCACAAAAAATGTCGCCAGGACCACCACCTCATCTTCCTGACCAGCGCGCTTTCGCCGCATCTGCTTGCGGATCACCCATACGTTCGAGGGTTCGTGAGCGAACTGAGAATCTGTCTGCGCAGCGGCTTGCAACGGATCGTAAGCGACGACAAACTCCAGGCCCTGCATAGTCCGCAACCGCCCTTCAAAGGCTTCGCGGGTCTCGACGAAATGGCGAAAGGCTTCATTGTAGTTGGCCTGGATAGCGAGGGAGGCGTTATTCGAGGTGGCATCGAAGAAGGGTGACTCTGCAAAATAGAACAGAACTGATCGTTGCTCATCGCGTCAAAAATTGAGTTCTGAAATCTGCAAGCTTGCTAAGCCCAGAGAAGCTGCCCTTACTGTTATTCGAATGCAGATATCCTCCCATCATCTGGACGTGCGGGGGAGACCGCCAGAGGATCTCCTCTAACGAAGCATCCTGAGGACCGGCCATTGAGATGCCTCTTAATCTTGCAGAATAGACAAAAGTCGACGCACGCGTATAGGTCGAGAGCCAGGTCGCAGCGATGCTCGATTGTCTTCCCAGGGATCGCTGGTGTGACGGCAGATGTTCACCAGTTGATACCTCTGCCGAGAAGAAAGTGATGTTTGGAATGTTTGCAGTAAGTTCCATAGCTGCTGCATATCGTACCAAGTAAAGCCTAAACTAGTACAGAATATTGATGCTTATGAGAACAGCAAGGTACTTCTGAAAGAACTGTATATTTGTCTAAAGTTATATAATTTCTTCATGAGGATATCATGAGGTATCTCCGAGTAACCAACGCCATGCCCAAGTCCCCCACGCTGAATGTTGAATCGACCTCTTATCATCTAATGCAAATCGTATAAAAATCGCTGCAAATGTTGAAGTATTCGCCTTGGGTACCCATAACGTCATCATAAAAAAAAAAAAAGAAGAAGCGTCGCTATGGATTAAGCGGAGCGAAAATCCCACAGACCGTACGCAACTTGGTCAACATCTCATCCCATTCCCCTTCGGGAGTACTCAGAGTGGTCACGGCTCCCCCAGCGCCAATTCGCCAGAGTTGCTCGTCATTTTGCTCATTGGAGCAGGTGAAAGCTGTGCGGATGAGCACTGAGAAGCTCCCCCCGCCACCAAGATCGAGGAAGCCCATGACGCCCGAATAGATCCCACGTTTTCGGTCCTCGATGGAGCTGAGGTGCATGCATGAGCGTTCCTTAGGGGCACCAGTCATCGAGCCGGGCGGCAGACATCTTTGCAACGCGGTCAGTCCGTATCCGGACATGTTCGAGGAGGGTAACTGCGGCATATCCCGTGCGGCAAATCCGGGCCGATTTCGATCAACCCTGGCTTTGACATGAGTGATCATCTGGTAAACACGTCCGTGATCCTCCACTTCCAGGAGCTTTTCCACGTGAACGCCGCCCGAGCCACAGATGCCGTAGAGGTCGTGGCGGATCAGATCGGCGATCATGAGATTCTCCGCTATCTCCTTCGTCGATCCAAGGATTTCGCGGGCCTTCTCCATGGTCATATCTTCGGTTTTCCTCACAGTGCCCTTCATTGGCTTCATTTCCAGTGTAGAGTCCCGATCCCAGTTGAGGAAGCATTCGGGGCTGCTGCTGACAATCTTGACGTGACCTAGTCGCACAAAACCACTAAAGGCGGCGGGGTTGTACTTCCTCAAACGCTTGTACAGCTTCCAGGGGAAACTGGCACGGCCACTCTGACTAGCCGGAGAGGGTAGCGTAATCAACGTTTCGCCAGTGAGACATAGTTCGTACGATTCACCAGCTTCCAGCTCAGCCTGACAAGCCTTGATCTGCCTCTGATAATTCTCCTGGGTTGGGAATTTGATGACGCTCTGCTTGAGGATAGAATCCAAGAACTCTGCCTCGGTGTCACTGGTGCAGACCTTGCATTGACTCCTGCTATGTGCAAGGTCCTGTAAGAACTGCTCGGTCTGATGCAGCCATCCAGTCGGTAGATCATCGTCAGCCCGTGTTGACTGGACCGTGATTTGACCTGCCTTGTGGTCAACAACGATACTCCTTTCAGTCCACAGCAAGCTGGCGTCGGCAGGGTCTTCTCCGGCATTGTTGCTGGTTGGATGGATTTCTGCAGCTGTTTTGGGACGTGCAAGACAGGCCAGCCCCATTTCATAGGAAAAGTAGCCCAGGAAACCTCCCCAGAACGGCACGGTGAGGCATCCTGAATCAACCTTCTTCATGTCCATTACAAATCTCAGTATATCCCAGAATTGCGAGACCGACAAAGTTCTCTCGATGATGTTCTCTGTCACTGACTGCCCACTCGGGGAACTTTCTGTCCTCTGGCAATCCTGCAGCTTCTCCAGCAGGAGTCTCTGAGTCTCAGAGTAGTATTCGAGCCTCCAGCTGGAGGGGCTTGGCACCGAGATTATGCTGTACCTCCCATTAGATTGGAATAGCACGGTTGGCGAGTCGGGAGCATTCAGGTTCTCGCAGACGACCTCGGCATCCAGACTCCTCGCTGTAAAGGTACGATATGCGGAACAGGAGGAAGTGCTTGCGCTCCAATCCAACATTGTGGACGCGGCGTCGGGAAGAGTAATACTACCACTGGCGTAGTGGTTAGGGTCTGGGAGACTGCCATATCCTCCTCGCCCCGTCTTTTTGTTGTAGTTCAGGGCCATATCCCACCATCTTCGGAGTAACTCAGCGCAAGCTGCCCTGTCAGATTTGCAAGACTCAGGGTGAAACTGCACCCCCAAAGTGGTTTCTTCTGGTGGCGCACAGCCATGGGAATCTGTGTCCTTTCGTCTTCTAGCAGAAACCAAGCTAGAAGGTCAAGGTTCTTGGAAGCGAATCGATCAACATGAGGGTTTCCACTGTCGCCCCCTCGAGTCAACTGGTCCGGAGCATCCAGTTTGGCATAAAGCGAGTGATAAAGCGTGACTTCAACATCTTGCACGTTTTCGAAAATGTCCCTGTTGACAGTCTTGATTCGATGAACCTGGCCATGTAGTGGATATGGCAATCGTCCTATAGGAATGCCCTGATGAAGACAGAGACTCTGAAAACCAAGACAGATTCCGAATACGGGTAACATGTCTGCGCCGCTCAGGTTCCAAATATCTCGCATGATGCCGACATCTTTAGCAACATTCGGATCCCCAGGACCAGGGCCAAGCACGACAGCTTCGAAATGCTGCAGGTACTCGACCATGTTGCCTTCTGGCCAATCGGAGTCGATGGTCATCACGGAGACTTTAACATCCAGAACCTCTTCGAGCATTGCGACAACATTGTAGGAGAAGGAATCGTATGCATCAATGTAGAGGACATTTCTTCGGGCAGGAGCATCGACACCCGAGCCAGATGACTGGCCGGCACCTGAAGCCCTCACATCATCACCTATAAATGGCGCCATATTGCTGTGGCCCGCAGGCTCCGACGGTACTCACAGAGAAACACCAAAAGGGGAGTGCGTTAAAGTGAAAGGCGAAGCTGGATGCAATTGTGCGACACAGCGATCAACCAAGTGAGAATGAATCAAAGACCTCAAGAGCGTATCTAGTCGATAGCCAGAATTCATCGGCCAAGGACCAGGAGTGGCGATAGGTAAATCTTGAGATACACTGTCCTCTACCTGAGGGGCCAATTTTTGATCAGTTAATCGCCGCCATGGAAGAAATGTACATATCGGAGAATGCAATAGAAATTCAAAAGAGTTAAAAACATAGGAGAAAGATCGTGAAAGAGAAAAGGACAGACAGTGGCTCCTCCGTGTAGATAAAAAAATACCACGGCGGAAAGAAAAGGGTCCCTGGAAGTGGAGCGGCAATCAACGGAACATTTTGCTCTACGATCCTTGGGTCCTTCTCCGATAACCTTTCTTCCCGCAAACGGTCCAGCATCGGTTGATGAAGATGATTGGGAGAGGAAGGGCAGGGCCATATTTCTGGATGACAGTGGCAACTGGTTGCTCTGTTTGGTGTATTTTGCCCCATAAAGGCTGCTTGCTTGCCACTCCAGGGTCTCCAAAGCTCCAGTTGAAAGCCTGGTATACGAAGAGAAAAGAGAAGGAAATGATTATTGTATTATGTTTAGTTATATTAATGCCGAAATGCCATTGATTTATGTACTGTAACATGCTTTATGTCTATCCTCTCAACGACTCATGGAAGCACTCTTTATGTTCATCGAATCGTATAATGAATTCATTCACTTGAACCCGACTTTGGCTGGCTCGCGTTGGCCAGCTTGACCGCGATCTTGGGGAAGTATTGTGCCACGAAGCCCTCACTGTAGCAAGTTAGTCGAATTTCTATGTCAGCAAGGATAGAGGGTCCTCTTACCTGTAGTAACTGTGGGCGGAGCTATGGTCTCCCACCAGGTTATGGGCCAATTCGTGACAGAGGATGACCCACCAGTATACCATCGATTCAGATCTGTCAGCCGACTGGTTTTGAAGCAATTCCTTTTCATGCAGCTGCTGGAAGTAGAAGTAGTTGCAGAAAATACTGCCAGCCCGGTTGAACGCTATTGTCTTTCCACCCGGGTCGTAGAAAACGCTGAGACTGTCCTTGCGCAGTGAAAAGACACTAGCACATTCGATCAACAGGGCAGCAAACAAATTGATCGCAGCACTGTTCTTGGACAGAAATGCGGATCGATCAGCTAGGGTCTTCACGAACAGCACATTGACTCCACAGGGAAGAGTCGCCACGAACTCCAAGTCATGGCTTGGCTTCTCGTCGCAGTAGGATTTTGTCTCAGTGACCTCATTCGTCTCCGGCCGGCTGTACAAGCTCGACGATCCGTGAGGCTGGCAGGCTTGAATGGCAGAAAGCAACTCGTTCTGCAAACGATGCGGAGGATGCACAGGCACGGGTTCTTCCGGGAGCGGTCTCTGAGGGTCGTCTGCAGAATATGGCGGAGGAGGAGTGCCTGTGGGCTCCGGTGTCCCAGCAAGCTGGGGTGGCGGTGGCTGTCCCCAAGAGGATTCCAGTTCGACCGGCCACCTTCCAAACCAAATCGCTTGGTCAGGTTGGCAAACAAACCGCGCGGACGCCGCTCCGGGAGTGTCTCTGTTGCTTCGGCTTGCACATTGGCATTCAACCCCTTATTAGTGGGTGAGTCGGGAAAATCACCTGGCATGAGAGGTTGACTCTTCGCTTCCGTCTCCCGCTCTTGTGCCTGAAGCTGAGCCTGTTCCTTGGCCCAGGCGGCTTCCCTCTCTTTTAGCCGCTGTCGCTCCTCTTCCAACTGTTTCTGACGCCGATCCTCAGCTATCTTGGCCTCTTGTGCCTTCTGCTTCAAAATTCTCTCCACGTTATATCCTCGTGCCTTTAGTTCTAGGAGATCAGTCTTCAGCAACATCTCTAAGGTGAGCGTGGAATGGAGCTTTGGCCGAACGAGAATGAGATGTACAAGAGCTTGACTGATTTCGTAGAGGTCGTATTTGCCGGGGCAGATCCAAAGAATCCAAGTCCGTCCGTTCTGGGTGATTATGGCACTCCGTTTCTGCGTGTGCGACACCCGACGGCCCTTGAGAGACCGCGTGAGCGAGATGGAGTACACGACCTTCACTTGGAGGTTCTTCTCCAGCCATCTGACATCGTGGCGAATTGAATCTGGGGATTGATCATGAAGAAACAGCCTTGAACGTTCGTTGATCAGCTTATGCAGTTTAGCCGCTGGATGCTGACCCGGGGCCACAGCTCCCCAGTTGGCACGTTCCTCCACCAGTCCGCTTAATGGGATAGCTCCGAGTGCAGAGTAGAAGTTCTCTAACAATTCCTCTTGCGGCGCAGCTAGTATGTGCTCTTTGAAGAGGTTGAAACTCTGGAAATCATCCACCACAACTGCATCTTTCGCAGCTGTCAACGTCCATTCCTTGATGCTCTGATCTTCTACCTCATCGTCATCTGAGCCCAGAAGATCCTCGCTCTTGACCTTTCCCTGAGCCAGAGAGGTGATATCTCGGCTCGCCAGAAGAAAAGCGGACCGTTTCATCTCAGTAAAGAGTTCCTTGTCTCGTCTCAGAATGGCAAGGTGCTCTGCAAGACTTCTCAGGAGCTTGAGGTACTTGTCGGCACTTTGAAAAGAAGCAGAAATTCTAGCAGGTTCTTTGACTAGCATGTATGCAAGTTCGGTCTTTGTTGGCTCTCTCTTAGACCCGACTGCCATGAGGAAGAGATTGGCCTCTTGACCAAAATCCACAAAGTCAAAGATGTCTCGGTAATCTTCGCCCTCTCCAAGGTAGCATAGCTTCGGGGCAACACGACGAATAACCGAACCTTGCTCGACTGTATCCCTTGTGGTGATCGGGACTATTTGTGCATTCCCCGTACGCTCTATATCCCGTGCGCTTAGCTCCGCTACTCTCCCAGCAAGATACTTGAACAGCACTCTTGCGTCTCGCTTCGCGGATGGTGGATGACGGATCAAGTAATCGAGACAACTCGTCATGCCAGCGTGTTGCTTGACCCCGAATTTCGAAGCATGAGGGTGAAGGTCCCGTCGGAGAATCTTAAAACCAAACAGTGCTGCGCCTTCATCAGTAAAACATCTGCCTGGTGTGCTCAGGTCGCGAGTTCCTTCAATTGGCAGAAACGGAACATTGACAGCACTGCAATCAAACGTGGCATAACCGTTCGTATGATACTCGGAAATGTAGTAAGACATAGCTTTTCCGTGCAAACCCCAGTCATCCGCAGCAGCTGCCTTTGCCATAACATCTATCAGCTCAGGCGCCGACGGGAAACTCCTCAAGCCGAGCATGGTAAGGAATTTTCCTTCAATGCTGCTTGGCTGATATTTTCCCGGCCATTCGAGGATGGGGAGACTAAGGTCTCTAAGGGAATCTTTCGGCTCAAACAGCTCAAAAATCTTATATCGCTTTCCACCTACCGGCTTCGAGTCTCCTGTGACTTCGGCGGTGCAAATGCTAGTATTCTTGAGTCTTTTGACGTCATTCGCCGGGATGTCATCGCGAACGGAAGCAAGATAACGAATGAGATCAACGTGACTCCATTTTCGCTCACTGTCGCTCTTGCCATCGGAAGCTTGGGGGTTATCGAGAAGCCGCTCGAAAATGACTCCAAGTTCGACAGTCTTACGAACGCCAAGCGCCATGAGGAACTTTTCCTTAACGCTATTGAGACCATGAACAACGGGGAGGTCATCGAACAGTCGCACTGAAGAGAAATATGTCTCGGCGGGTCTTTTCATCCCAAGTTTGGTTGGAATGACCGTTTGCGACCGCAATAATGTGACAATCGTCTGCTTCGACGACTGGCTCAGGCCGTTATCCCATTGTTTTGACAGCACAGGAAGAACCTGCGCAGAGAAGGACGGCGTCTGCGTTATATCTTGCTCTAATGGGAGAACATCCCTATTACCAGCATTGATGACAAGCCAGCGGACCCAAGGGACTGTCTGAAGTTCCGTCCACCCGAGTGCTTCCAGTTCCTGCTTCGAGAGAGACTTGGAGTATTTGAAAGGTATAACTGAGGACGCCACGGGCAAATCAATGGGTATACGCTGTGGATTCAGAAAATTGTTAATGTCCCCAAAAACAAGTAGTCGGGCAGTATTGCCGGAGCTATCTTCATCGTTCGCCACTGCAACACTCAAAAGGCTCTGGATTGAGAAAGAATCAAGTTGGCCAGAAGTAGCTTTCCGACTTAACCAGCCAAGAAATTCGATGACCTGGCCGGGCCGTAAGGTGCTGGCCTCGAGTTCTCGCTTGATATCCGAGACGGTGACTTCAGTGACCAGCCCAAAATCAGTTAGTTTTCTGACGAAATCTTTTGCGCCCGACACAAGCTCATCTGGCAGGACCGGGATAGAGTCCATGAAGCTCAAGTCTTTGGGAGCAATGCGCGCCTGATGACTTTGCATAATACCACATGTTGACAGTACCTCTATGGACGCGTTTTTATTACATGTCCAAAAGGCGTCTTCGATAGTTTGACCTAATACCGATGACGGCGTCGACTCGCGGAAAACAAACTGATTCGCGGTATAAATCGCTTCAGGCAAGACTCCAACAATGTCATCCTTCCGGATCTTTGATGATTTGGAAGAATCGACCTTGGACAGGATTCTGGACTTGATCGATGCCATTTCTGCGGACCAAGCAACTCGACAAACTATTCCGGCCGCTCGTAACATTTCAAGGTTCCATTTGCTGATGTATCTCGTATTGAGGTCAATACTCTCTCTCTCGACCGTCGGAATCACTGAAGGCGCAGATATGTGGGCGTTCAATCCTGTTGTCTGGTGGGTGGGAAATCCTATGAAAACCCTTCCAGCCTTGGTAGGTAGAATTGAGGATAGGATCTCTGATCGTGACGTTGACGCTCCGGATGCAACGTCCGTGTCATAGGAAGGCGTAAGTATCGCAAGGGTAGTTCGTTTGGGCGGAGGCTTGCGCGTAGCTCGTTCAAGCTCGCTGCTCAGGGAGTGACTGACGGAACATTGGATACTTGCAGTGCTGATATGTAAGAAAACGGATGCTTTCAAGACAGTGGCCAAGTCTCCGTATTCGCTGATGTTGTCCGGCTTCTCGATCTTTGCAGGGTTCTCTTGTGTGCTCTGACCGGTGAGTCGGGAGAAAAAGGTACGCAAGGAGCCTGTGGTATCTCTCAGTCCGTCCAAGCGAAACACGCTTGCGTTCGGATTCCACTCAACGACACGCATCCAGGCCGCGTCGACTTGAATTACCTCTCGAGTGATACCCGTTACTTTCATCAAGCCTTGGGGCGTCTTAGTTTCAATATCTTTGGGTATCGTAAGGTTGACGCTGGGTGCAGTCTTCTTCACGAGGCGCAGGATATTCCAGTCATCAAGCCATAATTCTATGCTCTCGAGACTGACAAACGTAAGGCTGCTCGATAAGAACTGACACAGCTGCATCAGAGACGGAATCGGAGAAGTATCGTTGCGATAGTCAAGCACAAATGTTGTTTCTGGATTCGACTCTTCGCTAAGTTGCAAGCGACGTGTAAATAGCGCGTTTCCCTTCCAGTAAAAAGCCATCGCATCTTTGCCTGAAGACACAAATGGTTCCTCGCAGTCATCGAAGACACTGTAAAACCCGACGCCAAATGCGCCAATCTTAGTTTCGTCTGGATTTCCATCCGCAATACGTTTTAGTCTTGCCCAATCCTTCTCGCTGAAAGGAAGGCCATTATTCGAGATCAACAAACGCTTGAGGGTATGATGTGATATGGTGTGCTTCAACAGGGTAGCCTGGTCGGCGCTAGCAGGCAAGGGTACGGTTGTAGAAGGCAAAGTCTCAAACTTGATAGTGACCTTGGTAGCATTTGCGTCGGCCGCATTCTGGATCATCTCTCGTAGAACGGTCCTGTCCACTCTATATCAGTACTCTTCTCTCAGAGCCAAGAACAAGACGGTAACAATCACTTACCATTTTCCTGAATATCGTGCGAGGACCTTAGATATCAAGCCCCGTGTGTCAACAGTGACAGCCTCTTCGTCGTTCCCTGAGCCCATCGTCCGCGCCTTCAGCGCGTTGAAATCGATGTTCTTCGCCATGTCGTAAGAATTAAGAGGCTCGATGCATGAATGACCAAGCCTCTTCAATAAGATGCTTCAACTGAAAGCGCACGTAATCAGAAAGCAAAATTATTAATCTTTGTATACCTCAATATTTGGAACTCCGGATATTACGTGGTCGATAAACATGGGTGCCTAGACAACCGACGAGAATAAGACTGTAACAAGATGCGTCCTGGGCATTTGACCGGGCCCGGAATCAAAGATGGTCAGAACAAAAGGCAAACAGAATAAGCACACAAAACTAGAGACAATGAATGGCAACAAGCAGGAAATATATAAATATGTGAAGCGGTACCTCTCAGTTCGGAGGCGAATGTCGTTCTTATCGGAGACAGCGGAGTTAATTGATAATTGACCAAGGTTACCGCTTATCGCCACGTGCAAGAAGTTATATAATCATCCTTATCCAACGACAGGAACACTACGGCGGACCAGGAATACCAAAGGCGCCATGATTATCGAATCGCTGTGGATCATTATTATTACCTTACTACTATCAGTTGTTGCTTGTTGTTGTTGCTTCAGCCAAAGAGTGACCCAACGGTCACTAATTTGTGATCAGGACCGTTGGCCTGGCATTGCCTTCTCTTTGATTCTTGCGCCGTCCACAAATTTTCAAAATTATTCTCTCGTATGATTTTTATGAGCTTGGGTCTCTCCTTTTGGAAGCAGTCCAGAGCATATCGCCGACTGCCTCCCCTCCCGCCTCCTTTCCGATGACAACATGGCCGTGGATCCCCTTTCCCCCATTGCGCCCGCGCGTTTGAGGGCACTGCTACTTCCTGTCGGGAGGATCAAGCGCTCGAGGTTCCTTAGCTTCGCTGCAAGACTACAGGCGGAAAATGTTGTCCGCCTGGGAGATATCAGTCCCAATGCGCGACCCAATCGAAGTAGGCACTGTCGCTTCCTCCGTGAGGAAGAAAGAATACAACAAGATTATGACGTTGCGTGCAATGATTGACTGATTCTCCTGTTAGATATGTTTTCTCCACTTGCATTTCCGACTGGAATGATAATATATGACCTTACTTTTTCCGTCCCTCCCATATCACATTTAGAGTTGTTCCCATTCGAGGTCTTCCGAGAACCCTTGGTCGTCATAGCTATAGCGGATGGAGCCGAGCTACCTGAAGAAAATGAAGAGACTGAGGCAGATTCAGCCACAAGGTCCGGCGATCGGATGCAACCCGGGCTAGACGAACTGTTGGACGGACTGCGCTTGGTCAAGGAGAAAAACACTCGGGCTCTAGTTCACCAGCTCTTGATCTTCGATCGTGAGGGAGTGAGCAAGCTCTCGAGTGGTCCCGACGGTATCATCTGGGTTCCCCGACCTGAAGCGTCTAAGGCGACCACGATAAAGACTGCGTTGTGTGATATCACGTCGATACTGCTTTCCGAGCTTGACGAGTTCGCGAAGGCGATTCAAAGCATTCCCTTTATTGAATCTCCCAAGGCCTCATCTTGGGGCCACATCGTGGCCCAGACTTGCGCGCAAGGCCTGCCGACAGGCTGATTCACCGGATGACCCTGCCTACGCATCTCCCATCCCACCCCAATGATGCACCGGATTCTTTGGCTTCCATTAAGACCTCGCCTGGTCCAAGCGAGCACGAGACACCCACGACCTTTGACGAAATTACACGGTCTATTCAGTTGGCTAATCGCTCAAGTACCTTTGGCAAACCCAACTCTCTGCCGACCTCGAAAGAGCATAGCCGTGATCGAATGTCAGTGAGTGGAGTGAGTGCTACTGATCGCACGAAAAACCGGATCAAAGGCCGTACCGGAGTCGTGATTGGGACCCTCTTTCTTCAGACGGGGAGGTGGCCAGACGCTCTCAAAGAGTTGGTAGAAGCAGCGACAAATGCCAGGGCAAGCAGCGATTATGTTTGGCATGCCAAAGCTCTCGAGTCAATCCTTCTTTGTCTTCTCATGTTCGCATGGGCAGGCATGGATTTCCAGGTGTGTTCTATTCTGCGTCTTGTTCACTGCACCCATTCCACTGATCCCTGTGCGTTAGATACCTCCGATCTGCTACCCGGTCGCCGACAAATCCTCCAAAGCAATCCAAAGCAGTGCTCTTGAAGTGGGACAGTCTACGCCTGGGAACCGCATCATCTCCCTTCAAAATCTTGCTAACCTCTTACCCGACCTTGCGAACAATATCCTTCATCTCTACGATCGTGCCTCCAACATTACGGATGAGCCGGTGCCCCAGCTTGTCTTTTCGGAGACGGTAATCCGGCTCTCAAGATTGCTGGTAGCCGCGCGAATACGGGATGGCGCTCTGGACGACAATGCTTTGAAGCACATCGTAATGAACGAGCCTTTGCTGCCACTGCATCGGCCAGAACGTCCTCGTGGCTTGGTCATCCTCCGCCAGTCAGAGATTGCGAATTTCCTGTTCCGTGCTTTACCACTCTCCCCTAGCTCAGATCTGCCTGCAACAGATACTATACCGATTATCGTTGGAGTCGTGTCTGTACTGAATGTGCTTGATCTACCGCGGAAGAAAGCATTTATTTTGCGGGAATTCCTTTCGGTAATAGTCCCAACTCTCGTTCAGGCCCGCAAAATTGGTGCTGCAGAAGTTGGGATTCACCCCGCCGCTGGGTTGGCGTCGCTCAGTGATACAGCATTTGATATCAACGCTCTTGATGTTGGATCAGGGAATATGGAAAGTAGTATGCGTGCCCTTTTGGGCCTCACAGGGGAAATATATGGTGTTCAACCATCTCCATTCTACGAGTGGGAGAAGAAACGTTCCTCGACTGCAAGTGGAACGGACCCAATCCCTGAGTATGACTCTATCGCGGCCATTATTGAGCGGTCATTTCGCCATGTGGCCCTGGACAGATATGGTGACCTGAATTTGAAAATAGACGCCCTCAAAGCGTGCATCAACTGCTGCGAGGCGCTTCCTGATTTTACTGGCGTTCTCCGGTTCACAGTTGAACTGCTCCAAACCATTCGGGGAGACCTGATGCTTGCTGAAAATTATTATCAGCCTCCGTTTCTGCCGCAAGATGAGCAGGTTCGCCTATTGAACAATATCAAGCGAACAGTGGGCGCTGCTCATAAGCTTGGCGCTTCGGATCTAGAAGCAGAATACTGGGATGACTTCCTCGTGCGTGACATTCGGCTCCTTACTCTACCTGACTCTAAGAGACCTGTTCGACGTTCTAAGTCACATCTTGACGTGGTCTCAGGCAATGGCGACAAGCCCTCTAAAGACCCATTCTTATATAACCCATTCTCTAAAACAAGCAGTAAAATCTCTGAGTCGCTCATGATCGCTGGTGAGCATGCAGCATTCACAGTTACTCTTCAAAACCCCTATGAGTTTGAAATCGAGATCGAGCGGATTCGTCTGCATGGTGAAGGTGTGCCATTAGATGCTGTTGCAGAATGGATAATACTTCCACCACTTTGTCTACAAGAAGTGACGGTTATCGGAACTGCCCCTACAGAAGGGACAGTTAATGTCACCGGCTGTATTGTCAAAGTGCGATATTGCAGGGAACGCAAATTCCCGGTATTCAAGGAATTCTGGAAACCAGAGATTGAAATGAAGTTCAAGCGAACAGGTCTCGCGGCTAAAAAGCCTTTGACAGATCGGCCGCTGTCCTGGAGCTCTACCACTTCGAAAGATGGAAAACAGCAGCCGAAGAAAGGCCCCGAGACAAGGTCCTGTGAAGTCAAAGTCATTGGCCAACAGCCATCCCTCGTGATTGAGTCGATGTCATTGTCGCAATCAGCGGTGATGGTACTGGAAGGAGAAACCCAGTCCTTCAACATCACGCTGCGTAACACGTCGAGCTGCCCCCTTGACTTCATAACTTTCACGTTTCATGATTCTACTACGAGACAGATTCAATCCGCGCTGACGAACAAAGACCTGCTGCCGGTAGAAGTGTACGAGTTAGAACTGCAATTATCTATGAAACCAGGCTTGCGATGGCGCCGACAGGGTTCTTCACCGGAAGATCTCGTCATCGATGCGGGACAAAGCGCGACATTTTCTCTCGACATTGTCGGCAAACCGGGCTTGCAAGATACGACTGTGCAGATTGATTATTCGTATATTGGGCTTTCCAACGGCCAATTACCGGAGGTGTTCTACACGCGGCAGTTGTTCATACCGCTTACCGTGACGGTGAATGCTAGCATTGAAGTGGCCCGTTGCGACATCTTACCTTTTAGCAGTGACTTTGCATGGCGGAACAGCCGGGGATTGGAGCTGGACTCTGTCGGGAACAACACCACGGACGGCGACCCATTTGCCCCAGTGCTATCTCATCTGGGACGAGGCGCATACGGGCACGACCACTGCATCTTGCTACTTGATTTGCGAAACGCCTGGCCGAACCCTTTGTCAGTCACTTTACAAGTGAGTGAGCAGCCAATGGAAGAGGGTTCTGCGGAGGAATTCACTTCCCGGGTTGGACAGTACACCATCACGGGAGAGCTCCAGCCGGGGCAGATCTCACGCTTTGTTCTTGTCCTCCCTCGTGTCTATGTGGACAATCCACATGCTTCGATACCGGTTCTGAATACTGGAATCAAGAGGCAGTTTGTCGTGAGTGCAAACAAGCTCACCTTCGAGGCAGAAGCAGCGTCACGGGAGGCTTTCTGGTTCCGGGAGGAACTGCTCAAGAGAATCTCTGGCGTCTGGAAAGAGAGCACCACGACTTCTGGCCACAAGGGAGTCATTGAGCTAAGAGGCATACGAATGAACGCACGGATGGTGGACGCCTTTCGACTTGAAGCCATGGATATCAGCTTTTCCCTGAAGCCCTCCTTTCCGAAACAGAAGGCATCTACCGCGGACAGCATTGATGAAGTGATGCAGATTGGGCGGTCAAAGTATAAGGTACAGACCGACGAGATGCTCGATCTCACCGTTACCGTCCGGAACCGCTCCTCAAAGCCTATCCATCCACTTCTCCGGCTCCAGCCCAGTCTTCGCCACCAACCTAGTAACGTTGCTCTTGATCTTTCGAGGAGGCTGGCCTGGACCGGCATGCTGCAGCAAGTGCTGCCTATTTTGCCCAGTGGAGAGAGCACTAGTGTCACCATTGGAGTTACCATCTTCTGCCACGGCGAGTACGAAGTCGGTGCAAGTATTGAAGAAGTGCGAACCCTGAGATCGCTGCCTGGATTCGAAAAGGATCAAAAGTCAGCGGACGATGCGCCCGCACTACACGATGATGAGGCCATCAGAGACTCATTTGGATTAGATGTTTCTCGGAGAAGACGGATCTGGCATGCCAGAGAGACATGTATCATGCATGCTTGTGATTAACTGTGTGATCCTCCTCTTAATGTACAGATTTGCGGCCCTGAAACGACCTGGTTTGACGACAGCCATGAACAACGTGTATGATTACTCCTCAACTTCACACTTTTGAATTGTATGATTGAAAAGTCGAGCCAGCCGCTTGAGCGTTCTCGCTGAGGTGTACTATGGACTGGCTTCTGCACCTGAATATATAATGTGGTTGCTTCTTTTATTGCATGGGGCGGTATCGAAAACCCATGCATACTATGAACGCATGATGCATATGTTACTTTGTTTTATATACATCGAGTCCACATTGTACATGCGGCACTCTAGAAATGAATATATATATATAGACATCATCTATTCCACGTCTTCCGCGAACCTTAAAACTCTCCTGAGATCAGTATCCATAACGAGAAGTCTCCAGCACGCGTTACATTGGATGGAACGCAACGTGCATATGTATATACGGGGATCTCAGATGTTCTCAAGCGGCAAAGTTTTCCGCAGAGACCAAGGGGATCATAATAAACCCGCCAGTAAGCCCTTCAAGGGAGGGGGTGTGAAAAGCCGCCTTACAGTGGCCCAGACGGACTCACAGTCGCTCAATCGGATGTTCTCACGATGGAGCTGATTCGCATCCTGCCTTATTCTCGCCTAAGGAGTAGCGAAGGACCCACGGTCCAATGAATATGAGATAGCTATGCGATAGTCAAGGATAAAAGCCACGCTAGATCAGGTGGCCATTTCTCGATCCTGTTTGTCCCTGCTCTCCGTTGACGGCTTGTCTTTCCCAGTAGAGGAGCCCGGTTGATCGCCCACAGGGAAGCTGAGGTACTTCCAGTCCTCGATCTCCTCGATGATGCATTTGAGTCTGTCGCGGATGCTCTCGACCGCGTAGGTCCCCAGGATCAATCTCAGAGGAGGATAGGAGCAATGGCCCAGCTGCCAAACTAGATGGGCCGCCTTGACCGCACTGGCAGGCTGCTTATCGCCCAGCCACATCAGCATGCGCCTTGCATGCGCCGCGGGCGCCGTGGGCGTATTATATGGCTCGCTGGGCTGCTTGACAAAGAAATGGCCGTACAGCGGCAGCGGCGACGCGAGGTTGTGCTCGTTACTGGGCATGGCAGCGGTGTGCGAGACCAGATCGCCCACGTCGTCGCGGCGCATATGCCCCGGCTCCACGAGCGTCCCCTTGATATTGAAACTATCCACCTCGTAGAGCATGCTCTCCATCAGACCCTCCACCGCGTACTTGGACGCACAGTACGGCCCCAACCCCGGCACGCCCAGCGCGCCCGACGTCGAGCTGAAGATCAGATACCGGCCGGACCGACGCTCGCGGAAATGCGGCAGCGACAACTGGATCATGTTCAGGGTGCCGGTGAAATTCGTCTCGAACTGGTCGCGGATCTCGTACTCGTCCTGGTCCTCGCACGCGCCGATCACGCCGTACCCGGCGCAGTTGGCGACAATGTCGATGCGCCCGAACCGCTCGATCGTCTGGTCGATGACCTTCTTGACTGTTTCGCGCGCGCGAACATCGCATAGCAGCCCCAGGCAATTCTCGTGCTCCTCTTCCAGCTTCTTCATTGATTCGGGGCTGTTCTCGAATGTGCGGCCGACCGCTGCGACGAGGTCATTGCGACATAGGGCGGTTTTGACGAGTGAACGGCCCATATGGCCTGTGGCGCCAAAAATCTAACGGTCCAGCACATTGTCAGTGGGCAACAACGCAACTCGAACAAGGATAGTGGTAGGGCGTACCAGCCATACGAGCTGCTTAGGCGGGTTCTGAGGCCCTGGGGGATCGGTTGTAGAGGGGAGCTGGAGTTTCGGTTCTCGGGCGGCGGATGCAGAAGGCGATAAAGCATTAATCGGCTTGGGTGGTGAAGGATGAATATCCATCGAGGAGTAATATTGTTGCTCCGGGATATGGGAGTCAGGGGAGTGTGTCCACGACATGGCTGTAGGTGGGGGTAGTAGTTGATGGCTGAGGTTGATGGGATCTCCACAGGCAAAATCCGGGGTTGACACAACTACGCACTCTATACAGGGCATAACGGCCAGCTTATTCCCGCGAGTAAAGGAATTCGAGAATTCGACTGTCACTATTCATGCTCTCTCGTTCTATTCATGAGCTGTTAAATTAATGACATCCGTCAGGGATATAATAACTATTTACTTTAAGCAGAGTAATGCCACCATTAATCAACCGCCAGCGCCCCAAGGGACGAACTGTAAGACAGAAACAACGCGATCGGCATCTATCGTCCGATCTCTCTTCGAAGCCGTCCAGCGGCCGTGGAAGGGCCAGGCTCAGGCCACCCGCTCACAGCATCGTCAACTTCTTCCAAGAAAGAGGTACTGTTGTGGATGGTCGTGCCTCCTAATACCACACGCACTCCAGGTGAGCTAGCATTGACTTGGGCCACCATCTTGGCCTCTTCGTAGGTTGCACCGCCGATCATAAAGATGATGATGTCCTGTGGCTTCTCCCGAATGTGGCTACTGCCTTCGAGGAAGGGGTACTGTAACTCTTTCAATCTGCCTTTGATGAGATTTTGTAGTGTCACTTCAAGTCGCGGTGAGTGTTGTGTGTATACATTTTCGACACCTTTGAGTCCCTTGAAGCGGTCCCGAGCCCCCGAGAATAACGACGCTGATTCGAAAAGATCCGAGAAGCCACCCGCAACCGGGGTGCCTGGAGAGAATGATGATAGGCAAGAAGCTTCGGTATGATGTTGACCTTGTAGGAGGGAACATCCCCTGCTGTTACCAAGAGGTCAAGTAAAACCGGAAGGGCATTGGAAGGCTGCTTTTCGTATCGGAGGGCATATAGGGCTACCAAGCGGATCTTGTTCTCCGCCGGTACCGTGGATAGCTGAATGATTCTCTGTAGTGTCTACAACGATTCATGAGTATTGACTGTGCTAAGTGTTAAGAGGCTCATCTCGTGACATACCTTGAGGTCATTCGCGTGATTGTCATTGCAGGCCAAACTCTGCTCCAACTCACTGACGTCGAGTAGGTTATCCTCCCCAACTCGTCGGCTGAGCTCGCCGACCAGCGTGACGTGCTTGCTCACATTACCGGAGAGTTTGCGGAACTCGGGGTAATCTTCCACGAAGCGCTTCATGTCCGCAATGGACTCGATGTTCATGGTATTCTGAGTCTTCGTCTGATACTGCTCGACGTACTCCTTGATGTTCTGACCCAGGTCGCCAAAGTTCTGATACATGTTCTTCTTGAAGAACGGATCTTGGTCCTGCGAAAGGACAATTTCCCGGAGCTCGGGTCGAATGTCAGGCACATCGCGCAGGTCTACTCGTCCGTTGGTGACTCCCAGTAATTCGTGAACCATCGCCTGGTATGTCCACTGCGTCAACAAAGGCGTGATGGGGTCATCTCTTCGGTCCAGAATAAGCAGAATAGGAGGCGTGTCGGTCTTCCTGAAATTGAACAACTGCTCCTCCTGAGTCACCTGGTAGCGGACTTCTGTAGCCAATTTCTTAGCCAACAAGCTGTTCTTCTCATAGCGGATCAGAGGGTTTTTCTTGAGCGCCAGCAACAGGGCAATCACGCCTTCTGTCGCTCGCTGCAAAGCGTCTGCATTCCACAGGTCCGGCGAGTGGCTCCACAATCGCTGGTTCGGAAACCCGAGGTTCAGAGAGCACAGGTCGGGGTTGACGACAAGGAAGTCGGCAAAGTGCTCCTGCACCACGCGCACCACTTCATGCCCATCTGCTTCCGCCAGTCGCTCCAAGGAAGACTTGCGAATAATATTGCTCAGGTAAATATGGTACTCTCCGTACTTGGGCTCACGAAGCTCGTCGATGAGGAATTGGATGGAAGTCGGGGACGGGCGCACGAAGCACAGACAACGCAGATGTCGCATCTTTTCGCGGGCGGTATTGTCCAAGCGATCGATGAGGTATACTTCATGACTCAAAAGGGCTGATTGTGTGATAGCCGTCGATACAATGGGCATCTGTGCATTACAAGAGTCAGCCTCCAAATTGAGCTTTCACTGCACTCGGCAGTAGAACGCAGATCCCACTGTCTCACTGTCGAGAAGCAAGATCTTCATCTTGGTTGACGATGAAGATCCCGTAGCCGATGCTGTGTCTCCCGTGGTGACCATCTTGGAGATGTACCCGGATACTGCAGCAACGACGTCCATGATTGTGGTGATGATGCAGCCCAAGCGGGCGCGTCGGCTAGGTGGGGTGTTGTAAGTGTTTTGAAGAAATGTCGGATATAGAACCTCAGTAGATCAAGTAAGGTAGAAAAGCCAAAAGTGAAGTTAGTTGAATCAATAATTAGTCAGATACCTCTCTGGTAGAGTAACATAGATGGAGAGAGTTGGATGCGTCATAAGACAGAGACAGACAGACAGACAGACCACAAGGGGGAATGCTAAAGGTGCTGAGTTACTTGTTAAGCCAAGCCAGGTGAAGCTCTCCACCTGTGATGATTTCATGCCATGTGCTTCTCTCTTCTTTTTCTATCTATAAACCGATGAACACATCCTTTTCGCATCCATGTCGTCCTAGATCGGTCCTCCACCTAATTACGGATATTCTCCGTCCTTCTCTTTTTTATCTTATCCTGTAGAGTTCTTTTCATGAATTGCACCTCCAATAATGTTACCTTACGTCGATACCAGTATGTGCAAATGCTCCCCCACCGCCAGAATCCCAACAATTCCCATTGCACCCCAAGTACCTCAGAAGAAGCAGATACTGATGACGAGGACCATGCATAGTATTCGGCTATCCTGCAAGGCTCACAGGAGCTTCAGTGGATGAGCGTAAGTGATCTCCTAAGCTTCTTTCAACATAGCTCTGTTGTTAATGGTTACTTTTTTTTTTTCCCCCTTCGGAACTACAGTCAAGCTTATTGCATCATTCCTGCTCTCCTACCCTTTGGCCGGTCTGCTTAAGAGAATTCCCGACGCTCACCCCTGGAAGAAAAATGTCTTCATTATTGCCGTTTCCTTGTTCTATATGGTCGGTTTATTCGATCTGTGGGATGGTCTGCGCACTTTGCTCTACAGCGCTGCTGGCACTTACGCCATCGCATACTACATAGACGGCTCGCTGATGCCATGGATCGGCTTTATCTTTCTGATGGGCCATATGTCTATCAGCCACATTTACCGGCAGATGGTTGACGATCCTCAAGCGATTGATATCACCGGCGCACAAATGGTACTCGTCATGAAACTTTCTTCCTTCTGCTGGAACATTCACGATGGCCGTTTACCGCAAGACAAGCTGTCAGACCCGCAAAAGTACGCTGCTATTGCGCACTTCCCCAGCATCCTAGACTACGCAGGATATGTCTTGTTCTTTCCATCCTTATTCGGGGGCCCGTCGTTCGAATATGTGGACTATCGGCGGTGGCTTGATACAACGCTTTTCGAGGTGCCCCCAGGAACTGATCCGTCCAAGGTGCCTCCCACCCGGAAGAAGCGCAAGATTCCCCGCAGCGGTACGCCTGCTACCAAGAAGGCTTTGATGGGTCTGGGGTGGATTTTTGTATTCTTGCAATTGGGCTCTCTCTACAACAAGGAGACGGTGCTTGGAGAATCCTTCATGAGCTATTCATTCCTTCGACGAGTTTGGATTCTCCATATGCTCGGATTCACCACACGAACGAAATATTACGGTGTATGGTCTCTTGCCGAAGGTGCCTGCATTCTATCTGGACTCGGATACAATGGCTTTGATCCTAAGACAGGCAAGGTCTTCTGGAACCGCTTGGAGAACATCGACCCCTGGAGCCTTGAGACGGCCCAAAACTCACATGGATACTTGGGGAGCTGGAACAAGAACACGAACCACTGGCTTCGCAACTATGTTTACCTGCGTGTGACACCCAAGGGAAAGAAGCCCGGTTTCCGAGCCAGCCTGGCCACCTTCACAACCAGCGCATTTTGGCACGGATTTTACCCTGGTTACTACATGACGTTTATCCTGGGGTCTTTTGTTCAAACAGGAGCAAAGAGTAAGTATACAGCCGGTGCTTTCCCCTCATTCTCTGGAGATTTCTCAGCTCACCTCATTGCAGACTTCCGGCGTTATATCCGGCCGTTCTTCTTGACTCCCGATGGCGCTAAGCCTCTGCCTACCAAACGCTATTATGATATCTTCAGCTGGCTTGTTACGCAACTCACCATGTCCTTCGTCGTGATGCCGTTCATCTTCCTTTCGTTCAGCTCGTCCATCCAGGTCTGGCGCAGCGTCTGTTTCTACGGCATTATTGGAAACATCCTATCCATCATCTTCTTCGCGAGCCCCGCAAAGGGCTATCTCGTCCGATCCTTGAAGAAGCGCAACAAGCCCCACGTCCCGCGCACTGTCAGCATGGAAAGTATCCAGCAGCCGACCCTCGGTCTGCCGAATGACCCGGCTCGGGAATTCGACGATGCCGTCCAGGAAATCAAGGCTGAGCTTGAGGCGCGAAGAAGACGTGGCAGTGTGGTTGGGATGCCAACCGGTGAGGAACTGAAGGCCGCCGTGGAAGACAAGCTTGGTCGGAAGATCTCGTGATGGTTCCCTCACTGTGGTTAGAAGTATGCGGCACGGCGGCGGCAGTGTTCGACTCGAGATCCCTTCCTCGATGTCATCTTGCCGCGAATCGCCGTTCGGTTTAGGTCGTCTTGGACGACGAAACGATTAGACTCACGTGTGAATATTGTTGTACTAGACTTACTCTTGTTAGCTCAGCAGCGCCCTTTTTGCTTGTTGCCGTGCGTTCAATTAGCTTTTCCTTTCTGGTTATACTATAATGGGGTTCTATTGTTAGGAGCGGCTGTGTGAGAGGGTTGGATATTGTATAGCCTGGCGGGGTTAATAATAATAATTTCACTGATTTCATCCTCTTAACATTGTGCGTGCAAGCCAGATCGTGTTTCCACCGATTTGATCCTCATACGGACGCGAGCCGAAGTTCTTGTGAAGTGTTCCCATTGGTCATGATCCTAAATGATAAATCTAGGTCAGGCTCCAAAATGCAACGCTATGTACATGAGTACAGTACATGAATCTCGAAAATACAAGATGCAATAATATATAGGTCCAAAGAAAGGGCATATATCCGTAACCGGTTCGTAAACCCTAATTATTCCATCGCCTGGTGCGCCAAATTCGCTGTGGGCGCATTGAAACACACCGTTAACCGAGGGGTAAATTAGGCAGGATCAGAAAGAAAAAGGTGAAATGCAAGAAGTCTAAACAAAACATTATATGCATCGTGACGTGTCGTACAGTCGTATCAAGTCGAATTTTTTCGGTTTCGGATGAAGGCGAACCAAGCAACCAGTACCGGGAGCGGAAGAAGGAGGGTGTTGCGGAATGGAGAGAGTCAACACCTGAGTACCGAATTATGAAAGAGTCGTCGATCCAATCGACAAGGTGCAGGATATCAGGCGTAGCCTGGGGAAATGATAGGTCGACCCCGGGGTGAGGGGATACAGGACAGGTCGAATTTGAAGCGCATCGAAAAATTGCAATTTAGAAGCCCACCGTGCTGCCAACGACAGCCAGCGTTATCTGTAAGGCTAGTTAGTCGCGGCTCAGAAAGAGATACCCAGTTTAATAGACTTACAACGATGGCGATAATCACCAACCCTAGAGGAGTCATCCATCGATTGAGATTCCTCCACCATCGAGCGTTCTCGTACCGTCTTCGCCCAAGTTCATGAAGTCGCATCTTCAGGGCCATCTCCAGTTCGGGTCCGCTCTCCTCCAGCACTGCATCTGGCTTCTCCGGCAATGGAAGGAATGCGGCGATGAACCAGGCTAAAGCACGGCGTTGTCAGCGGTTTGCACAATGGAGTGTTCAGGGCAACAAGTGAACTTACCAAGTGGAAAAACGAACCCCAGGCAAAAGGACCATACTTGCATGTTCCTTCGTCCCAGCAAGGGCTCTGTCCGAGAATCCATAGAAGGCGCGGTCCATGGCTTGCCTTTTTGCCCAACAGCCCGCTTGTCGGGATACAAGTGCGGTGACCAACTGTGTCGTAGGCGGTTGTTTGCGTCCGATAGGTGGTCGGTCTCTGGGCCTTTGACCCAATGGCTTCGAGGATCGCGGGGGTCAGGCGGGGCCATCCAACGCACGCTTCCCATTGTTTCATTGGTTGGAGCTCTCGATCGGCCTGATGCTGTTGGAATATGCCGTAGAGCTTGTGAGTTGGATGTAGCAGGGCGGGCAGTGGGCGGGCGGCTCCCATCAATCACTGATAACGCAGAGTTCACGGTCTGTCCATCCAGACCATAGTACATCTTAGCCCAAGTCGGGAGTATGTTGTAGACAAAGCTTGAGCTAGTCCCCGGTCGCTTAATACTGTTGCTGCGCAAGCTACTTTTCCTCGACTCCGAAGAAAGACTGCTTGGAACAGCTGGGTTGGTGGGACGAGCTGGTAGACTTGATAGATGGTCCAGATGCTCATCTCTATCTGAGTCGCTTACTAACCACAACGAGGACGATCCCGGTCTCTGGCGGACGAGTGCAGCCGAGGGCCTGGACGGCTCTGCAGCCGACATTTCGCTGGGCTCATCGGGTCCGGAAGCAAAGCTGGAGTCCAGCTCGGCGGACCACCTAGATGTGACAGTTGACAAATGGGACTTGAAGCGGTCAGATGATTGGTCGGGGGTGAGTTCTTGGAGATTGCGATCGGACGAGTTGGCAGATTGTGAAGTATCCACCCATGAACCTGATGATGAGGGAGCGAGGACTGTGGGATATTGGATAAACACGCCACTATCCACAATAGCCTGGATGACCGAGGGTGGCCCGCTGCGAGAAGATGAAGTAAGGGAACGAGAATGACTGCGGCCGCGAGGTCGGGTGGAGTTAGAGTTTGATCGCACTGATGGATGGTATGGAGGAGTAGATCGGAAAGATTGTGAGCGAGAACTCTGCTCTTCGGAAGATCCGTGGGTCCACGGAGCGGCACCAATATGTCTGATCACAGTCCCCATAGAGTTCAAGGATGTCAGCGAGTTAGAACGCGTGGCGGAATCCGGGTTTGAGGAAGGACCGATCCGGACAAAGTTCAAGCTGGAGTTGTCGAGGGCAACAAAGCTGGGACTTGACGGCGGTCCAATGGTCACGACGTTAGGGCTTGATCCGCTCGAAGACGCATGTTGAGCACCTGACGGTTGGCGAGACGGTCCTGGAGTTTCCGACACGACTGGTTTAATGCTGGGAGCTGATGTAGGGAGCACCATCAAGTCCTCGTCGGAATACCCTGCATCTGAACTCCCAACGGACCTATATTTCTCTCCCGGAAGAATTGGCTCAGGAAGAGAAGAATTGCTGGATTTAGGGTCATCTTCCCACACCTGTGAGGGAGTATTTCCGGGATCAATCGTGGACGATATATCCCACGGATCACCGACAGACTGCTCGAGCAAACTACTATCGGCGGCTCGGCTGGCGTTGGATGACAATGTAGCTGTTGACTGATCATGCGCCTCGCCGGCGTGAAACTCCGGATAGTGAGCATATTCTTGCCCTTTGCCAGGTCGTGGTAACAGGATGTGCTCCGGTTTGGTCGGAAACGGAGTGGCTGAGTAAACATCGTGCGCTTCGTCTTCGTGGTCTTTGTCCCTGACGATCCGCAAGGAGGGCGGCGGCGGAGACGTCTCGTTCGTTTGGGATGCACTGCGCTCATGGAGAGCTCTCCGTCGAGGAGAGCTATTTGTTGAGGGTCCAGTCGAGCGCATGTTGTTTGGGTGGATTATTTCATATTATCAGCAAGCACCGGCAGAATATTAATTAATTAGTCAAAAGTAGCGATAGCGAAATGAGTGTGGAGAACAGAAGGTAATTAAGCCCGACCATGCGGTTGACCGAGGCAAAGTCGAGATCGAAAAGAATGCAAAATTTGGTAGTACACGATACTGCTGATCGGGTTGTGACTGGGTTGCTTTGGTGGTCCGATGGGTGACAACTGATGAAGCTGGCGAGGTATGTAGGTATGCTGCCGCTGCTATTGTGTTGTTGTTATTGTTGCTGTTGTTTGTTGTGGTCTATAGCGCTGTGATGCAATAAGGAATGCTTTGATACAACCAAAACCCAATGCGAAATATAAGTCCAATTCAATGGCAAGATGACCGAAAAGAGCGTATTTGTGACGACGAAAAAGATTCTCGCCCACAGTTGGAATAAGGAGTCAAGCCAGACTGTTGGAGTGAAAGTAAGTTGAAGAATTGAAGGTGCAGAGAGCGTTTGAACTGAAGAGACCGAGAAGCAGCACTCAAACGAGTGTCTCTAAAAGAGCGACAGAAAGCACAACGACTGGAAAACGACGAACGACAACCTGAAACACGGAAAATCCATCAGAATAAGTAAAGCCTGCAAGGCACGAGCGGGACTAAGTGGGCGATATCATTTATATGGAATCTCGTTGCTCCGCTGGCGGTGAAAAGCCCGGCGCTAGCGGGCTGTTTACGGAGTAGCCGCTGGCCGTAAGCCATAACGGACCTGTGGAGACGCTGGAGGGGGCTGTGGCAGCCAAGCGGGCAGATTACGGACACAAACTGACCTTTCGTTTGTTGCATTTTCCTGCCAGGGGTATGTATGCAGCTGCACGCTTTAAAAGCAGTGCTCTAAAACCATCCAATTGGTTGGTGGAAATGAAAAGAAAGCGAAGCAGGGATGATCTTTGTAACAGCTCGCCTTTTTGGACCAAGATAGTTGTTATGTTTGTCCTCCGTGGGAAAGTACGCGGAATTGGTACGCAGTACTCCATAGTACTAGTCGTAATGTCGTCTAGGGGTGATCATAGACGCCTGGAACCCTAGGACTGCACAAATTTCTTCAAGGATAGAGCAGACCGGAGAGGTTCGCGGCTAGTTCGTCTCAGGCTACTCCGTAATCAGCTTGAACCAAAAGAGCGGTAACGGATCATCGGAATCTAATAATAATCCTCATCGTCATGATCCTCAGGTAAAATTATCAGGAACAGGCACGAATCATTGTTTCACTTGCTGGAAATTAGACGATCTGAGACTCATTTCGCTTGGTGATGATCACTATTCGGTGTTGAGGTTGGACACGGACCACGAGTGCAACGATAGGGGTCGGATAAGGGGAGCCGTCGAGAACATTACTCGAAGACACAGATATTGCCGGACTTTCGTGACCTTCGAGCATTTGCAGGTTGCAGATATGATCAGCTTCCACGCTCCTTGATGGAATTACTCTGTACGGAGCATTGGCTGCAAATATATGCAAGGTACGGAGTACCACTTGCTCTAAGAAAGCATGAGTAGGGTATGCAGACGCAGGACATCCACCTGTAAGTCTGTGACTTCCTGTACTCAAGAGACATTTGTCACGTCTGAGCCTCCACGAGGGCAATAATACGTTGTAGAATTGCCGCGGCCGATGTCACGGGGGAAGTTCACAGAGTCGATCTGACTTTCCAGTTCTCGAACCTCGAGGACCAGAGATGAGATTAGACAGATAGCCGCGAAATGAACCATGGGTGGATCTAGTTGACGGCTTCAGTACTCCGTAATAATCGTTGAACTAAAAACACTTCGATCTTCCCTCGACCCCGACGATTTGAGGATCTAAAAGATTCAGGAAGATTGATTGGCAGGGGAATCAGCAAATTCTATCATCCTCGCTATGGTAAAGTCCAATAAGGGGACTATTTCGGAGGACAAAATGGCACTTTCGAAGCGACTAATTATTTAGTCTCATGCAGTAAGGCTGCCAACTCACCGGTGGATCTTGTCTACCGATTTAGCTTCCTCGTTACCACCCTTTGACTCTTTCCAGTGGCTTAGTCAACTGCGGCCATCCAAATCCAGAACAGAAGCTGGACAAAAAGGACCAGCTAAATGACGCGGGGTTCAGGAGCAGCATCCTTTGTCAATGTGGTAGAGGCATGTACAGAAAGTACAGAGTGTCAGGTCTAGAAGCTAGATAGCGGGGAAGAAGATCCAGCATTCCCGATTCGGTAATATTGTAGGTGTCAGACAATAGTGGATGCCTCTGAAATCAGGCACGAAACTCCTCGCCTTGTTTCTGGCTTGCTTTTTCTTTGTTGGACAGTCGCTTCATGCTTCACATCCAACCTGGCTGTAAAGCTGGCCTGATGCATCACATTTCAGCAACTACATTCTCGGGATAACCATAATAACCATAATCATCATCATCTTTCTATTTTTGCGGAAGGGTCGAGCCTGTGTAATCTCTGATTGCCAGCCTGTTTCCCTGCGGCTTGTTTACTTGCATGTGAATCTCTCCAACACTTTTGCAGATCAGGTGTAAGTCCAATACACTGCTACCACTGCCTTAAGTGATATGGCTCCTGTTGGACTCCTGGCGCGTCTTCGAACGCTTTATACTAAAACTCATGGTAATCTCTCCTCTACAGCATTTGCATGCTGGTCTCTAACTATCCCACACCAGACGAGCCTGTCATTTCGATCCGCACAGCCGCTTTCTTCTCGGTATGTATCGCTGGTCCTAGCGCTTTCATTCCTCATGCATATTTCAAGTAAATGAGCAGTGTATTCCATTCCAATATGAGAGGTGATTGCCAGAGAACACAAAAGACGGAGGCTCATCGTGAATTTCATGGTCTATACAAGCGTGCAACTAACTCCCACTACAGGTGCTCCTAACTTTACTCTACGTGGCACCATTCTACATATCGCCTACTACGCGCCCCTCTCAGACGCTCAGTCGAGATGCTCCCTCTGTGATTCGAGCAAGGATCAGGGCAGTGTCCTGGTCTTGTTCCCTGGGCACTCTTGCGGTTCTATGGCTGATCGTAGCTAAGAACCATGCTTCAATCCCAGAGGCTGTGAGGCTTCTGGGTTGGTGGCCTATCAACCTCTGGGACATCTGCCGGGCCTTGCTTCTGACAGCTATCCTGTTTACGGGACCTCTTTTTGAGCGTGGCATTGCCGAAGGGGAATGGAAAGACTGGCTCAAAGGAAGCAGAATCTCCGAGACTCTCCATGGTTGGATTGGATGGCGGAATTACGTCGCTGTAAGTAGAACTCGAGTACAGAAACTCATCGCAACTGTGGCTTACAAAAGATGCAGGGCCCCATTACAGAGGAGATTATGTTTCGGTCCGCCATTGTACCTCTCCACCTCCTAGCGAAGGACACCCCGGCCACATTGTTTTTGTGGCGCCTCTTTATTTTGGAATCGCACATGTGCACCATTTTTATGAGTTCCGCTTGACGCATCCAGATACTTCGATCTTTGCGGCATTGTTCCGATCGGTGTTCCAGTTTGGCTACACTACCATCTTCGGTTGGTATGCCACCTTCCTGTATCTTCGAACCGGATCTTTGCTGGCGGTCATTCTCGCGCACAGCTTCTGCAACTGGTGCGGACTTCCCCGACTGTGGGGAAGGGTCGAGGCAGGTGTCCCCATCGGGCCGCCCTTGGGTAAAGGCAAAGAAGACTCCGATGTGAAGGACGCATACGCCGCTTATGGTAAACTGGGCCTGGGCTGGACAGTTGGGTACTATGTACTCCTCGTATCAGGGGCGATTGCCTTCTATTACGCCCTATGGCCGCTAACTGACTCGCCAAATGCGCTTGCTGCGTTTACAGGAGGGTCCAAGTGATCGCATGTTTTCTTTGGCGCTTCTCGGCCTTGAGAACATACATCAGGGTATTGCCTATTAGCTTTTTATTTCTCCTGTTTTGATATTTCCTCCTATATATGATGTTAATACTTTGTCCCACTGCGCCATATTACGATAACACGGGCAAGTGGATATCTGTTGAGTGATGTTGACATGACCCTTGTATGGAGCGGGTTACGGCAGCATGACAGTTTGATAATGATAATGACGAGTGCCTGATATGCTTCTACTTGTAAGTTGGTAGGAGAATCGAAAGGAATATTCAGTCCTTTGTTTAGTAGCCGGACTGAAGAGACAGGATAAATCTCCGTTATCTCCGAGTCCACCTCGGACAAACACTTGTGTTGGCTTGCCTCATAATCAGGTCATAATCCGCTGATTTATCTGCAAAGTTCTCAAAGTACCTCTACAATTAACCCCTCTCGCATAACCTAAAGAGGCATACTTCATGAGGCCACGATTGACGAATTGCCGCTCACTCATAAGTGGGTGCGGCAAGACCACAACACCAGCTCGGTTCTTCTCTTCCCGCATTTCCCACTCGAATCTACGCGCTCCTCTCAATATACCACCACCTTTTCCTGTGACTGAGAAATGTCCAGAACCAACCTGCTCATGTCCTGCTACACCAGCTATGCCCGAAGGGCTCACGATCGACTTTGATCAGCCATTGAACGGAACAATGGCAGCATACACCCAGCAGGTCGTCATCTGCACTGGCCAGAAAGACTGGGAGAGTCGCATTGAGGACGCTGGCAAGGGTCAAAGCTGGGGAGAGCTAGTGAGAGGCTTGAAGAAGCTGATGGGCCGTGGTGGGCGCTATGCAGATGTAAGTGTCGCTTGGTGCTGTTCTACAAGCGCTGACAAGATGTGATTCGGTAGCCGTTCAATAACGTCTTGGTTTCGAACTCATCCTTTCCCTCTTCGTCCTCCACTTCTACCGCCTCGGCCTTTCTTTTCCCCGGATTCAAATACATTCCTTCAATCTCCGTGAATGTCTCCGAGGAGCAGAATGCGCAGACAGATCTCGCAACGTTCGTCCAAGCCTTTCTTCTCCCGGAACAGCTCAATTCTATGCAAGATTCCCTCCCCGAATCCAAGCGGGCGAAATTAACCCGCAAGCCTGAACTTGAGTCCAGTTTCCCAGGTGCCATCGACATTCAGTACTCTCCTGTTGTATTGATATGCGGTCATGGTGGGCGTGACATGCGCTGCGGAGTCATGGCACCTGTTCTAGAAAAGGAGTTCAGCCGCGTCTTACGTGCGCAGGGTTTCTCATCCGCCGGAGGGGACGGCAATACCGCTGACAGTCCCGAGCATGCCCATATTGGACTGATCAGTCATGTCGGTGGTCACAAATATGCTGGAAATGTGATTGTGTACATTCCTCCCGGGATGAAGGCAGGTGGCTCCCCTCATCCGCTGGCGGGTAAGGGTATTTGGTATGGACGGGTTGAACCCAAGCATGTCCAGGGTATTATAGATGAGACTATAATGAGTGGAAGAGTGGTACTTGATCATTTCCGGGGTGGCATTGATCGCAACGGTGACATCCTACGAGTATAGAGTTGAGTTGTCCAGGATATAGACTCTTCAGTCAGATCACACGTGTATATATAGATGCTAGGATAGATCATGAATTGCCCATTCGGCCTTCTTTACCGCCGAAATTCTCTGGATCGAGCATATAGGCTTCCTCTCAAGAAACTGATCAACAAATACAAGCTGATTGCCTCATTTGTAAGGTATTCCGTCCCAAACCAGCTAGCTCGGCACTAACCCAGTTTGGGGTGTGAACCTGCCGGAGCCGAAAATCATCGTCGGAGAACGGAGTATCTGGACTGAGAGACTCTGGGTCATGCTTCGATATCAGCTCCATTGCCCGATACAATTTGCCTCAATGGCCGAGTAATCAATTGTCCTGCAACATACGATGGTCAAACACCGACCATGCAATCCATATCCCGACTACGATTGAGCCCGACCGTCTTCATACAAGGCCGATGGAGATGCGTCGCCCACCGCCCGGTCTTAAGCAATTTCATGCGACTCGCGACGACGTCAGCGACTCCGCTACCCAGGAAACTCGATCTGCCGGCGATTGATAGAAAATGGCAGGAGAAGTGGCAAGCGGAGGGAACGCGGTCGTCGTCCAACGGCAGCGCGAACAAAGAAAACCGGGGGACAGACCAAAGTCGTACATCCTCTCCATGTTTCCCTACCCCTCGGGGACATTGCATATGGGCCATTTACGGGTCTACACGATTTCGGATATATTGGCGAGGTTCTATCGTATGCGAGGGCATGAGGTTCTCCATCCGATGGGCTGGGATGCGTTCGGATTACCGGCGGAGAATGCGGCGATCGAACGCGGGATTGACCCGGCCGAGTGGACGAAGCAGAATATCGCGAAGATGAAGGAACAGTTACGCAGCATATCAACGTCTTTTGACTGGGATTGGGTATGTGTCGGATACTTCTCAATTGGACTAGTTCGCTCTCGTTGACCAGCTCCGGCGCGGGCTCTAGGAACTGGCGACGTGCTCGCCCGAGTTCTACGAACATACTCAGCGGATATTCCTCATGTTGTATCGGAAAGGTCTTGCCTATCAGGCAGAGGCGCTCGTCAATTACGATCCGGTTGATAAGACGGTGCTTGCGAACGAGCAGGTGTGTCTGTTACTCTGCAATGGATACTCTTCGGGCTAACTTCTCCAGGTTGATGCCAATGGTTTCTCATGGCGCTCCGGCGCAAAGGTTGAGAAGCTGAAGCTAAAACAATGGTTCTTCCGAATCACGGATTTCAAGGAAATGTTACTGAAAGACCTGGACTCGTTGACCGGGGCTTGGCCTGAGCGCGTATTGACTATGCAGCGCAACTGGCTGGGCAAGTCATACGGTGCGAAAATCAAATTCCCGGTCGCTGTTGATGGGAGCGGTGATACAAGTCTCCATGTCAATGTTTTCACCACGCGCCCAGACACCTTGTACGGAGTCGAATACATCGCTCTCTCTTTGGACCATCCTATTGTCCTCGAGGCTGCAGAAAATGATGCGGCCTTGCGAAAATTCCTCGATGAAGCAGCTTCACTTCCGCCCGACTCTAAGGTCGGTTACAAGCTGTCGGGTGTGACTGCTTCAAACCCGTTGCACATCATTGACAAGGAAAGCCCTCACATTGCGCGGAAATTGCCAACCTTCGTGGCCCCTTATGTCCTCAGTGATTACGGCGAGGGAGCTGTTATGGGAGTCCCAGGTCATGACTCTAGAGACTTGGCGTTCTTCAAAGAGAACACAAATCCCGAATCAATTCCACTTGTTATCGGACCGGAACACTCGCCTAACCCAAATAACGATAGCACAGGAAGTGTTTCATCTCCAAACGATATGAAAGCATTTACCCAAGAAGGTATCCTTACCTCGAGATGCTGGAAATACCAGGGCCTGCACTCCCGTGAAGCCAAGAAGCAGATCGTGACAGACCTCAAAGGTGTTGGTCATGGTGATTTCGTTGAGCAATGGAGACTCAGGGACTGGCTTATCAGTAGGCAGCGCTACTGGGGAACTCCTATCCCTGTAATACACTGCGGCAGCTGTGGCCCTGTGCCTGTGCCTGAGGACCAACTTCCCGTCCGACTACCCAAGATTGAGGGTGACTGGCTCAAAGGGAAAAAGGGCAATCCGCTTGAGTCGTCGCAGGATTGGGTCAATACAAAATGCCCAAATTGCAGCGGGCCTGCAAAGCGCGACACAGACACCATGGATACCTTCGTTGACTCTTCCTGGTACTATCTCCGCTTCCTGGACGCCCATAACAAGGAGCAGCCATTTTCTCCTTCAGCAGCGCGACCGGTCGATATCTACATCGGCGGCGTCGAGCACGCTATCCTGCACTTGCTGTATGCTCGATTTATCTACAAATTCCTTTCCCAGACGGAGTTGTTTCCGGACATTGCTCGGAGCGGTGACGTCTTAGGACCTTCAGAACCGTTCAAGACAGTCCTGACCCAGGGTATGGTCCACGGAAAGACGTATACTGAGCCGTCCACTGGCCGGTTCCTACTCCCATCGGAGGTCGATCTTTCCAATCCGAACAAGCCCCTCATCAAGGGCACCCAAGTTGCCCCCAGCATCTCTTTTGAGAAAATGTCGAAGAGCAAACACAACGGAGTGGATCCCACGTCTTGCGCGCTACAGTATGGCGCTGATGCTACTCGTGCGCATGTTCTTTTCTCCGCGCCTGTCAGTGAGGTGCTGGAATGGGATGACACGAAGATTGTGGGCATCGAGCGTTGGTTTGGACGGCTCTGGAAACTTGTGCTAGACGCCAAGCAAAGTCTGGCTTCGGCGTCATTTACAGTTTCACACACTGATCTGCAGAACTCCGCCAGCCCTATCTCCACACTTCCTACCCTGTTGCAAGGACTTGGTGATAGTGACGCTGATGGCCTTCTCCACACCCATCAGACCATCGTATCTGTGACCAACTGCATTGAAAACAACCCGTACGGTCTGAACACCGTCATCTCCGACCTGACCAAGTTGACCAACACATTGACATCGTCAACCCCGACATCTCCCCAGGTTTTGTACCTTTGTGTCTCCGCACTTGTCCGGCTTCTCGCTCCCGTGGCCCCGGCCTTGGCCTCTGAATGTTGGGAGGTTTTGAACAATTCACTGCTTGAAGAGATTGCGAGCATTGGAGCCCGTGTACCAGATGTCTTCGACTGCGCGTGGCCCTCTCCCCTTTTAACCTCCGAACAGGCTGATGTTCTATCCGCGCGCGGGGGCCAGATCGTAGCTGTTCAGATCAATGGAAAGCTACGCTTCACGGTGACTATTCCTCGACGATTGTCACCCACAACATCTGCGGAATCCAGCGACAACTCTGGTGCAGTCACCGATGAACAGGACTGGATTATCAGCCGAATTTTGGAAACGGACGAGGGCCGTGTCTGGTTGCGAGAGAAGAACGACTGGGAAAAGCGGAAACGGGTAGTGGTTGTCAAAGGAGGCAAACTGGTCAACATTGTCTTCTAAACTGCCAAGCTGCTGAAATCGCTCCGGCGATTGCCCCGGGGTACCTATGTAGTATAGACATTGTCATTGTACATTAGAAGTATAGTAGATTCATTTCGCGAATGCCGCATCATGGAACCAAAATCACTTGCAAGAAATTCCGAACTTTCCTGATTTTTGCAGCGTCAGTTTTCTGGTTCAGCGACAATAACCGGGATTGACAACTCGAAACAATTGCCCATGCGCCCGTGTTCCGCACTTGCGTATGTCTCTTGCAGATTGCGCGGTCGAGTGAGGAGCAGTGGGGAGCTGGCGGAGGCGTTCCCCTCATCATCGCGAGCTGAGGAGCTTGACTGTGATGGTTTACGGAGTAATTCGGTGTCATTCGGTATCATACCCTCAATCTCAACAATGATGCGCATTGCTTGATTGATGGAATCCGAGGATTCGGATGAATCTTGGGAATAATTCGGACAAGACTATTGTAGATACTTGCATCATTTGTCATTTGACGTTTGGTTGGAGAGCCTGGAGCTCCGATTAGTGGGCCAAGCTTGACTGGGAGCCAAGATTCCAGAAGAACTGCATTGCATCGGGTCTTTGAGACACCAGCTCCAAAGTACTCTGCGACATGATCTGGATATCCTTAACTGATATCTGATATTTGTTCATCCGTTCGAGCAGCAATTTCTCGAGCCAGATTCGGGTGGTTTGACTTGATGTTTGACTTAATGTGGACAGCACCCAGAAGATACTTCTGTACCTCTCCTCTGAAATTTGAGAGGCCGTGCGGGGTATGAGGGGCGGGCTCTCCTCATGAGGGGCAGGCGATGTGATGAGGGGTTGTACAGCTATCTGGATGTGGAATAGTGCCATACCGATCCCCTCAGCTTAAGTGGGAGGTGGGTATTGAGGGCATCCGTTTGTTAGGGTGAGCAGAGGGGAACCCTTTAGAGACGTTCTGACATCGTTAAGGCCGAGAATAAGCCGCGACTGACGTGTACTTTTTGAAGCCTGTGTTGTGGACTGTGTGTGCATGATCCCCCTCTTAAGGCTGTTTGCTGCATGAGGCTGGACCCAGGATCCTCTCTTCTGCCCACCCCTCACTAAGAGGTCAAGGCACGCTTTTTTCTGCGCTGCTATGCAAGGATATGCAGGTAAGTATCGTCGGGTCAATATTTGGAATCTATTAAATCAATTCGTAGTGTGTATCATTGTATAGTATTTCGGGTCTCACATAGACGTAGCAGTACCTATACGTTGTCGCACAACGATAAAGTTGTTTCATTGGAACCAGTTAGTAAAGCGATACTTGAGTGATAGGTATTACATGCATATTCCAGAAAAGAAATCATTACTAGGTACCAGGATAAGAATCCTATTACCTTGTCAAGTAGCGCCAACTGTCAAAGCTCTCTCCAACTCCACCACTCGGGATGTCTTTCTTGTTGTCCCGCATGCGGAGAGAGTGAGAGACCCAATAATCGATCATCCCACCCACTTACCATGGGATCCGTCGATCCGTCCGTATTCTTGACTACTGGACTAAGGAGTACCTAGTATTGTTTGTTAGCTGAGGTGGTCTTCCATGTTACCTTTGGAGTGAACCAGGTTGCTCTGGCATGGCCCACTGGTCGGTGGAGTTCCGTTCATCCCCAATGGATAGTGCCGCGTCTTCGAGACCTTGATGGTTACTATGTGGTAATATGGTACTACTATGCACAGTTACTAGTAGCACTGGTGTGTTGAGAATTGGAGAGGGGCAATTTGAATCGGTCTGTTCGCCATAAAAATTGGTCTAGTAAAGGACCCAGAGAGGTCTATATATTTGGGGCAATGTCCCTGTAGTTCTGACTGCTCGTTTATTTTCTATATCGATCTCATCATCTTCATCATCTTCAACATCATCAACATCAGCTCATTCTTTTACTTGACCGAATCCGGTAAGTCTCTTGATATGTCACATTCTCTCCTCATTCTTCCCTCTCCGGTCTTCGTGTACCTCAATAGCCATAGTTAGAAGAGGATGATTCCCCACCTTCGACTGCCATTCGGCTTTCCCCCGCCCTGCATCATGCTTCCATCACGGCCATTGAATTTATGCTCCGAAATAACCCTTGAATATCTGGCTCCAGGCCCAAAGTGAATGACGATTTAAATAGAGTGCTGACTCCCTCCTCAATCCTAGGTTCACCACTCAATCATCCTTCCTCTTCCTATCTAACTCAATCAACTTCTATTCAAAATGGTATTTATCCGTTCTTTGTCCCGTCAGCTGCGGCGGCCTGCCACTTCTTTTCTTTCTACCAAAGGAACCTTTTCTTCCCCCAGCAGTAGTCCATTCCGGGCTGCTTCGCTGGGAGGTTCCATCTCTGGTGCACGAACGCTGACAGCCTCTGCCAATCTACAGGGCAAGGTTCTTATGGTCCTCTATGACGTAAGTACCCGTACCAACATCTTTCTGCTACGATATGACAAGGCCTGGAATCTGATCGACGGTGAAAACAGGGCGGTGAGCACGCCAAACAGCAACCTGGCCTTCTTGGTACCACCGAGAATGAGCTTGGTTTGAGAAAGTGGCTCGAGGAGCAGGGCCACACTCTGGTCACCACCTCCGACAAGGAGGGCGAGAACTCCACTTTTGACAAGGAGCTGGTCGATGCCGAAGTCATCATCACCACCCCGTTCGTGCCCCATCTGGAGTTACTTACCCTGGCGCGGAATTCCTGACCGTCTGTTGTAGTTTCCACCCTGGTTATCTCACCGCAGAGCGCTTGGCCAAGGCCAAAAACCTGAAGCTCGCCGTCACTGCCGGTGTTGGTTCTGACCATGTTGACCTCAATGCCGCCAACAAGACCAACGGGGGTATCACTGTCGCCGAAGTCACTGGTTGCAATGTTGTCTCTGTCGCCGAGCACGTTGTCATGACCATTCTGACTCTGGTTCGCAACTTCGTCCCTGCCCATGAGCAGATCCGCAACGGTGAATGGGATGTTGCCGCGGTTGCCAAGAACGAGTTCGACCTCGAGAACAAGGTCGTTGGAACCGTTGCTGTTGGACGTATCGGTGAACGTGTGCTGCGCCGTCTCAAGCCCTTCGACTGCAAGGAGCTGCTCTACTACGACTACCAGCCCCTCAAGCCTGAGGTTGAGAAGGAGATTGGCTGCCGTCGTGTTGACAACCTCGAGGAGATGCTCGCCCAATGCGATGTTGTCACCATCAACTGCCCTCTGCACGAGAGCACTCGCGGTCTCTTCAACAAGGAACTCATCTCCAAGATGAAGAAGGGTAAGTTTTGCTATCACGGTTCGACTTGCGAACGACACATCCGCTAACTGTCTCTAGGCTCTTGGCTCGTCAACACTGCCCGTGGTGCTATTGTTGTCAAGGAGGACGTTGCCGAGGCCGTCAAGTCCGGCCACCTCCGCGGCTACGGTGGTGATGTCTGGTACCCTCAGCCCGCCCCCAAGGACCACCCTCTTCGGTACGTCCAGGGCCCCTGGGGCGGTGGTAACGCCATGGTTCCTCACATGTCCGGTACCTCGATCGACGCCCAGATCCGTTACGCTCAGGGCACCAAGGCCATCCTCGACAGCTACTTCTCCGGTCGCCACGACTACAGACCTGAGGATCTCATCGTCAAGGACGGTGACTACGTCACCAAGGCCTACGGTCAGAGACAGAAGTAAATGTCACAATCACTTTATGAAGCGAATGACTGAATGTATTTATTCTTGCACATTTCTTCGGTTCACTCACCTTTATGAGTGACTTACCTATCTTATGATACCTAAATGGCATTTCTCTTTCTTCAATCCGTTGGTTACTAGGCGAGTTCTAACTCGGCTCTTACTCTTAGTTCGAAGTGCAAGATTAATAGCTGATTGTAGTGTTAAGATTGAGTCACCATGTCATGTACGCGGTTACATGCTTGATACGCAATACAGATGCTCGGCGGCATTTGGTGGGAGTAGTGTCCTTATTCTACTGCTCAGTGCTTGTCAGGGGCATACATAGTTTGGCTTGGGACTAGCTGGTGGAGACCGTCGATCAGCTAAAGCTTAACCCTTTTAGAGTTGCTTCACCTGTAGGCGCAATCTTGCTCCCTTGGAACCATGGTGATGCCGTCAATAGGTAGTTCAATACAAGATGACTTGTTATCTTCCAGGGTGTTGAGACCTGATTTAATTGTGTTTCAAGAACTGGACTCTCATCAAATCACATTGATCTGAAAGCTCGTGCTCGAGGCCATAGTGGACTACATGACACTCGAGTTATCAAATGGGCTTGAACCACAACTATTATGATAAATGTTAATATATAAGTGAGGATCAAGCCCAATGGGGATACTTTCTGTTCTGATGCATAAAGTGCCGACGCCCCGTTTACCTCGCGTGTCTTGTGCAGAAAACATGCGGGGTCGGCTATTGCTTTGGACAGTCGAAATGAAGATCCCGACGTTAGTCAATGGGATAAACTATGCCCTTGAATGCTACAAAGTTGGAACGAGGTTATAGTCTACGCGTAAAAGATATGTCTACTGTTGTGGAGTTGGCATTCTCCACATATCTGGCATCATTTGGTATGTACCTTATCCAGCCTTTGAGACGAGATTGCCACGGGTATTCTGAGCATGTATATGTCGGATACCTCGATACGACTCACTCGGGGTATCTATGTCCATGGAACATTCTAACGAGCTCCGATTAAGGTTCAATGAAAATTCTCATGAGATCCATCAGATACATGCGAAAATATCTGAAGATGTGCTGGACTTGTGCCGCTTGTCTAATATGCATATACCCAAACGCCAGCTGTAACTGCAAGACAAACAATAGTCGATCACAAATCATCGGCGGGCTCTTGAATGACCCTGATCATCCCCTTCATCATCGCTATCGTCCATGAACCCCTGCTCGAGGTCCCGGCTGAGTCGGCTACTGGCGTCAGCCGTATCGCGCCGTCTTTCAAGCGCTTCCCTCCGAGAGGGATCCATGTCCATTCCGACCATAATTTCCCCCTCCTCGTCGAATATGCTAATGTTATCATGTTGTCCGTCGGTCTGCCGCCGCCACGTCGATGGCAAGAAGAAGCGCATGACGGCATCGGCTACACGATCTCGCAGGGACAAAGTATGCGCAGAAATGGCTTGCATCGGAAGATATTGTGAGTAGCGTTGATGATAGCGACGGAAGAACGGGACAATGAGGAATGAGAGGAGGAGGTAAAGCGCCAGGGAGATTACGGCGGGTATAAGAAGGGTCTGAGCAGGAACTGATCATTAGAATCGACCACATCAGAATATGACACCGCGGAAAACTTACCTTGGCCAGACTTGACATGGAGCCCATCTTGACTGTGGCTCAACGTGGTGGCTTGAGTTGCGTATACAGTTATAGGCAACAGCCTAGGTATAGACTCAGGAGTAATGACGGTGACGGGTCTCTGATCAACATGAAGCCATCATGCTCACGTCACACATAAATAAAACAAAGCGACTAGAACTTCTCTAAATTCCCATCAGGCTTCCAGAAGCCCAAGCCTGCTGACGATTATCTTACAGCCTGCTCCGTGTCGCCCAGCTGCAGACTAATGCGGACGATGTCACGTGACTTTATCTCCTTTATTGAAAGAATGGTCACGTGAGTCAGCGGCCCTACTGCGTTCTAGAGCCGCCTCTCACGCCCCCCCTAAACGAGTAATGCCCGCGCTTTAACCCTGACAAGAAAACGACGTTTCTAGCATCATCCTAGTGCCCACACAAGCAGGAAAGCGATCACGCCCTTTTTGGGAGACCGATAACCCTCGCTTGTGGTGTTGCGCATTTTACGCGTCCAGTCCGGAAGAGGAGGGAGGATTTAAAGTGTTACTATTCGGCGCCCTCCCCCTCCTGTTCTAGCGCTGCTCCGCAGCGGGTATTCAACTGCTAGTCAGGAGTCCCAACTACGGCTTATTGGATTTGAGCTGGATGTCGTTGACGCCCTTGCGCAGGTTTGACAGCAACGGGGTTCGTCGGTTTCTGGGAACAACCTTGTCAGCGACAACGCTTCTGTTTTAGATCTTCTGGTTGTGGACAACGCTCATGCTGCGCCCTGCATCTCCCCAGCGACGCCCGTCAAGATGCCAACCACATCTGCATCCGACAAATCGAGACAAACCTCGGCTGGCAAAGGATTTTTCGGGAGGAAGCTGCATAAGGAGAAGCCGGTAGATGATCGGTATGAGGGTTATGGAGGGTCGGAGAATCTCGCGCCCCCAGGAAACACTGCTGGATCCCGTTCGTCCCGGCACTCGAAACGATCATCCGTTCAATCTGTGGATTACTCGCACGACTTCGATCCAAGCGGAATCTCGATGACCGCCGGTGTCATAACATCCATTCCCTTTGAGAGCCTTCCTGCCGATACTAGGTCTCCGATACCGGTAGATTATCTGTCCAGGGCGGAGACATCGCCGCGAAAGGAGCCGTCGCCAAATCATCTTGCCAAGGGAGGCGGTGATTTTCATCAATACCCAGCATGGAACCCGACGGGACTACGAGAAAACAACGCCTTTTCCCATCCTACTGGGCCCCGTCCCCCGCCGCATGCGTCCAATGTGTCTATGGTCGGGAGTACTGCAGGAGACAAGAGCGCGAGGTATCAGCAGTGGGCAAGACCAGGCAGTTCGGCCACCAATGCTGGGTTCAGTCATAATTCTTCGTCCACCGTGGATTCGTCATCGACTTCGCGGATGTCCCTTGATCAGACCAGCATCCATTCGTCTCTCTCCTCCAACACAAGGGGCTCGAGTTATATCTCTTCGGACGGCTCAGCACGGACGCTCACAACATCACATTCGGGTGACCGTGGCACTCTCTTCCCGAGCAGCGGCAACTCCAGTCGATTCTCCACTGCACAAGCGGCATGGCAAGCTGCTCAGCTGGCTACGCACCCTGCTGCACCGGCCCTCAATCCTGAGCAATATCTCACGCGACCCAGGGATGATCGCATAGTGGACCAACTGTTCCTTGACTTGATGCAAAAGCGAGGCTGGCAAAACCTTCCAGAGCAGGCCAAGCGGCAGATGCTGGCGTATCCCGCATCCAAGAAATGGACACTAGTACATCAGGACCGCTTGACGGAACTCCAGGGTGAACAGAAGCGGAGACAAAACGCAAGGCAAACTCATGGCCATGACGGTCCAACCGGCATTCTCGAGCGGGCCGATGAAGAAGGGAGCCCGGAGTGGTATGTGAAGAAGGTCATGGACGACAGTATCACCTCGAAGCAATTGGCCAGCTTGAGTGTCAGTCTGCGAACGCAACCTATCAGGTGAGTTTCTTGTAACAGCCTTACAGCATCCTATCTCCTGCTAATAATATGACAGTTGGGTCAGAGCCTTTGTCGAAGCACAAGGTCAGATCGCTTTGACCAATGTGCTCTCTAAGATCAACCGCAGGAAAGCTTCGGGTCCTGTACCCGCACCACCGACAGGCGACCGGGACTTGGATAGAGAGTACGATATTGTCAAGTGTCTCAAGGCCCTCATGAACAACAAATATGGTGCGGACGACGCAATCAATCATCAACAGGTCATTATCGCTCTCATCAGCTCGCTACTATCTCCGCGGCTGAACACAAGGAAATTGGTCAGTGAGGTCCTGACCTTCCTATGTCACTGGGCGGAAGGCGAGGGCCATCAAAAGGTCCTGCAGGCCATGGATCATGTTAAGAACCAGCACGGCGAAACTGGTCGCTTTGACGCCTGGATGCGAATCGTGGAGGTGACGATCGACGGCCGGGGCAAAATGGGCAGTTTGGTCGGTGCCAGCGAGGAGTATCGCAGCGGTGGCATTGGCATGGAGAATCTGCTCATGGAGTATGCGGTCTCAACCATGATGCTCATCAACATGTTGGTGGATGCGCCGGAGAATGACCTACAGTTGCGATGCCACATCCGGGCTCAGTTCATCTCCTGTGGCATCAAGCGTCTTCTGACGAAGATGGAAGGCTTCCAATACGAGGTCATCGATAAACAGATCGAGCGATTCAGAGAAAATGAGGCCATTGACTACGAAGATCTCCTTCAGCGGGAGAGTAGCAGTATGAAGGACAGCATCGAGGGTGAGGTCAAGGACATGAGCGATCCCCTGCAAATCACGGATGCCATTCTGACCAGACTCAATGGGACTCGTGCCCATGATTACTTCCTTTCTGCTATGCAGCACATGCTTCTCATACGGGAGAACTCTGGGGAGGACGGTCTTCGAATGTTCCAGCTTGTCGATGCCATGCTCAGCTACGTTGCCATGGACCGCAGACTACCTGATATGGATCTACGGCAAGGATTGACTTTTACAGTACAGAGTCTCCTGGACAGGCTCCATACTGATGCAGAGGCAAGGCGAGCGTACGACGAGTCCCTTGAGGCGCGGCAGATCGCGGAGGCCGCAATTGCGGAACGGGACGAGATGAAGGCGCAGGTGGAGATGGGAGCGGATGGTCTGGTGAAGAAGCTGCAGAAGCAGATCGATGAACAAACGAGCATCATTGAGCTTCAGACTAGACAAAACGAGGCCCTCAAGGCAGAGCTTGCCGACGTGCAGCGGCTGCGTGCTCAGGAGCTGCAGCGGAATGAACTGGAAACCAGAGAGCTCTATCTGATGCTCCGGGACGCTCAGGATATCGCTGCATCGAATGCCAAGAAGAATAATCTGGCCGAGACCAATCCTTCGCACATGAGGGGTATTCTGGACCGGGAAAGACTGCTGGAGCGGTTGGAGAAACAGCTTGAGCGGACCAAGACTCAGTTCAAGCTGGAGGGCAAAGTTTGGGGCCAACATGGACCTTCTGACCGACTGCGCGAGCTACGGGAGCAGATGGACGGCGAACCTGACCCTGAGGACTTTCAGGAGCAAGCTCGTCGAAACTTGGAGACTAGCGCTCTGGGTTCTGTTCATCGCAAGAGAAGCCATGTTCCGGAGATGGAAGTTGCCAACGGTCAAGAGAGGCCATCGGACCAGGATGGGTCACTTCTCGTTAACTTTGGACGACCCCGAATGGATCCGGAACAAGCGTCTGATTTGCTGGGGGAGATTGCTTTCAAAGTTCCAAAGATCGACGCTGAAGATGCCGAAGCCGACGAGATTGATGCTCAACCAACTCAGCCAGAGACTGAAGAAGCCCAGGTCGGCCAGGATGAAGAAGTCAAGCCCGAGGACGAGACTGAAAAGCCCGAAGAGAAGCCTGTATCCGTGCCTGCACCTCCGCCTCCACCCCACCTCCACCACCGCCACCTCCTCCAGGTGGTGCGGTAGGCTTTCCGCCGCCGCCTCCACCGCCTCCTCCACCTCCGCCGCCGGGTGCCAAGGGTTTGGGAGTTCCACCTCCGCCCCCTCCTCCCCCCCTCCTGGCTTTGCTGGAGGAATGCCTCCGCCCCCTCCACCTCCCCCAGGTCGGTTCGGAGCACCCCCACCACCTCCGCCGCCTGGTGTTGGCGGAGGCTGGCGAGCCAATTACATGGCTTCGCAATCAGCACCTTCTCACCCAACTGCCGTCTTGTCGTCTATTAGACCTAAGAAGAAACTTAAGGCTCTTCATTGGGACAAGGTCGATACTCCACAGGTAACAGTGTGGGCTATTCGCGATCCCACTCCTCAAGCGAAGGAAGAGAAGTACAGCGAGTTGGCGAAGAAGGGTGTCTTGGACGAAGTCGAAAGGTTATTCATGGCGAAGGAGACCAAGATCTTTGGGGCCGGCTCCGGCGCCAAGCAGCGCAAGGACAGGAAACAGATCATCTCAAACGACTTATCGAAGACCTTCCAGATCGCATTGGCCAAGTTTTCGCAGTATCCTGTCGATGATGTCGTCCGTATGATTGTCCATTGCGATCCAGAAATTCTGGACAATATGGTGGTCATGGACTTTTTGCAGAGAGAGGAGATGTGCACGATACCCGAGAATGTCTCCAAGCTAATGGCACCGTACAGCAAGGACTGGACGGGGCCTGATGCTGCTAGTTCTGAGCGGGAGCAAGATCCAACCGAGCTTACACGGGAGGACCAGATCTACCTCTACACTGCTTTTGAGCTAAATCATTACTGGAAAGCGAGAATGCGGGCCCTTGCACTGACGCGCTCCTTCGAGCCGGACTACGAGCATCTCTCGACAAAGATGCGCGAGGTCGTGAGGGTCAGCGAGACCTTGAGAGACTCAGTCTCCTTGATGAATGTTCTTGGTCTGATCCTGGATATCGGTAACTTCATGAACGACGCCAATAAGCAGGCTCAAGGTTTCAAGTTGAGCTCGCTCGCTCGCCTTGGCATGGTCAAGGATGATAAGAATGAGACAACCTTCGCAGACCTCGTTGAGCGTATTGTCCGCAATCAGTACCCCGAGTGGGAAGGTTTCGTTGATGAGATTGGCGGCGTCATCGGAGTCCAGAAGATCAACGTCGACCAGTTGCGGGCGGATGCCAAGAAGTACATTGATAATATCAAGAACGTGCAGGCAAGCCTGGATGCTGGCAATCTAAGCGATCCCAAGAAGTTCCATCCACAGGACCGCGTGAGTCAAATCGTCCAGCGGAGTATGAAAGATGCCAGAAGAAAGGCGGAGCAAATGCAGCTTTATCTGGAGGAGATGGTCAAGACGTACGACGACATCATGGTCTTTTACGGAGAAGACAATACAGATGAAGGAGCTCGACGGGACTTCTTTGCGAAGCTAGCTTCGTTCTTGCTGGAGTGGAAGGTAAGTTTCTTTGTCTGTTCATCGTGACGATGACAACCATGGCTAATGGATTCTTAGAAATCGAAAGAGAAAAACATCGCCCTCGAAGAGGCCCGAAAGCGTACAGAGGCTTCTCTCGCCCGCAAACGTGTCAACGCCGGCCTTGCCAACAGTTCTGGTGCAGGCGATGCACCGGTGTCTCCTGCTACCAGCGGTGCCATGGACTCGCTCCTGGAGAAATTACGAGCTGCAGCTCCTCAAGCTAGAGATCAACGTGATCGTCGTCGGCGCGCCAGATTGAAGGAACGTCACCAGGTTCGCGTTGCTTCAGGTCAGAAGATCCCGGACCTCACCGGATCTGAGCCCGCAAATGGTGAAACGCAGACGGACAGTAACGGTACCACTCTCGTGGGCAGCAATGACGCTAGCACCACAGAGACCGGCCTGCTGAGCCCGCCAGGCCAGGAGACCGACGTAGACGCTCAAGCGAAAGAGCTGCAGGTGTCGGAGAGCGAAGACGTTGCAGACCGCGCTGCAAGCATGCTGCAAGGCCTCAGGGATAACATGGATAACAACGGAGAGCGTGCTCGACGGAGAAGAGAGAGCGCCGAGGAGGAACGTCGGAAACGCAGACTGAGAAGGAGAAATGGAGGAAATGCTAGCAAAGACAGCGCCGACGGTTCGAGTTTGTCGATCGTCCCAGAGCCCGCAACACCACCGCCCAGTACCGAAGCCTCAGCACTGAGTGAACCCGGCATGGCCAGTCCTTCGAATGATGAGGATGGGGCTTCACAACCTCCTCAAACTCCCTCTATTGTCGTTTCGCCGAACGCAGATGAGCATCAGGGATCACCCGGTGACGAAGATTCCCTCGATGGCTCGCCAAAGCATCAGCCTACAGAGCAGTCGGGTTGATCTAAATCCCATGATTGCTGGTCGCTCGGGCTGAAACAAAACCACCGAGCTCTCTTAATATAATGTTTGATTGATAGACTTACTGATGTCGTCTCGGAAACATTTCCCTATGTCTTTCAATGTATAATATCCCCCACTGTTACTTGTCTTCACCATTTTCATTTGATCACTACAGCCCTCTTGTTTCTTTCCGGTCAACACTAGCAGCAAGGCTATCTCTTTTCTAGACCTTTTACCTTTGTTCCCAAGCATACCTTCCTCGTGATTTGCTTTGATTCATCTTTCGAGAGTACATCATCCCAACAATCCGTCATCCATATTTCGGCATCTCTTAATTTCTGTTCCCTTCTCTGCATATCTATCCAAGCTTTCTTTCTTGATTCCATCTCTGTACATAGTTTCCGTCAGTTCTTGACTGTCTCTTTGCGCGTTCCTTCGGCGGTTCGTGCTTTTCCTGTACTGGCACGACTTCTTGGCCCTTGTTGTACCTCTTGGCGGTGGATCTTGAAGCGTCGGCTGTCTGGCGTATGGCTCGGCGTCTTTCGGCGCGCTGGCGTGACGAAGTGATGCAAGTGTCGTGTCGTTGAATATCCCCCATGCATATGTTGGTCCCTACAGTTTTCGCATTGACCTGCGTGGTCTGTTGCTCTAGGTCAATGGACCAATGGCGCCACCCACTTCAAGAGCAAAGTCCTAAACCCTGAACCACTTGACAAGTTGGCCGGCTATCCACTCAAGGCTCTATAAGCTGTTATAGGATGTCTGTCTAACATGCAGATGCTGTAAATAGTAGCCATTGTTCCAACCCAAGAACACGTATGTAATCACGTGATACCATGATTGATAAAACGGAATATCACCATTGGTTCTCCGCCCTCTACTTCCAACCACAACTTTCCACTCCACCGGCCTGCGCATGCGAGCATTCGGTTTTTGGAGTCTACGGCGGGCTTTTACCTTTCGCCCGTCATGGAGCCGATATTCTTGCATAGCAATTCCAAGTCATGGAGTTGCTCTTGATCTAGCACGACCGGCCCAGCGGAGATTACCCAGCACTTGCCGGCACTTCTCTGCATCTTCGAGCTGTCGATTCTCCTTGGAGGCCGATTCAACGATATATGCGCTCTCAACTGCTCCCGGTAGAGCCGCCATAGCGGTTGTACGAGTCTCTGGTTCCGCGTGTGTGCAGGTAGGTCAATGTTGACAGTTATTTCCAGGCGCGGCTGACACCAACTTTCCGACTTCTTCAATAGATCTATCGCGCCCTCTGTCCCAGTGCACCTCTTCCTCGCGCGCGCGTTGCCGCAGTACGCACCCTCTACGATCCTGCACAAGAGCCGTCCGCCAACGCAGTCCTCGATGCGGGCGCTCTTGTACTGTATTTCCCTGGACCCAAAACCGTCACAGGCGAGGACGTCCTCGAACTGCATCTTCACGGTGGGCCGGCTATCGTAAAGTCGGTGCTGGCGGCTATTGCCCGCACCAATCGGCCGGAGAGTCTGGTCCGCTATGCGGAGCCGGGCGAGTTTACTCGCCGAGCGTTCATGAATAATCGGCTCGACCTGCCGCAGATCGAAGCATTGGGTGATACGCTCACCGCTGATACGGAACAGCAGCGCCGCCTTGCTGTTCGCGGTGCCAGTGACGCTCTTTCGAAACGCTACGAATTGTGGCGCCAGCAGTTACTATATGCGCGCGGGGAGCTGGAGGCACTCATTGATTTCTCCGAAGACCAGTATTTCGATGAGTCTCCTGAGGAGTTTGTCCGTTCCGTCGCAGGACAGGTCCGAGCGCTGCAGACTCAGCTGAGATTGCATATCGAAAATGCGTCGAAGGGAGAACTGCTGCGCAATGGGATCAAGATCGCCCTGCTTGGGGCTCCTAATGCAGGCAAGAGTTCACTCTTGAATCGGATTGTGGGCAAGGAGGCCGCGATTGTCAGTACCGAGGAGGGAACTACTCGGGACATTGTAGATGTTGGGGTTGATCTCGGCGGCTGGTACTGCAAGCTTGGCGATATGGCTGGGATCCGGTCTGAGATGAGCGCTTCCACCGGTCAGGGAACTGTGGTCATTGGAGCAGTTGAGAAGGAGGGTATCCGGCGCGCCAGAGCCAGGGCTTTGGAATCGGACGTGGTTGTGTTGGTCGTCTCCCTGGAGGAAGGGACCAATGGCTCGCCTTACCGACTATCAGTGGACCAGGAGGTAATCGATGCGGTTAATGATTGTGTACAGGCTGGGAAGTGCATTGTTGTGGCTATCAACAAATGTGATCGACTTCCTGCAGCAGATCGGTTCAGCCGGTCACTGCATGAATTGAGGACGAAAATAAGGACGCTGTTTCCAGCCGTTCCGGAGAAACGCATATTCGACATATCCTGCCGCGAGGCCTCCGAAGGGACTCTGTCTGAGCAATTGGATCCGGGGAACATGCAGGGATTTCTACGAGGCTTGATTTCAACTTTTGAAGAGATTGCGTCCCAGCGGGAATGGAAGGGGATGAGAATGGACAATTTGATATTTCATATTGGGAAGATTCATTGGGAGTGACCCATCGACAAAGCTCTAATCTACAAAGATGCATGCAACACTTGGACGATTTCCTGAACGAGACTACCCAAGCCCTAACGCCCCGAACTCCCGGCTATGCTCATGATCGAAATATTGAGACTGAAATTGATGTCGTGATGGCAGCCGAGCATCTGCGATTCGCCGCCGACACTCTCGCCAAGATCACCGGCAAAGGCGAGAGCGGCGACGTGGAGGATGTCTTGGGCGTCGTATTCGAGAAGTAGGTTCTCCTGTGTGATTATGATAGTGTTGCTTTGCGGCTAACATCGGGGCTTGTTTTAGGTTCTGCGTTGGAAAGTGAAATTGCAAATATATTCGTCGATTTGACAATCCTAGGCATCTATATGGTTGCATCGCTTCCGCCAAAAATGGCGTACTCCCATCCCACAGCCCATATCCCAGGCACCGCCGTTCGTCCCAACACATGATGGTGGCCGAGAACAAGATCAACCGGGTCAATATATACCGACAGGTTCGGATTGACTCTCGAGCGTTATTTAGTCGTCGTCGCTATGCACGTCGTTATATCCGCCACGCCCTTGCATAGATGGCAAGTCGGGCAAGACGCCAGTGCAGGCGCGGCCGGGTACCGGATGGGAGGGCTTCGTGGATTTGGCGGGATCGTTGTATCCACCTCTTCCCATTGATGTTGTTAGGTTAAGGGAGAGGAGAGGAGAGGAGAGGACCGTTCAACCTTCTAAGGTCCAATTCTTCAACAATCGAGTCCTTGAGAAGTGTCGCAAGACTGGTAGGACTGACCAGGTCAAGATGATTGCGAACTCGTAGTTGTAATGCAATAGACTGAGATGAATACAATCTAACTGAAGAGACTCCTAATTTGAAGATGCCTACTATTTATACCTATACTCTCTTGTCTCCCGTCGAATATATGTCTGCCTCATGACACAAATCCGCCAGGCACCCACGGGGGCAGGACAGAACCGGACCGGAAATGACTAACATCCTGCTTGTTAATCCTTTGGAAATCGATCTACGATCTATTTTTGCAATAAACGATTATAACTAAGGACTCTGATTCGAGTTCCTTCTCGCATCTTCCCGATCGTTCTGCGTGACTTGCTTTCCAAGGTTGTATACATACAGGGGTTCGACTAGTTACATAGCTCGGATTAATCATAGACGGCTTACATTCACTGCCGCCTGACAAATCGGCCAGACCAGAATTGAGTTGCGGGTCGCTGGTAGGTTAATCCCGAGAGACGAGAATACCGTACCTTACTCATTTGCGGTTTCAGGGCAGGTGACAAACGAGGCGTTTCTTCAGCTCCTGTGGTGAAAGAATTCGTGACTGTTGCTTATCGTTGAGTCATAGGTGAACCAACGGGGAGTGGCTGCATTCCTATAGGGTAGGTATTTCGTCGGGGTTGGTCTCGGTGTTAGGGCTGTGCTGTTTTACTTGTTTAGATGGAGAGGATGATCTGGGATTGATTCTTCAAACTGCAAATGTGATGAATTAATGACCAAATCGATGATTGAGCTGACGCGGAGCTAGCTACTAACTCTAACCTCCCCCGTCCTCGGCTGCCTTTCTGATTGCTTTGAAGATCGCATATACAACATTCCTTTTCTGCTGCTCCCCGACAACCATGCAAACTGCAGTTGCCACAATGGCTTCATGGGCTTTGCTGAGGGAGCTGTCATAATCATAAGTGTCTCCTACATATGCATTTGGCGTGTGTCCGAAAACCCTGGATACCTCTGCCTTGTAGATGACCAAAATACCGTACTTTTTCTTCTCGACGCCGCTGAAATAGTGAGCAAGCACCGCTTCTCCTTGGCTATGATCAGAAGAAGATGGGACTCGAGCGGTCAGTTTAAGGTGATGCCATGGCAAGTAGCGCTTCGACCACTTGAGTTCCTCGGGGAGATCCCTCGTGCCCTTCCAGGCGAGATCAACCCCGGCGTTCTTCCACTGGTAACACCGAGTGCGCGTCGATAGTGGTGCGATCCAACATAGCGCCAGCGCTTCGTCGGCGCGCGCCGGTAGATGACCCTCATCTGGATCGGGATCACTGTCGGAATGACCAACTGCCTGCTGCGCATCTTCTTTGTTGGCCTTGGCCTTCGTTTCCTTTTTCTTCTGCTTCCGCTTCGCGTTCACGTCGCGATGGTACTGCTTTCCCGTTTCGCGCCAGAGTCGCCACGTGCGCACCTTGTAGCCCTTCAACGCGAGATCGTCGCCGTTGTCAACGCGGTTGTCGGGGTTGCTTCGTCGGTTCCAGCTCACTGCGCCTCTTGGGTCAATCGCTGCGACCATATCCTCCCCGAATTGGAGGTTCCATAGTTTCCAGAAGACGGAGTTGTGGATGAGACAGATTGGGGTTCCCTGCTTGCTACTGCCTTGCCGCAGGGTTCGCGGCGGCCGGTGGAACGAGATGTAGGGTTTGTGGACGAAGAAGCCATTTGGATCTGTTGCAACTTCGGGGTTTTCCTTGAAGAACTTGCGTCGTTTCCTCGGTTTGATGGGAAGTTGGTGTGGTGAGATCAGGATGCTGTGCTCATTTTCTGGGTAGAGATGGTAGGTAGATATGCTGCCCTGCTGGGGAGCTTCTGGAGATGACGGCATTTTTCGCCATCGCTTGCATTTTGAGAGCATGGCGTCTGCGCAGGTTCAGTACAGCGTCGCCATCTCTTACATAAATTTAACCCCCTAACGGTTTCATTGAGATTGACGGAGGGAGGCGTAGCCAAGAACAACGTTTGGTCGGGCAAAAGATCGGAATCATCGACTCCTCTTCCAATTGAGCACGGGGCTTGAATGTCAATCATGACAAGTGCGTAAAAGGGGTGCGGACTGTGAAATGGCTGACGCCGGCCACTAGAATACGAGGTGTCTAGTCTGTTGACCCAGGGCGAGTCGGACGCCATCCGACCACGGACGCGAACAATACAAACAGATAATTTTATCAGTGGTAGATATCAGTAGAATGTGTTGCTTGATTTATCATATCATGTTTGTCAGTTTCACTGAATGGAATGAATCCATACAGCTTCTGCATCATTGAGAACACCCTAAATATCAATATGCCTAGTAAAAGGTACTTAAACAAGCGTTGGATTGCATAGAATGAGCTTGAAACTGTGCATCGGAATGGCTCGTCGCAAGTCTAGACTCTCAAAGGTTTCATAGTTCCGCGCATCTGTGCTTATCGATGAGGGTTGCGATAATGTACGTCACCGATTGCTGTTCACCAGTTGGTGGAGATAGCCAGTTGGCCGGGATAACCAGTTGGCGGACTATACCCGCTGCGAGATGAAGCGTCTCAATTTAGCCAAACACTTCGGCATTTGCAACAGATTATCGCAGCCGGGACTAGTCTCCATGTGCTGATAGAGAGCTGAGGAAATCGGAACTCGCGCCCACACCCAGGACCAGGGCAAAAGTATGGAAAATAATCATTTTGGTCCCGGGTGTACTAGCGGGCTTGGTAGCACTCAACGCCATCTCGTGAATATCACTAAGATCCACGCCCTTTGAGCATGTCCCCGTTTCGAAGTGGATCAGCATGGCAGAGAAAGACCCGAATACTCGGTAGCAGCTGAAGCATTCCTCGTCGCGCGCGTCGTGCGTGCGTTGGTGCTGTTTGAAATTAGGATACGGACAGTAGCAATTGAGCGAGGACATGGGGACGATCCATGCGGTAGTTGTTCTCGTTCCGAAAGTACCTCTTCCAGGTCGCTCTGAGACGGAAAGTCCACTTCGAATTCGCAGAGATGGCAGATGATCGCGTTTGAAGTCCTCTGACACGAAGACGCGTTCACATCGCGCACACCAGAAGTGGTCCCATCGACAGTGCTCTTCCAGGTCGGATCAGTTGTCAAACTGGTTCTGGCAGATGGTGCAGGTGTATTCAGGTCCATAGCGGGAGTCTATGTCCTCAACCACATAGCGACCTAATTGACACATTTTGAATAGATGAGATGACGGAATTTGATGGGATTAGAATGGGAATTGCCCCAGAGGTAACGGAGAAGGAAGGTATACACAGTTCTTAAATAGGCAAGTGGATAAACCGCGCGCGGCGGAGCTCCACTTGCCGGGGAATTCCCCTGGTTGACGTCTCAAATTTCTACCAAAACACCATCATCATCATCATCATCATCATCATCATCATCATCATCATTATGGCATTATAGTCGTAAATACAAAGATTTCATTACATGCAAGCCCTTTTCATCACAGACTTACTCCTCGCGCGCAGTATATACAGAAGATGAGGACTCCGAATCCGAGCTTACCATGCTAGTTGGCTCAGATACAGGGTCAACGGGGTCGAATGTGGATAGCAATGGTAACTTTGATACCGTCCGCCGACCCGGTTGTGGTGCGAGTACTTCGACCTCAGTCTCGGATTCATAAACAGTGGGAACTGGAGAGCCCCTCCAGTACGGCAGAGAGTAGTCGAACCAAGGCTCAGAAGTAGAGCCAGTGTGAGAAACACTTGGCTCAGGTTGACGGAGAGCCGTACCTGACGAAGAAGACTGTATCGCTGCCTCGAACTGCCTGAATTGTGGTGGATTGCTGCTCAAACCAATGCTGGTGCGTCTTCCTCCGCGCATATGCTCCGGTGTAGCGGACCGGCTTGGGGGCAATCCTTGCTCGAGGGTAACAGGCAGCTCCTGAGGCGCCATGGCCGAGGGGTCAACGCAGGGCTCTGGAGATCGAGTCGCCAAGGATAGCTGAGGGTCTATTGTCCTGTTATAGAGTGTTTCTCCTGTGGCTTGAGGGGGCTGGGAAGCAATGATATGGGTCTGCGCAACGAATTGCCTGCTATCTTGGGTCAACAACCGCCGGACTTGCTCCTTCCGCTCCTCAGAGATGATCGCATGAGGGGCGAAGCCGATTCCCGCGGCGTCAAGGCCGAACCTAGTCCCATCGTTTGCCGATGCAGGTCCACGTTGAAGCAACAATGCCAGAACGTCAGGATGTCCATAATACGCGGCGTAATGGTGTGGCTGCCATCCGGACTCGTCTCTCCGCACGACGGATGCGCCGTGCTGGAGGAGAAGGGATACTACGGGGAGATGTCCCCCCATTGCAGCCAGACACAGTGGGGAATCTTCCTGTGGCCTGGTTTCGTATGCCAAGTACAAAGGGCAACCTCGATCAAGGAGGTTCTGAACTGCTGCTGCATGGCCGTGGCGAGAAGCGACCCCGAGAGCCCGGTCACCCTTGGCGTCTCTAGCCTCCAGCGAGGCTCCCTTGTCACAAAGCAGATTGAGGATATTCATCGATCCACGAGCGGCTGCGATGTGGATGGGCCTCTGCTTATTGATCTCTGACTGCGCCTCGATGTTTGCGTTACTGATGAGCAGTAGTCTGGCAATCTCAAGGCTGTTGGCCAAACACGCGTAATGGAGAGGGGTGAGACCGTCGAGGCATCGTGTGTCGACCGGTACACCCTTGCGCACAAGTAGCTCTATCACCGCGAAACGCGAGTTCATGGCCGCAAGATGTAGGGCTGTTCGCCCTAGTTTGTTGGTTGCTGTCAGCACGCCCTTCTTCTGACTCAAGAGATCCACAATCTCGATGTGTCCATTGAACGCGGCCCAGTGTACCGCAGTCATGGAAGCATCATCCACACAATGCGTCGAGGCTTTACGCTTGAGCAGCTCCTGCGCCACCAGACATCTCCCCATTGCTGCGGCGCAGATGAGCGGCGTTCTTCGGTCACTTCCGGGCACATTGATATTCGCTCTGTTATCCAGGAGCAGTTTCATCACGCCTATGTGGCCTTCTTCGCATGCATAGTGCAACGCTGTCATCATCGCACCATCTCTTGCTTCTAAATCTGCACCACATGATATCAAAAGCTCTACAATTTCTTCGTCACCTCGCTTTGCTGCAGCATGAAGCGGCGTCGTATGATTTTCGGCTCGCACGTTCACCTTGGCATGGTGGGCAATCAACAAGCGGGTGGCTTCAAGCTGGCCTCGACCAGCCGCTAGCCAAAGCGCCGTCCTGCCCTGGACATCTCGTGCCTCGGTGTCCAATTGCTCCAGAAGAAGCAGCTGAAGTACATCACAATGGCCGCGTGAAGCCGCTAGATGGAGAGCTGTAGAACCCCAAGCATCGACAGCATCAAGTCTCGCGTTCTTCTGAATAAGCAAATTGACCACCGCCTCGTTACCACAGTGCGCTGCCACCAATAGTGCAGTCCTGCGAGTACTCAAATGCCGCGCATCAACTCCATGTCCACTTTCTATAAGCATCTCAATGTCAGCCAACCCTCCTGACTGGGCCAGTTTCACGATCAAAGGAGCTGTAGCCCCTTCAGGTGTTGTAAGATCAATGCTCGTCTTCAAATCTTTTTCGTCAACAGCGCGTGCTACTCTCGATGCCGTAGGGCTTAGACCGGAAGATCTCGAAGAGCTTGACGTTAGGCTGCTTCGACTGAATTGTCGAAAGACCGAACGTATCTTCTCGCGCTTGGACCCCAACGGAGGACGAGCACTTGATGGCGGTTTTGAATCTGATTGCGATCGTCGAACTTGACTCTGGCTGTACTGGCGCGGAGCATGTTGTAGCGTCACGCTCGTGCTATGACCATTGCTCATAACGATCGAATCGTTGGGACGAAGGGGCAGCGAGAAACCATCTGTTTGCGAGAAGCTGCGACTGGTAGTGGCTGCACTTGCATAGCCTTCATCTATGTCCGATTTGGATCGGAAGTGGTGGCCTGCGTAACGGATTGAGGGAGAAGAGGCAAGCACTCTGTCCAAATCAGAAGCGACGTTGCTGACGGATGGCTGGTAGAAGCTCCAACTCGAACCGTGTGCCTGGGAGCCTGCGTAGCTGGAGCTCCGAAGAGTGGCCGTATCATCCGCGACTTTTTTGATGATCTGGCGGTTTTCCGCTCTCCGGAGCAGCTCGACTTGCTCAGACGACGAGCGACTATCGCGCTGTCAGCATATAACGTGCATGTTAAGACTCGAGGCTCCGACCATTGACACGCCTGTAGCAGCAATTGTAAGGCCACAACCTGCGCATGGAGTCTTTCCTGGTGACCTCGCATGACATCCTCATTCCAAACCACTTTGACACGAGCTCTGAATCCAACGACAGAGTCCTGTCCTGCTATGTTCTGGACGAGGGACGCTACCTCTTCGGACAGAACCTCCATAACCGCCCGGCAGCCATCCAATGCGACATTCAATCCTTCAATGTACTCTTCAGATTTGGTCGTACCGCGGGCATTGAATTTAGCCCAATCCTCTAGGTGAGTCAAAGCTGATTCGATAATTGATAGCTCTCCGATGAGTGACTGGATGGTGAGATCGGCATTGCTGAATCTCCCCTTTAACTTGACCAAACCTGCGGTTGTCTGGGAAATGACTTGAGCGATTTGAAGAACTCCTGAAATCGCACCGATCCAGGTGAAGGGATCCATGGCGAAGATGGTTTCCTAACCTAGCTAGGAGACCAGCATTGGTCGGTAGGATTAGTGGAAGTAGATGTAGACAGCCACCGACTGCTATATTGGAATAGATATCAGGACGTGGATCGATGATATTTAATAGAAGAGAACAAAATCAAAAATAGAATGGCAATGGACAAGGACGAGAAGATATCAAGAAAGATTCGAATTGCACAGCCAAGCTGCAGCACTAGGTAGACCCTGCGGGCTGACAGTCACGGACGAGGCTGAAACTGACGAGGAGCAGCGGCCCTTGTAAGTTATGAGTGATCGTCCGTTTCCCCTCATCTGGAGACCCTGATTCAGTCGACACTGCCACAGTCAACAAGTTGTTAGATGCAGTCAGATCTTCCCCTGCTTGATATGCTCTGGATGTTGGCAAACGAAATATATGCTGTGCTGCAAATGAAGTGCTACACCTGGGTCAGTCTGACTGCTGATATCGGTAGTGCTTAACGAGATGGTAGCCCACCAATGAATGTCATCGTTCGCTGTAGTGATGCCAGAAGAGGGGTGTCAAGCTTCTTTTATGCCTGGGTTAATTGTGACTTGTGGTCTCTTTCAGAAGGGGCCAGCCCACCGAAAGGAGAGTTGAAGGTGGTCAAATCCGATTGTCCGATGCTGTTGAATACCCCGGGCCCCAAGGGAATGTTGCTCCTCTCTCAAGCATGCTTATTCCCTCAATGAAATACGACATTTCACCGGCATGGATCTGATGCAATAGAACATTTTCCATCATGGACATCTACTGTCTGAAGTGCAATCCCAGATAAACAATAATTGAAGATAGGCAAGTATGCTGGAATGGAAAGTGATATCTCAGATGAAGTTGCACTTTTTACCATAATAGGATAAGTTGAAGCTATACAAGGCAGATGCTCCTACACTATATACTCCCTATTAGAAAGGTTAAGTCGATGATATGTGCAGCCAAGACAAGACACCTTGTAGATAGGCCTTATACTAGACAACTTTGAAAGTAATACGTCAAACAATTATCCCTGGCAGAATAATCAATAACTACCGATGTCGTGATTGAGGCGGATGAGTCAATAATCCCAAGAGCAGCGACAGATCCGCTCTCGGGGATCACTATTAATCTCCGGCGGGGCCTGCGAACCTTCTGAGTCAACCCCGCCAACATTTAAATTTGTTTCTTCCTTTCTCAGGCCAAAACTATTTTGATTCCGCTTCAATTGATCAAAAGGTCGAGGCTTATACAGTCAATATGCCTTCCAGACAAGAGGTCGCATACTTTGGAGCTGGTCCTGCTCCCCTGCCCACCTCGGTCGTGGAGGCGGGCGCAAAGGCCTTCGTCAACTACAATGACTGCGGTCTCGGACTCGGAGAAATCTCGCATCGCTCTCCTGCCGCCAACAAGATCCTGGAAGATACCAAGGCGAGCCTGACAACACTCCTGGATATTCCCGATGACTACGAGATCCTGTTTATGCAGGGAGGTGGAAGTGGACAATTCAGCTCGGTCGTACAGAACCTTGTTGGAGTCTGGGTAGAACGCAGACGACAGAGAGCAGAGGCCGACATTTCGGCCACCGGAAACAAGGATGAACTGGTCTTTGAGAGATTACAAAAGGAGGTACAGGAGGAATTGAAGCTGGATTACATTGTCACGGGTTCATGGTCGTTGAAGGCAGCGCAGGAGGCTACCCGTCTGGTGGGCGCCAAACATGTGAACATTGCGCTGGATGCCAGAACCGCGAACAATGGGAAGTTTGGCAAAATCCCTGCGGAGGAGACCTGGACTCTCTCGCCCAGTAAGAACTCGGCGTTCGTTTACTTCTGTGACAATGAGACGGTGGACGGTGTGGAGTTCCCCAGCTTCCCGAAGATCCTGGAGTCGGACGACCGAATCGTCGTCGCAGACATGAGCTCGAATTTCCTCAGCCGAAAGGTTGATGTCAGCAAGTATTCTGTGATCTTCGTACGTATCCTTCCTATAGCGAAGTTCTGTTTTCGAGTCTCCGAGCTAATGGACAGCAGGGTGGTGCCCAGAAAAACATTGGTATCGCTGGTATTTCCATCATCATCATCAAAAAGACGCTTTTGCCTCCCCAGACACCTACACCAGCACCCGCTCTTCTTCATCGGTTGAACATTGGCGGATTACCGGGGAGCGTCGTACTCGACTACGCGACCATTGCGAAGAATAACTCCCTGTACAACACACTGCCCATCTTCAACCTGTGGATTGCTGGCCAGGTCATGGCCGAACTCGCCCAGACCTACGGTGCCCAGAAGATCACCGGTCAGGAACAGATCTCCAACCGCAAGGCCGAGATCCTCTACAGTGTTCTGGACAAGTACCCCCAGGTCTACCACGTCGTCCCGGACAAGAGTGTCCGGAGCCGTATGAACCTTTGTTTCCGGGTCTACGGCGGCGATGCCGAGAAGGAGAAGGAGTTCCTCGCTGGTGCTGAGAAGCGCCTGCTCCAGGGTTTGAAGGGACACCGCAGTGTTGGCGGTATCCGAGCCAGCAACTACAATGCAGTTCCCTTAGAGAACGTTGAGAAGCTGGCGAAGTACCTCGAAGACTACGCCACTGGCAATGCTTAAAAGGTCTCTCTGAGGGCTATGAACTCATTTCCTAACCGGTAAAATGTCTTTTCTTGTTTGTACGGAGTTAACCTCGACTACCCAGCTTTATTCAACATAGTGCCAAAATTATATATAATTTTATTTACACAAAAAGATTTAAAATGTTACATATTGTAAATTTACATAGACGGGATGGTGGACTCTCAAAGCTTCCAAACAGCCCAATCTTTCAGATCGAGTTCCTTGATAACTCCGTTAAGTGGACCTTGGAGTTCCATCCCCTGTGCCCACAGCTTTGGTCCTGCCATATAGCTGATGAAACCTTCCGGTCCTGACACAAGGATCATCTTACTGCCAGGAGGCCCATTGGGGGAGGCGGAATCGGTGAATCTCGTGATGGATTTGTTCTCAATGAACGAACTCTCTTCGTCCACAAAATAGTCAACTGTAACTTGGCCCGGATATCGAGCTTTGAGAGCCTCAAGCTCGCGGACCATGAGCGAAGTGACTGCCGGGTCCTGCGTGGGAGCTACTGGCGGAGGACTACTGGGTTTTGATGACCCGAACAGACGTAAAAACCAGGATCTTTGCTGCGCTTCGTCTATTGCCGAAGTATCATTGCAGCCTCCCAAGCAGTCATCCCGTCTTCGATTCGCCCAGAGAATATGAAGCCTCGGCTTGTGGTCCGCATCCGTCCGGCGAAGGAGCGTATGTCCAGCCTGCAAAGCAGGAGCAATTCCAGTACCGCCCGCGATAAAGAGAATCTGCCGAGTATCCGAGGGGATTTCGCATTCGATTCGAGGTCCGCGCACTTCAATAGCTGATCCTACATCAAGAGAATGCAGATACCGCGATACCTCCCCGAACGGGTCTTTCCGAATGAAGAACCGGAGGCACCCTTCCTGCTCATCTTGGGCCTTTGACGATACTGGCGGTAGGGGTGTATAGTCTCTTCCGATTTGCAATTGCGGTTGCTTGAACATAACGCTCCATACGCCCGTCTTCCATGCATCTTCGTAGACTTCGAGATTGCCGTCAGGTTTGGGTGGTTTCAGAGTGAAGATACTGCCGTTCGACGATACCTGTTCCCTTGCGACAAGACGGTATTTGGTAAAGGTGACTGGATTCAGAGTCGTCGACTCCGAGCCTTGTTGCGATCTAACATAGGCTCCGATTCCCGCCGCAGTTGCAGTGACAATCGTCAGTCGAAGCCATAGTCGCTTTTTCGGCGGAGAAGGTGCGGAGTTTCCAGGTGATGTAGGCGTGGTATAGCGACGAGAAGTTACTCTCTTGCTGAGGGTAGAAGTTGGGTTGAACAGAAGTCCCCCTGACCTTGGTAGTCGGGATTTCATGAGGTTGACTCTCAACGAAAGAGCATGTATAATAAATGACTATCGTCGAGTCTTGTGGTGATCTTCCATCTTCAAGCTTAATTGGAGACCCTTATAGGCCTGGCGCTAAACTCGATCGGGCATCAATGAAGAACCCCTTGTCGATGATCGTCTTCATTTTCCTCATCTACCACTCTCAGCACTAGAGCAACTCCGAATCTCTTGCTGCTCTTGTATTACCATATGATTATCGCCGTCGCTTGGATAGACCCCGCCATTGTCGTCTGTGCAACAGCCCTCCGCCTTCTGCTGTGATGGAGAGAGAATCTCGTCCTCTCTTGTTGACGACCCGTTTGAATAACCACAATTGATACATGAATGCATGCCGTTTCAACTACCAGCTCAAAGAAATGTCCCATATCACCTTTTCGCAAACGGATACCAGATCGGACACCCTCCATGCCCCTCGTGATTCTCTAGAACTTGCATCACTAGCGTCTTCCTCCCCGGAATCTGCGGGCAGGTCCTCGGCCTCATCCTCGCCCTCGGGCATTTCCTCCTCACGCAAGCTCTCCCTTGAGGACGAGGATCCCCTATCGGACGTACATTCGCACGCAAATCTTGAATCCGGGCGAGCGAGGCCGGCCCGATCGTACTCCATCTCCTCTGCCTTCGATTTCGGCAATGCCCTCTTCCCACTATCGCAAACCGCCGGGGGGTATGCCCCCTTAGGGGCTCCCTCCGCACTTGACCGACCAGGCGGGACCGAAGGCTCGTTAGAACGAAATAAGACATTGACGTATTTGAACGGTCTGTCACTAGTGGTTGGGATCATCATCGGATCTGGGATCTTTTCGTCGCCGAGTCAGGTCAATGCCAATGCGGGGTCTCCCGGTGCGTCTCTGATCGCGTGGGCTGTCGCAGGGTTGCTTGCATGGACCGGGGCTGCCAGCTATGCAGAATTGGGTGGCGCTATCCCTCTCAATGGCGGAGCTCAGGTTTATCTCTCGAAGATTTTCGGGGAACTGGTTGGGTTTCTCTTCACATGGTGTGCTGTTCTGGTGCTGAAGCCAGGGAGCGCCGCCATCGTCGCGATCATCTTCGGCGAGTATGCCGTTCGAGCAGTGATACATGCAGACGCCGAGACGGTCAGTCCCTGGATCAGTAAGGGAGTCGCATTCGGGGGCGTGCTTGCGGTGACCTTGCTGAACTGCATATCAACCCGACTGGCTGCGCGCATAGGGGATTTTTTCATGTTCTTCAAGTTCATTGCATTAATAGGAGTTACGGTCATAGGTATTGTCGTTGCTGTGACCGGGTTCTCTTCGACCGGGAGCGCCAGTAAGGAGTGGAAAGAAGGTTGGTTCAAGGGAACGAGTACGGACATCTCCGGCTGGGCCGTTGCGATATACGCCGGTCTATGGGCTTTTGACGGCTGGGACAACGTAGGCTTCTCCCATACCACATCCTTTCCGTGTGTCATTTACTGATCGTACTCGCAGACAAACTATGTGACCGGCGAGTTCAAAAATCCTAGCCGGGATCTTCCCCGAGTGATTCACACGGCGATGCCGCTGGTGATCTTATCTTACCTGCTTGCCAACGTCTCGTATTTCCTCGTGCTTCCTCATTCCACCATAGAGGCGAGCAATACCATTGCCGTCCAATTTGGCGACAAGGTCTTTGGCTCCGTTGGGGCGCTTGTTTTCGCCCTGGTGGTGTCTGCGAGCTGTTTTGGGGCCCTCAACGCAACCGTCTTCACCAGCGGTCGGCTGGTCTACGCTGCTGGCAAGGAAGGCTACCTGCCCTCGATGTTCGGCAATCTCTGGAGTGGTGGATCCAGCACCATGGGAAGCAATCGACTGCAGCGCCGCTCGTGGGCTAGCAAGGCGCTGGCCCGGATTTTTGGAGAAAACACCAGCTTCGGGTATACACCGATCAACGCCATGGCATTAAACAGCACCTTGACATTGGTATATATCATTGGTGGCGAGTTCAAAACTCTGGTTACGTTCTATGGCGTCGCAGGGTACACCTTCTACTTCCTCACGGTGCTAGGGCTGATTGTCCTCCGAATCCGAGAACCGTACCTGGCGCGCCCCTACAAGACCTGGATTTCCACACCAATCATCTTCTGCTGCGTTAGCCTCTTTCTTTTAAGTCGCGCGGTCATCGCCGAGCCACTGCAGACGTTGATCGTGGTGGCCTTCATCATCGCCGGCGTCCCAGTCTACTTCTTTCGCATCTACCAGCGTGATGGGAAAATTACGTTTCCCGGATGGAAGTTTTGGCAAGCCAGTCGACGTCGGTAATGCATTTCAGGCGTATAATGAACATTTCCCTTCTATGAGACGAGTGACGCCCATGCGCATAGCTTGCGTGTATGACTACGGTTTTTAGCATCTTGCAGCATTATGATGCTCGCATCTGGACGATCGAGCAAGTGATTGGCGATTACCGTGATCAGAACGCGAGTACCATGTTTAGTTCATTTCGACCCCTGTCTTCCTAGTTACGAGTTTGCTCCCGCGTCTATGTGGGCCTGTCATGAGATACAACGCTAGTCTAGAGATCTATCTAATGCTTAATTTCATCCCGAATCACACTCAGTCCATCCCAGACATCTGCCCGCAGCAGCACAGCGGCAGCAGCAGCAGCAGATGTCGATGGTTTCAGCTGACTTTCGGTTGCCGAGGCGAAGAATTTCAACCCCGTGCAGGTCTGCGCATGAGGTGTATAGATGCGTGTGGAGATGACCGTTCTGCTATTCACGAACACTTCGAGCACACTTGCGTCGAAATAGGCGTGGATCTGAAGCGATTCCGTCACCTCCTCGCCATTACTGTTGCAGAAGGTGAAGAGGGTATGCGGAGCGGTCTCGGGGGCATGGTTGATACCGGCATCGTGAGGCGAAGACCTTTCGATTGTGAACGTCTCGTCGTATGGTTTCCATGATAGGGTGGTGCGCTGGTGGAAATCTTATTCGTGCGTCAGCAATTGTTGCAATTTTGGGGGAAAGAAGAAGCGTGAGAGCTCACCAGGGCTATGGCCGATTTCCAATCCTACTGCCGCGCAGTGCGTCCCAACCACGAAAGTTGCGTTCAATTCCCACCTAGCAGTGCGCAAGGGCAAGAATGCAGGGGGCTGACAGACCGAAGAGCCCAGTTGTACCGTGGATAAATGCAACTCTCGTGCTGATGTTCGAAGTATGTCGAGTCTGGGGTCCGGCCGGATACTCAATGTTCGGACCCGTGTACCTTGCGAATGGCGCTCCGTTTCGATAGACGTAATGGATTCAAGCTTCGAATGGTGGGCTCGCTTGACATTGTCCAGAGTCACCAGCCTTACCAGTCGCGGTAGAGACATGACGCCACTCCAACCTTGTCGATGGCGCAGGCGATCCGGTAAATCCTCTTCTGTAATCCAGCAGTATACGACGTACTCCTCCGTGACCGGATCCCAGAATGAGTTTGCGGCGTAGCAGCACCCGTGATCGAAGATCCCCGAGAATGCATACTCTGCGAGAGGCTCGCAACTGCTTTGCGCCTGCAGTCTAGGTCGGATAGTAATACACGTCCAGAGCAGGGAGCGCGGTACTCTCTTTGATCCAACCTCGGAAGATAAGCATCCCTCTGCGCCGAAGATCACGAAATCTCGGGAGACGCCATCATCTGTCAACGTAAAGCAGTTGGCTACTTCCCAGTTGACGCCGAGATCTCCCGACCATCGAGAGGGTCGAAAATTCAGGCCAACATGAACCAAAGGCCCGATGTATGTCCACTCCGTCAGATTGTCGGGATTGACGGCGTATACAAAGACTGTTGGGGACTCTTTAGCGATACCCCGGAGATAAATCCATACAGGTTCGGGGAGGCAAGTCCTTCTTGTCGCTGGGCACGCAACGAGGGCCAGCAGTTCAGATAAGGGTCTCTCCAGCCTGTTACCTCAAGTCCTGCAGGGGCGCCGGGGTGAATCGGGTTACTGTCGAATCGTTTCCATGTCGTGCCATGGTCATGGGAGACTGCTATACTGAGCGATTCACTGCCCTTGACATACGGCAGGGTATAGTGGAGTGGAAGGTGATTCACGGACGTGTATACATACGTAAGTACACCCGGCTTGCCATCCGGACCGTGAGGACGGAAGCAGCCAGTGAACACGCCGCATCTATCATACTCCGCAGACGGCGTGAGACATGGTTCGGGGGATATTTGCCAGGACACCAGATCGTTGGAAGTGGCATGGCCCCAGGAGATGTTGCCCCAGTCATTCCCGTGCGGGTTCCATTGGAAGGACAGATGGTACAGTCCAGTCGTCGGATCATATCCAAGCCCGCAGGGGTCATTCATCCACCCCCGAGGCGCAGCAAGGTGGTATGACGGTCGCCACTTAGGGTCCACATGAGCTATACCCTTCACTTGCGGGATAGTCCTGGCTTTCTGTTCTGGATCGCAATGGACAGGATGTATTGGAGTTTCACTGTTGCCCAACCCTGCCGCATGTTGGGATCCTGGAAGGATATGCATATTGCCCGGGTTTATAAGATGTGGGCTCTGCAGATCCAGCACAAAACTGGCCTTAGAGAAACCACGTTGTTCGGAACAGAGTTTGACTTTGAGACAGAGTGTAAATAGACGCTAGGCACCCGTCATGGATTCGCTGATGCTGTCACATTCATTAGAGTAGCTGCCATTGCATTACAGAACTGTCAATCCTCTTTCGGGACAAGGCAGTAGGGAATCTCATCCTTTTTATTCAATACGCAGGCATGAGAGAGAGATCGAGATCGATGTCCGTAATTGACAATTGAAGCTTAGACGACGATAAGGGATCATTGACTGTGAAGAGTGCCAGTGGATGACGGTATTACCTCGGAAGGATGCGGAGAGTTGTCGGAGAAATCCTGCTATAGCAGCTGTTATCCTCTGTCCTTCAGCTCATTGCTGTATCTGGCAATATCAAGGAAAATCATGCAGCCACTGCATCGAGGAGAAGCACGAGCTCTATCCAGACCAGTCTAGAGTGGGACTTGAGCTCAGAGACTTAAGTAGATGAAATTAACAGCTCATCCAATGACCGAGTGCTCTAGCAGGCACCAACATTCAGGACTGAAGAGGGTCAGGAGCAAATCAATTCCTGCCATCCTGAGAGCTCGGCCGTGTTAAGCTATCTCAATTTATGTCAAGCCTTCAATAATGAGACAGTAATATACGTCCCGCGGTGACAGGCCTGGTCTCCCATCTCTCTCGATTCTCGATTTGCGACATCCGCATACGGTGTGCAGAACACCGAATTTACCCGAATATCATGAAATAGGCCCGGAAAGTCGTGCAAAGTGCAAATCTCTTGGAGGACTAGGCTGTCAACTGAGCCGAACAGAACGCGTGGAAAGGTGATGCCGCATATGGTATCCGACAGTGCAGCGAATGACTTGGGGCTCAAGGCGCACTTGGGATGGGGAGGCTCGTAGCACGATTGCTTTGGTAACATCATCTTTGGATATTTTGTCATGCCTGAGAAAAGTAATAAGTCAGAGGTGACCCATGTATGTTCCATATGAAACTCCCGGGATTGAACTGGAGTCCTCCTGTCAACCCGTTCGAAGGTTACTGAAGGTGAATCCCGAGCGAAGATGTTGCTCAAGTTACGTTGATCATCCAGCGCAGGCACGGCATGAGTATGTTGTCTGTTCCCAAGATGCTGTACATCTCCCGGACAATTCTGCTATGGATATGAGTCTGTAGAATACATGATAAATAACCCCCATAAAGAGTCCAACCTGAACTAAGGAAAAATACAGTATCAAAGACGTGCAAGCTCATGAAGTTGGTTCCAGGAGGACCGGGGTCGGCTCAGCTATTATATACAAATGTCATGTCTGCGCCCAGTTGCTGCACCCAACCCCGACGATGTGCAAAGAACTCAGGTAAGCCTTGAATTTTTCCAGAAACGGGTGGTTGCCTCCGCGGAGTGTATTCAAAAGCAACATAAAATCCTCGGCCAACGACTGAGTAGAATGCACGGTTGCTGTGTTTGGAGACATCGCTCCCACAAGGCCTCCAGGAGGCAGAACGCCTGGTCCTGCCATGGAGCCAGCTACCGAGGCTGGAGAATGTTCACCAAGGGGCTGGCGGACATTAGAAGAAATCCCAATTGCACTAACCGCAATGTCGTACAGCTTCTCAACCTGCATGCACACATGAGTAAAGCGAAAATCAAAAATAAATTTTTGTCCGGATGGACTGCACTCACTAAGCCAATTCCATGCGCTTCCATCGAGCTAAGGCGCAATGACTGACATATCTTCAAGGTGTCCACAGCGACCGTGATGGCGTATTCGAAAGACAGCTCCTGGTGGTCTGAAACAGGTCTCAGGAGACCATGAGTGGAGCACAGCACCCACACCCGATTCTGCAGCCATTTCTTCGTGATAAACACATCGGCACACTGTGTCTCCCGCATACTGATTGTCGGTTGGACGCTCTGGGCTTGACCCGGGGCCGACTTGGTGCGTTCAAACCAGTCATAGCCCTTATATCGCTCGGACTCGCAGACTCTGCTGAGATTTTGATGGATGGACAAGGCCTTCTCCTCGGTGAGATTATCGCAATAGCCTGAATTGACGTTGCAGCGCTGATTCCAACAATCAATCACCTCTTCGTCGATAGCATCGAACAACTCCATTAAACGGGCCAGACCCAGCATTCCCTCGGCATCTTTTTCGTTGTGAACTATGATACCGGAAACAACGCTGTGTGTTGCATTGTGGATAAAATCATGGACAGAGCGCATGCTGAACCCCGGTCTTCCCCAAAAGGTGATGGGATGTCGCCGTTGCAGTGCATAGGCTCTTTCGCTTTTTGTTAGCATATATCGGTTCTGGCACATCTTACTGGTTGAATCTCATACCTCTCTGTGATGGACAAGACCAGATAAGTCCGTAATCGTTGGCCCTTTTCGTCGTTCGGTAAATCCCGATATGAGTCAGGGTTGTTCAAGCCCAGTGTCGCTGCAAGGTCTAGAGCCTCCCGGAGTCGGAGCCAGGCAGCATTGTGTTGGTTGCTGCCGAAAAGACATCCAAACAGGAAAAAGCTGGTGAGAACAGCCTCGATGGTTGGATGTTCCCCAAAGTCAGAGCAGCTCCGCATTTTCGTCGCCTCGTGCATCATCGATCTGGCCTGGCTGGCTCGGGACGAGGAAGTGGGCCGTTCGTCAATCTCGATAGGTTGCGTCAGGGAGAATGCGCATAAAGATAGTAGCATGGCACCGAACTGCGGGTTTCTACGATGCTCTTGAGCCAGCATGCGAATGAACAACGAGGACCTGTTCAATACAGGCAGAGTCGGGTGCAGGCGGTCAAAGTAGACTTCAATCCACGGAATCATGTTGGCCTCGACGATTGATGACGGCCATGTCGTTCTCATCGGAACGGGCCCGGTTGGCATGACCCCTATAGTAGAAAGAGCCAAGTTTGAAGCGTCCACATGATGAGGCTGCAATCCAGCAGCTTCCTGCTCCGGTTGGATGATCGACGGTAGCGATGCCTTTAGGTAAATATTGCTGCCCGGAAACTCGAATACAGGCACCTGCGCATCTAAATTGTCGGGGAGCCAATACTCAACATCGTTGCGCTCATTCCAACTGATGGCAGAGTTAGTCTGAGAATCTACCGATGAGGTATCTGTAGCAGGCCACGACGGCCCAATCGAGGTGTTTGGACGCGGCGGTACTATGTCCGTCGGCACTGAGGCTTCCCCACGCTGAGGGATAGGCCACTGGGTGGGATCTTGCACCGATGGGGCGATCCCATGCTGCCCCGTCTCCCCAGGGGGAATCGGCCTCTGGTACGGATAGGCGTCTGAAAGAGACGATTGAGAACTCTTACGTAACAGCTGAGTCTGCTGTTGCTGACGAATTTGGGATACACGACTGTTTGGCGAGCATCAAAAAATGCGCAGATGGTTAGAGATGGACGGATTCTCAAATAGAACATCCGAGCATAAATAACCACGCAACTGGTTCAAAAACTCACTTGCCAGTTGGCCCCCGCTTTTTCTGGGGCTGTAAAAAGAGGCATTCAAATCCCATCTGACAACACGCGCGACATGGTTGCGAGAGACTGCACTGTATAGTCCTAAGCAGATTAGCATGACAGCTCTCCACGTCGGCAACAGTTACTCCTTATGGAATAATGATCATCAGAAACAAGACCAGAGGGGGAAATGAGGGGGGTCAGTTCAACTTGCTTTTATCTTACGCAGTCGGCAATTATCACAAGCTCTTCGGACCGGCGTTTTCTTCACGGCATTGGTAGGACTCGGGTTCATGGTGGCATATTTGTGAGTGGAGTTTTTTCGTGTGGAGCGGAGAGAATAATGGGGAGGAGAGCAAAGGGCAGTCTGTACAACTGAAAGGAAGGGCAAGGTAATTATGAGGAATTATGCTGAGCTCAAGGGGATAAATGATAAATGATTAATGATTGATCATCGATCCAAAGCAGAGATGGTCCAAGATGGGGTTTATTTGAATTTGGGAATGAAGAAGAGAGGGTAAAGGTAGAGCGGGTCGTCCGGGGAGGCTGTGAGCTACTAGAGCACCGTGGTAGTTAGGTACACATTCTCTTAGGTTGGATACTACTCACTGTTCCCACTGTTCCCCGTCTGCCATCTGATGATCCGATCGAGGCTGTGATCCAGTCCAGACTTTTATGATTAGAATAGTCTATCCACGAGGAGGGAGGGACTCGAGGGAGGGAAAAGGGAGTTTGGGTGACCGTTTGAATGTTCTGTGGATCGCCCCAGGACTAGACCAAGGTAGTAAAGTACGTAGTTAGGTTCAAAGGTTGATTGGTATCTAGTAGTTTCATCCCCTGGGTTTTTTCGCTTCTTCGTCTGGGTCTTCTCTTCCAATGGTTTGGGCAGCGGTGGCCATGGAATCATGGAATTTATTTCCATTCTCGTAGTATATTGTCATTCTTACTGTAAGGTTAAATTCTTATCATCAGTAGGTGTGAAGCTTAGATACCGAGATACCTGTACGCCTGGAATTTAAGGTGCAAACTGGTGGATTCCTGAGTTATTTAGATGACACAACTAGATATTATTCTTCCAGATCCATCACCATCATCACCACTATGATCATCGTCGTCAGCGTCATACACCAGAATTAAAAATATAATGTTGATCCTTAAAATTAATGGATCAAAATCCCTGTGGATGGATTTGTTTGCATCGACATACTCCAATCGTCTCCGAACTCTCCAATTGCTCGGCAGTTAACCCCCCCTCGAACTGCCTATTTCCCCCGCCTCTGACCTGGAGCCAGCGGGATCCACGAGGCTGTGAGTGCCATTTCCAATCACGTTCAGAATTCAGAATTTAGAATTTAGATACAGACCGATAACCGACATGACATGCCACGGTGACACAGATACGCCGTTTAGCTACCTTGGTTAAGAATGGGGTTTGAAACATGCACCCCGCTATCAATGCTTCTAGCCCTGCATTTCGATTCTGGATAACAGTGCTAGATCCAACACAAGATGGGCAGCATCCAGACCTGGGAGCAAACAGTGACTGAGAAACGCTCCTTACGAGATCGGACTCTAGAGCCATATATGACCATCGATATTGAACAGCGCCCGCCTCGAATTCACAATGTGCATCACCGTACCTGCATACATGACGATCCTACCATCCAGGAGATTACCGACATTGACAGCGTCCCTATCCTCCTCGATCGTATAGAACGGGGCCAATATACTGCGGAACAGGTCAGCCTTGCTTATATCAAAAGGTAAACTTCAACGAAGAAGCCCCTGCGTCTAGGAAGGATAGACTGATCACTAGTATTCATCAGAGCCACAATTGCGCATCAACTTGTGAGTTTACGTTGTGCTCGAAGAGTTTATAGTGATGTCGAGCTTACGTCGCATCATTAGATCAACTGCCTGACAGAAGTTGTTTTCGAAGATGCACTTGAACAAGCTAGACGGCTGGACCAGCTGTTTAGAGAAAAAGGTCAACTCGCGGGCCCGCTTCACGGCATTCCGGTCACTCTCAAGGATCAATTCAATATCAAAGGAGTTGATACGACTTTAGGCTACGTAGGCCGTTCGTTTGCTCCAGCTTCCGAGGATGCAGTGCTTGTTGAGATGTTGAAAGGCATGGGTGCTGTTATCCTCGCAAAGACAAACCTGCCGCAGAGCATTATGGTCCGTATCTCGCTGGGACCATGGCCAAATGTGCGAGTGAACTAACCTTTTCTTCAGTGGGCCGAAACTGAGAACCCGCTCTGGGGTCTAACGGTCAACCCACGAAATCCTCTTTTCACTCCTGGTGGTTCGACAGGGGGTGAAGGAGCTTTACTGGCTCTGCATGGCTCAATTCTGGGGTTCGGAACAGATATTGGAGGAAGTATCAGGATCCCGCAGAGTATCAACGGTCTGTACGGCTTCAAACCAAGTGTATGTTCTACGAGCATTGATACCGATTAAGGGTCAAGTCTGATTCTATTATAGAGCAGCCGATTTCCTTACTACGGCGTCCCGGTCTCAAATACGGTTTGCACCAAAATTCCCATCCCGGTCAACAGATTGGATATGCAGGGATCCAATTGCCACAAGAGTCAAGTTCTCGGAGTTCTGCGTGACCGAGGGTCAAGAACATGTTCCCTCGTCTATAGGACCTATGACAAGAGACCTCTCGTCACTCTCTTATGTATGTCGCATATTTGCAAAAGCTAAACCGTGGACCTTGGACCCTAAATGCGCTCCTCTCCCGTGGAACGAGGATAGCTTTCGAGATGCGCTATCCAGGCCTCTCGTCGTCGGTCTGATTCTGGATGATGGAGTTGTGAAAACACACCCCCCTGTCCAGAGAGCCCTCCGAGAGCTATCCACTAAATTAGAATCTCAGGGCCATGAGGTCGTGGTCTGGGACGCATCGGATCATTTCGACTATATCAAACTCATGGATCAATACTATACCGCTGACGGATGCGAGGATATTCGGCGCGACGTAGAGGTCGCCGGGGAGCCTTTTATCCCTCACGTCGAAGCTCTGATCAACCGCGGGGAGGCAATCTCTGTCTATGAATACTGGCAACTGAACAAGCAAAAGACTACACTTCAAAAGAGATACCTTGATAAGTGGAATGCCGTACAGTCCCCGTCAGGGAAGCCAGTCGATATTCTCCTTGGTCCAACGATGCCACATGCGGCCGTCCCCCACCGCAGTGTGCGTTGGGTAGGCTACACCAAGATCTGGAATCTGCTTGACTATCCCGCAGTCACCTTTGCTGTCGATCAAGTGAGAGCAGATAGAGATCGATTGCCAGGCGAGCTCTATCGCCCCAGAAATGAACTCGACGAGTGGAATTGGGGCCTCTATGACCCGCTGACGATGGACGGCCACCCGATAAATCTTCAGATTGTTGGTAAAAAACTTGAAGATGAGAAGGTATTAGGAGCGGCAACGGTCATAGAGAAGATCTGGAGGGCAGCCAAACCATAGCGATCTTATCTAGCTTATATCCATAGGACGTATGTTCCTTAACTCAAATGGCGACTGGATAGATATACACCTCTTGTAAGCATCATCCCTCCAGTCCAGTACTCTCTTACAAACCGATTTCAACTATAGAGAGGCTGGATTCTTTAAATTTTGCTCCGACATGCGCTTTTGACTCCCATGACCTTCAAATTGGAGTCGTGCTGCTCCCTTCTCCATCTCTTCCCCTCACGACAGCTGGGCAAGTGTCGTTTGCTTACAGCCAGGCCACCCCCGCCCTTGGCTATCTGCGCCTGCATATGCGGATCAAGAGGGGAAATGACCAATCCAAGACTTTTCCTTTCGAGCTGCATAGATAGTTGCACTTTGATGCAGGTGGACTCGAATCTAGAGGCCTCACCTACCCCTCAATCGAACGTCTGCCAAAAAAAATGGTAGGTCGTACGTCCAGGGTCAATGGGCTGATAAACACCAGGATACAAACGATACAGATTGATTCCTTATCTTGTCCTATCATAGATCTGACTGTTTCTCCAATGTGGCTGACCTGATATCAAGCCAGGTGGAGCAGGCTCGCCATACATATACTGGCGCAAACTTGATCGCCCAAGTCGTCTCCATTATAATTCTCTTTTGGCAAAATCTCAGTAGCCAAATGGGCATTATGGGCAAGAAACGTGTCTTGGTCGCCTACGGAGTGGATATTGATGCTGTCGCGGGTTGGCTGGGGTCCTACGGTGGTGAGGACAGCTCGAACGATATCAGTCGAGGTGAAATACTGCGCATACACTCAAACAAGATAAAGTAGTTCTTACTGACTACTCTCATAGGACTCTGGGCGGGTCATGTGGGAACCCCGCGTCTCTTGAAGCTCTTCGAGAAATATAACATCAAAACCACATGGTTCATCCCGGGCCACTCCCTGGAGACCTTCCCTGAAGAATGCGCCCAAGTGAGAGACGCAGGCCACGAGATCGGCTTACACGGCTACAGCCATGAGAATCCCAGCGACATGACCCCCGAGCAGCAAAAGGACGTTTTGGACAAGACGTACCGCATGCTGACCGACTTCTGCGGCAAACCGCCCCGAGGCATCGTGGCGCCCTGGTGGGAGACGAGCAAGGAGATGGCGGATCTCCTGCTTGCGTACGGGATCGAATACGACCACTCCATGTCCCATCATGACTGCCAGATGTACTGGCTTCGGACAGGGGACACTTGGACCAAGATCGACTATAGCCAGAAGGCGGTGACATGGATGAAGCCGCTGGTCCGCGGCCAGGATACTGGGCTCGTGGAAATCCCAGGAAATTGGTACATTGATGACTTGCCCCCCATGATGTTCATCAAGAACGCGCCCAACAGTCATGGTTGGGTGAATCCGAGGGACATCGAGGATATTTGGAAGGTCTGTTTACCTGTGACCCAGCCCAGTCTAGGTTGTCACTATCCGCGCGAGCTGAACTAATACCTGTTCCAGGACCATTTTGACTACTTCTACCGCGAGTATGACAGCTTTGTCTTCCCGATGACGATCCACCCCGATGTTTCAGGACGGCCCCATGTCCTTCTCATGCATGAGAGGTAAGTCTGCTGCTGCGTAAGTCTATGCGATGTTTCCCAGGCCGACTAGAGTACAGGATCATCGAGCATATCAACAAACACGAGGGTGTGGAATGGGTGACGTTTGAGCAAATGTGCGATGACTTTAAGAAAAACAACAGGCCACCTGAGGGTGCCAAAATGCCGGTTACACCGGTTCTGGGGTAGAGCTGGTATCCGGCCGGAGCTACTTGATGCTCGTAGTCCTCTAGGGGATCCGCAATAAGCTGGCGTATCCGTAAGTCACCAGTCTGGGTTGAGAACTGCTAGTGTATTCAGCACTCGGTGCTTAATTGACGCATATCAAAATCTAATTGGATTCAAATTGTGGAAAAATAGAATGCCATGTGAAGATTCTTGTGGATGCATAATTTCAAACGCGCCAGTTCAGCTCGTTGCAATAAAGAAAGGAGTTCAGACTTCTCGGCCGTTGAAACGCCGTGACACCGTATACATGTCCTATGCAAATGCTTTTCGCGGATATCTAGGCATTCGGAGGCTCAAACAGTTGGGGCTTCATGTTGATTTTGCAAAGCTTGGATACGCAGCCACTCAATTGAAGGAGCGATTGCACGCCGTCGAGAATGCGCATATGTGTGAATCCGATCTCCCTAATGAATTCCAGCTTTGAATGCTCTGACAAAGTCGGAATTGTCTTGGTGACTCGGAACATGGTGCTGATGATATCATGAGATGAGTAACCGAGATCCCTAAGAGTTATCAGTATATCGGTGACGAAGCAATAATCGAACGCATAATGCGCATACCATAACTCGTTCAGTGTTTCTAGCGCAGCGTCGACCTTTCCTTCCCAGCATGCCTTGATCATAGCTTGGACCTTGATCGGATGTGGGCTGTCGACCACACGAAAGACATTATCTCCACTGACCAGACCGAAACCTGACCATGTGCTCTGCAGGTTATTGATAGCCTGACGCATATCTCCCTCAGCACTGAAAACCAAGGCAGCGATCCCATCTTCCGTGTGTTCCACCTTCTCGGCATCGCATATCTGTTTCAACCGTTTCACCACCTGTGCGTCTGTCAATCGGGCGTAGCGCAGGATAGCGCATCGAGACTGAATGGGCTCAATGATCTTATTTGACTGGTTGCAAGCAAAAGCGAACCGTGTTGTAGAAGAGTAGATCTCCATCGTCCGTCGTAATGCCTGCTGCGCGCCAGGGGTCATGCTGGAAATGGTCAGCGACTATCTGTATATATTCTTAATTCTCGGATCACACCTATCCGCTTCATCAAGAATAACAATCTTGTGACGGCCCGGTGGGAGCGTCACCTTCTTCTGGGCAAAACCTTTGATTCGACTCCTGACAACATCGATACCTAAGCAGATCGTCAGACTGGATCTGAATCGGCTTACTCAAAGCAGCATACCTCGCTCGTCACTAGCATTCAGTTCCAAGACCGCCTCCTTATAAGCCTCTCCTAGTAGTTGCCTAGCCAAGCACAGAATCGAGGTAGTCTTTCCGATACCAGGCATGCCCGAAATGATAACGTGGGGCATGTTGCCATCTTTGGCTATAATCTTCAGTCGCTCAATTGTCTCTGTATTGCCGACGACATCATCGAGGAAGATGGGACGATATTTCTCCACCCTAAAAAGTCATCTATTAGATATCGTCAAGTATAACATTGTGGTCCTGGTTACAAACCAGGGTAGTTCATAATCGGGGGGAGCTCCCGCCGTAACAGCTTTGAGGCTATTTCGAGAAGCACTTGCTGAGGATTCTGCTTGCACCATTGCGAAGAGTTAAATGCAGGAATAGTGAGGTATATTAGGAGTTCCTGCAGGTTTTTATAATGCGAAACAATAGGCAGGTTATCTGTTAAGCGATCTGGTTTTCGGAAAGACGCGAAGGTTGGAGACGCGTCGGGATGGACCAAATTGGGCTTAATTGGGACTCCGGATCAATTCCGCCCTTTCATCTCCACCCACTGCCACCAGCATTGGCTACTTATTGTTATGCCTCAGGATTCATCTTATTGTTCCAGGATCATTCTTTTGCTACAGCCTCGACTAGCTTGAATTGTCTTGACACTCATTTCAGAGCCGCATCTAATTCAATTACGTCACATTACAAGCATCTATCCTTGGGCCAAAAAGTAGTCAACAAGCATCACAGTTTCTCCTCAGCTTCTGGCAGCACATCGGCCTTGCTAGGTGCTTTCTCAATCAACCTAAGACCTGTTCCTGCAGATCGCCCGCCAGGATGGGCACAACCTCCGTCAGACGCAATCTCTTCCACCATAACCTCAGCAGACGTCCGGTCTCTGCTACGCCTGGGTCGATGCCAAGCGGCAGAAGCAATGGGATTTCGGGCCCTCCCTCTCACATGCTACAGCCCTCTTCCGAGTCAATGGGCCCCTCTGTGACTTCTGGTTCCTTGGACAACGGAGATATCGTGGTCAGGGACAAGAACGGTGGTTACAAGCTTGACATTCCTGTCCTCCCGCCTGCCATTACCAGTGAAAATGGCGACGGGATGGACGGTTTGGATGAGGGTGGATCTAGCGGGGGAGCAGGAGCTACGGCTGTCGATTCAACTAGCCAAACTGAGATCAGCGGGCGAGAAAAAGAAAGTACGTTGGCAGGCTAGAGAAACGATTGGTGGTCTGAATGAAGGAGCTGACGTGACTGGCCTGTCGAAGAGATCGAGGCAAGTCTAGCAGAATTGATGTATCGAAACCGAAACAGACAAATGAGCAACGAACCAGCCGGTAAGTGCATGCGAATAGTGGGTCCAACGTGGTCCTCTGCAATCCTCTGCTTTCATACTGTTTGTATCAAAGCACTAATAATCGACAGAGATCCTCAATCTCATCCATCAAAGTCTCCGAAGTAGAGTAGCAGCGCTCGAGGAAGACAATTGGATGTATGAACCAGAAGTAGATCCACGTGCCTAAAGTCAGCTTACAGCATCCGGGTCAAGCCAAGTACCACTGGATAATCACGCTTTAATTATCTATCTGGTATCTACTTGGTTAGTATGTTCAACATATATCACGCAGAAGCCGTGGCCTGGTTCATCTAATCGAGCTCCATGCTGGCCGGCGGCGCCTCCACGGTCTTCGACTGACTCCGTCCCTGGGGTGCCCTCCTACTTCCGCCCTGGTTCTGACCTCCGAACAGCATACTGCCCATCATATCCAGAAGTGGGTTACCTTGTCTTGGAACGTTGATCGCGAAGTATTGCTCGCCTATATGTGACAAAGCATCATCCCAGATCCCTACTTCTTGGATCTGCGATGCATAATGAGCAGTCAACTGCTTGAAAAGGTCTGCGCTGCCTCGCTGGATGGTGAGAAGCAGCATGCTTATGAAGTTCAGCAAAGGCAGAGACGGGAAAACCCGAACATCGGAGCTGGCGCTGCTGACTTCTTGTACGCCAAGGGACGCATTTGAGGAAGAGAGCCTTGAGGTGAAGATGAGGAAGGCCTTGTTGGCGTTGCGGAGGTTCCCCACTAACAAATAAGGAAAGACAGCACGCGAGGCGTAGATAGCCGCCGTATGGGGCTCGTCGTTCGTGTACCACTCGTACTCGAGTTTCGCGAGTGTCTCGGCGGATTCGGAGGTTCCAAGGATGAGATGCTTCTCGGCGTCATATGGCTCATTGTCTGGCAAAATAGTCAATGCGTTGTAAAGTCACGGTCACAAATGGCCAACGAACCTTCAGCGTATACCGAACCAGCTGCATGGTGCAGCTCCGCATCTCCTCTCTCCACAGGACCGAACCGTCCGCTCCAGCCGATCATCTCCTGAATGAATCTCTTCCTCGTGGGCTCTTCCGACGGGAATTCACGCAGAAGCTCGATTAAGCGCTCTATCATGGAGAAGCATCGTTAGCCGATTCGATCTCAGAAAGCCCAATATGCTTAACCCATCAGCTAGCCGCTGGTTCCATGTAGATTTCACTCGGAAAGTCTTCCATCCATAAAGAGATGGCATGTAATGTTCAATAGACAAGATCAAACTCACTCTTTCGGGCTCGACCCTCCGCATCATCATCTCCTCCAGTAATCCCCCATCCCGCCTTGGTGTACACCTCGTCTACCAGCATTATAGCCAGGTCTCCCCCACTCGCAGAAGCGCCCTGCTGAGATCCAGCTCTCAGAAGAGCAGTCGCACCGCCAGCCAATATTTCAGCAGCGGCCTCATAATTGGATTGTTTGATGTATCGCGCAGCGATGACACGGAGTTGTTGGTGAGCTTCGTAGTAAGCACCGGAGGCAATTCTGCAGGTGAGAACCGAAGTTAATATCCTTTATTCTTTTCTTGAGAGCTTGGAAAATAAGACACCATTGTCGTAGGTCAAAGCTCGGGGCAAACTTACTTCTCGCGCTGCCGAGCAATCGTCTTGTCGATGCGTGAAGTCATCTCGGAAGTGCCCACAAGTGACTGGGGACTGACTGTGGGAACCACAAATTCAGGGGAGTTGCGTCGAGGGTGTAAATAAGCTGGTTTTCAATTTATTGTAAACAAACAAGTTTGTAGAGGGATTCAAGCCTAGGTGGATAACAAGACAAGATCAGGGAGCGGACGGACGACTGTCGAGAACTTTTGGTGGGGAACTTCCCTGGTGTCTTCCAGAACCGCGGAGCTTCTCCAGATACAGACCCCTTGTTACTTCGGCGGAAAATATTCCAACCCAGCAAGCTTGACGCGCATCGATTCATTGAGGTGTAATTGCTTCTCGTTTGAGCATCTGTCAGCGCACCTAGGAGATCATATGTACTGGCGTCTTGCTCTACCTAACATTCCGTATTGGTCGCAAGAAGCCTATATAGATGCCAGAGCTTCAGATAGCTTTCCCTTGGAGCATCACTTGATTTTCTTTTAACAATAGGCCCGATATAGGCCCGATACGCATCAAGTGAAGAAGCTATGGATGGAGGTGCATTTGACATCCAGCCAATTGGCCGCTTCTATGGCGCCAATACCACAATCCGACGTCCAAAGGTATGTCCTTTTCAGTGTTAATACAAGACAAAGACTTGAAAATAACCTGAAAACAAGGAGATCACTTGCTTCTCATATGATGATGAGCATAATTTCCACCTCGGGGATTCATCCCTGCGGTACTATTATACGCCGCGGCTCCCCGCGGACTTGAATCGTGGCTTCGACACTTTCCAGAAGCTAGATGATACTGCCGATGAGCATCTAGACGCTTTGCTAGAGACCATTATGGCTCTGGAAAAAGAGACTGGAAAGCGATGCGAAGCGGATATCATCACATGGAGAGGCATGATGACGAAGGTAAGTCGCGCAAGTCTCATTTCATCGGGAAAGTGGCTAATACTGATACTATCGCCTCCTTCTAGATTTTGACTGCTCCTTTTGACAATCTCAACGGGTATGTCGACGGCATATATGCAATGCCTTCACCTTACTGATCTGACGGTTAGTTTCGAGATGAATGCGACTTGTTTCCAGGTAGGGGGTGTCCAAGCTCGTTGATACGTGGTTTACATTTTAACCGCGCAGATGCAGGGTACCATGTGTGTATATCATTCTAAATCTTCGTTAATTCTGCGATGCTAATGAGGAATAGTTTCATTGAGGAGAACAACGTCTATAAAAACCAGCAAAAGCAGATCCAGCAGAATCAAAGAATGCCCCCGGGAATGGCTTCCCAGGATCTGATGGCATACTGGGGTACGGTTACCGCTTCATGAACTATTTGACAAGAAGCTGAGATTGCAAGCTCAGGTTACAAATTTGAAACCCTATGTTTGCTTCAGCAGCCATGGGATCCAACGCCTCGGGCTGAGATCGAGGGTCGCGAAGACCTCGTTGTCAACAACAATGCACAATACTGCTCTGTTGTTCGAACAGGCATAGGGAGTACCCGTTTGATTATTGGTGGTGAAGTTGATGCTGGTATGCTCTCCTCACTCTAGATGCATGCTTCTGGCGATTCTTAGGGGTCGTATTAAAGCCTATGCTGATGCTGGTGTGCTAGTGTGGGACTGCAAACCCGACCGCAAGGAAGACCCCATCAATTGGGTAGAGCTTAAGACTTCGGCAGAGATCAGGAACGATCGTGACATGATCAAGTATGAGAGAAAGCTCCTGAAGTTCTGGGCACAGTCGTTCCTCCTTGGCGTCCCCAAGATCATTGTTGGTTTTCGCGACCATCACGGTATAGTTCATCGTTTGGAAGAGCTTGAAACGGCCAGTATACCAAATAAGGTAAAGAAGCTTGGCCGGGGTACGTGGGATGGCAACATTTGCATAAACTTCGCGGCTGCATTCCTTGAATGTAAGTCTCAGCAGTGCACTAGAATGCCCCTTTTTATGTCCCTTGAGCTAATGGGTTGAAAGGGCTCAAATCCACAGTTAAAGAGGGAGGAACGTGGCGAATCCGTAAGCTGGAGAAGTCTTCGCTTATTCAGGTGTTCAAGGTTGAGGAGACTGGGACAGGCGACATCATCTCCACGTCGTTTCTGGATTGGCGAGCACGCTCATGATAGGTGGAGGCTGGCACCTACAAACTGTCTGACTGGGGGAACCTTGCACTTCAAATGGTTCGAAATGCAACAGACCGCGGCAGGCGCGAAAATCTGTCTGCCGGTTCGACCAAAGCAATTAGAGTGGCTCGCCGGCTTCGGTTCAGGCTATGATGGAAGTAATGCATTTGAGCTGCCTGATACCGTGGTAAGCCCTCAATGTGAACAGCCTGACCACAGCACTGGCTTTTGAAGCCGGTATCCGGGTCTTGAAGTCCTGTCGTGCCGTTGCATTTGATGGGTGAATATTGCCAGGCCGGACAGATATAACACGACTACAACATGCTCGAGGATCGACGCGAAAAGGTGACAATCATCGCCATCTCGTACCAAGCTGAGAGGCTCTATTTGCCTACGCCAGTGTGTCCGCAAGGTGATGTAGTGCCACCCTCGCATGGCCAGCTGCCATGATACGGGAGACTTGAATTGTTGGGCAAAGGGTGGTATTCAACCACAGTACGACTCGAGGCACTATGTATAATTTCTCATATAATGGATACTGGAAATCTAAGTTGAAGAGGGTTGCTCTGACTGCCAGAGGAAAGCAACCAATGGGATTTTTTCGTGAGCCGAACACATGTCTATTTTCTACTGCGGCGTTGAAGGCTGCTCAGTAGGAGTTGGATCGTCACGGTTTTCAACACCTAAGGTCTGCCGATTGCGCAAATATTCCTGGCGCTCTGCTGTTTTTGCTGCATTCTTGATTGCCCTCTTGTGGGCGCGCCCGTTCAGATGAATATTCCACTGATCTTCGGTCGCCATCGTTCTACTGCAGATCTCACATGTAAAAGTCTGAAGCACGTCGCCGCGCTGCGTCTGCGCCTGAGCCTCCCGTGCGCCCAGTGTTTCTCTTGCCATGTCCGAGAGAGATTTAGGATCCGGTCTGGGTTCGTCGTTGAGCAGCGCCTGAGTCAGGCGCTCAGACGGTTCGGTAACACACCTCTGCCAGTCTTCAACGTTTGTACTGTCCAGAAGATACAAGTTATCTGTCGCACTGGCGTCAGCGAGCGCCTTCCAAAGCTTGTTCCGTATCCATTTGATCTGGGATGTCGCATATTGACGTGTTGCGATTTTCACCAGCTCGATGGACGACTGTTTGAGTGCTTCAAGCCCTCCTTCACTCAATTCACCGTTTTCCAAGGCGTCAAAGTAGGGTGCTAATTCCTTGAACCCGATGGAGACCCAGACTCCTCTTGTTTGATCAACAGTAATGCCTTGCCGCTTTTTGTCCCGAAGATAAGCCCACATTCTCTGGGCCTCTGCCATCAACCCTTGCTCCACCATAGAATCTACACGTTTGGCAAGACGGTAGTTCAATGTCTCTTTCTCTGAATGCACCCAGAATATCAGTGTCGGGTAACGGAGCTGTCCTATACCCGGGGAAGACTCTCCATTTGTCTCCGTCGCATATTTCTGACGCTTCTGCTCCGCGTAAATCTCGGAGGCCGGCTTGCCGGTCTGAAAGTAAATCTCCAAGGACCGTCGGATTTTGCGCACGTCGTTTGGATGCCATCGACTGGCGATAACGGGATCGACTTCCTTTAATTTCTGAAAGACCACCTCTGGCGGCGCATCAAGGATGGGCCACTTTGCGGACGTAGGCTCGGTCTCCTCATGGAAATGTGCGTCATCATTGTCGCTTGAAAAGAGGCTCTCCTCGACCAGCTGATCCTTGAAGAGTACCGTTTGTGTGTAGTAGTGCGTTCCTCCGACCAGAATGGGAAGCTTCCCTCGGGAGTGTATGTCCTTTATTAGTCGCAGGCATTCCCTTTTGAAATGACCTATGCGCCACGGCTCTTCTTCAAAATCGACACAACTGATCAAGTGATGTGGGATGCCGTTCCGTTCCTCGATTGGTATCTGATTCGTGATGATGGGTAGGCCACGGTACATTTGCATAGCGTCGCCATTTATGATTTCACCGTTGAAACGGGTGGCTAAATCCACTGCAAGCTATCTACAGCCGTCAGCAGAAAGAACTTCTCCAATGGTTCCTCTCCTTCCTGTCTCCCTCACCTTGGATTTGCCGGTGCCCGTGGCACCGACGACGGCAATGAGGGGCTCCATGGTCAATGGGCGTTTGATGCGCCAGAAAGAGCGGAGAAAGTTGAGCATGGGAGAGCCACATGGAGGATTCTTGTCATTACGAGTCCATTTTCCCCTGACTATAATACAAAGCAGATGCTTTAGCGGTCAAAGGCGTTGTAGTCTCGATCAAGCACGGGAAAAGAAAAGTGCGCGCAAATGTATACATGCCGATATTACCTCATCGGTCTCCGCTTCAACATGAGATTCGGCTTCTCATCATGAAGTACTTGATTGATATATACCAATATAGCTCAATTGTGACGGACTTTATGAGAAGCTGATGACTATCCAACTAATCCTCTTCAATGGCCAGTCTGTCCAGCGTTAATATTCAAGAAATGCTCAGAAAGGACGGGAATTCCGTCACTATATAAGCTTTTGTATTGCAATATCTAGCACATACGACCATAGGGTGTGGAAAACAGGGCTTCCCGTCCGCTCAGCCGTACTTAAGCCACACGCCGGCCGGTTAGTAGTTGGGTGGGTGACCACCAGCGAATCCCGGCTGTTGTATGTTTTTGAACTTTTTTATTTTGCTTCTTTTATATATGTGTTGCTTGCCGCCGTGTCCTGAGTCACAGCCAAAGAATATAAATAATCGATTGATAGAAATCCTTCAACTACTCCGAGAGTCCACCGCGACTCAAAGTCAAACTTCATTTCCGGACAGAATGGCGTAAGTAGGAGATCACATGACATTCGTCGTCCTCACTCCGATGCTACCTACCTCACCGACTAGTGGCAATCGAGTCATAAGCACGTTTCTAGTACAAGTCCTATTTGCAATCTGTTGTGGTCACTCTCTTATTCAAAATTAACAAGCGAATAGGTTTATGAACCGCTTGCCATTTAGAAGTAGTAAGTGTTCTTCATATCAGGATAACACTTTCTTAACCTCCGCCGTAGTTCCTCCTCGTCCAAACATGGCAGACTCGGACAATCATACAGGTCCTTCAATCAATGTGAATGGCCTGAGTTATAAGTTCCAGGATGGTTCTTCAGGCTTGACGAATGTGTCTCTCAGTCTCCCGGCAGGCAGCCGGACATTGCTCATTGGAGGTGATTTGGTTCCCCTCCAGCCTAGATGAGTCATGACCGATTGCTAACGCCGTTGTAGCGAATGGAGCGGGCAAGACGACTCTCCTGCGCTTGCTGGCAGGCAAGCGCTTGGCCCCGACAGACACAATTTCTGTTGGTGGCAAGGACCCCTTCAAGCACGGCCTCGAAGGGGTGACTTACCTGGGTGTCGAATGGGTTCTGAACAGCATTGTCCGAACGGACATCGACGTCCCCACGCTTTTAGCATCTGTGGGTGGAGACGCCTATCCCGAGCGTAGGGATGAGCTGGTTGAGATTCTCGACATTGACCTCCGATGGCGTATGCACGCCGTGTCGGATGGTGAGCGCCGCCGTGTGCAGCTGGCGATGGGTCTGCTGCGCCCTTGGCAGGTGCTTCTTTTGGACGAAATCACTGTGGACCTCGACTTGCTTTCCAGGAGTAACTTCCTCTCCTTCCTCAAGCGGGAGACAGAGACAAGACCCTGCACGATCGTCTATGCCACTCACATCCTGGATAATCTGTCGCAGTGGCCCACCCATCTCGTGCATATGCACCTCGGAAACGTCAGGCAATGGGGCCCCATGGAAAAATTCAAGAGCGAGGTCACCGAGACATCAGAGAACAGTCTACTCGGTGAGCTTGTGCTCAAGTGGCTTAAGGAGGACCTGTCGGCCAGAGGACCGAGGAACGGGCAATCCAGCCAGAGCAAGACCTACGGGTCACTGGACGGACTTGGGGGATATGGGCTGGAGAAGCCAACCTGATCAGACTCTCCCTCCATCCGGAGCGTCTGATTCTCTCTTGGCTGTCTAATTTTCTGGGATGCTACTTTTTCTTCAACAAACATTCTGTTCAACCACAATAGCATGGCGGCGGTTTACGGCTTGGTTTAGGGACGATAAAGGTCAGGCATCATTCAACATTTTAGAGCTATTCAACACCCATGACGTGAGCTCATAATTGCGTTTTTTTTTGGTACTTCTTTCGTTGTGTATATATACATGGCATTTCATGAAAGCATGTCAGAAATAGCATATACGCGCACCGAGGAATCCTCACTTGCTACAGCAAGCTCAAATCTGCTCTCAGTATCTCTAACATCCTTCCGATGGGACGGTCGCCATGATAATTGGGTGATCGCTCTAGAGGGAGATACCGATCTATCAACTGTACCAATGTGTCTCGCCTCGAGACCGTCGACCGTCACCTGGTAGATCGATAGTTTTCCACTTTCTTCGCCCGTTGCAAGGAAGAAGGAAGCGTCAAATACACTTGGAAGGATCGAAACAGCTGTGACTGAGTTTTCTAGGGAGATAGTGGTCTTGCACGCGAACGAATCCTCGACCTTCTCCCATAGTTTCACAGATTTGTCTCGGCCAGCCGTCGTGAAGACAGGGTTCGCCGCTTGGGGAGCCCATGCCGCATCTAGAATCATTCTAGAATGGCCCTTGGGGTTCGATGTCAGAAGCGAGAATGAAGAAGGATCTTGCCCATTTCGTAGGAAGACAGCCCACTGCCGATCTCGCCCAACACTGAGAAGGTATTGGTCATCACTCGAAAAACACAGACTTGTGATAGTCAAAGAATGCGCTTTCAGGGAAGGTCGAATTTCACGCCAGTCAGAAGTGTCGTACAGCCGTATCACCGCATGGTCTATTGAGCTTGCTTTACAAGCAGTCGCAACCAGCGTGCGTTCATGATTCACGGCCACGGCTGATATCTCGTAACCATGACCATAGAGCTTCTCGTGCTCGGGCCACAGTGTATAACGAGCCAACTGGTCTTCCAGCGGTGGATGGTACAGGTTCGATATCATTGCCTGGCTCGCTTGGACCTGCCGCGCCCCCGCAGCACTCTCTTCGTCTACCTCCAGTGGGATTTCCTCGCCCACGGCCTGGTTAGACAAGCCGAGAACTGGAATCTGTGCTGTATCTGGAAGCTCTTCGTCCGTTCCTGGTTTAAATTCGGCCAGCTTCTCCAGTAGTTGAGCGATGGGTCTCGGCTCGTTGAACACCCGTAAAAGCTTTTCGTCAGCGCCTGATACAAAGCGCGCGGGTCCCAAAGTATCAATGCAGTTCAGATCGTAACCATGAATCTGTGGTCTTGAAAACTCATGCCACGACGTCAGTCCCTCACGTGACCACTCTGCATGCAGGCGAGTAGTCTGGTCTGCGCTGGTGGAAAGCAAATACCCTCCGGTTGGTTCCCACTGCACACCGTTCACAGAACGCACATGGCCCGTAATCCCCAGTGCCTGCAGCCACATGTCGGAGTCGGCATCATACCTCCATGCCCTCCAGCTACCTGTTCGGCCCAGACTCACGACTTGCCTTCCGTCCGGAGACCAAAGACCAATCCAAAAGCCGCCAGTGCTTCCTGTAGCTGTGGTAGATCCTTTTTGGACGCTAATTTCTCCCATCCTCTCTGCGGAGAGCCATACTCCGGATACTGGATCCTGCTCCCAGATTGTCAAAGTATTGTCTGCAGAAGCAGAAAGCAGCTGTTGGCGTTCCGTGCTTGGGTTCCAACAGGTCGTGTAAATCCAATCCTCATTTCCAAACAGAAGAGCTTCGAAAGTGACCGAATATTTGGATCCGGCTGCTTCGAATTGATGAGCTTTATTGGATAAAGTCGTTTCAAGTCCGCCGAGTATAGGATCTGCATCATCTGCTAGCGCCGACTTGGTGGCCTCTCCTCGTTGAAGCCTCCACAACCGGATATATTTATCTTGACTGGCTGAGGAGAGCAGTAGGTCCCCGGACTTGCTTTGTTTATCCTCGGTGAAGGAGAGGGAACGTACCCATGCCTCATGGCCTGAAAGAGTCGCAGAGAGTCTAAAGCTTGCACCAGCGAATATGTTTTCGGAAACATAAATCTGAACATTATTCATCGTACCGGCGACTGCCAATACCACGGGTTTGTCTTTCGATTCTGTTGACAGCGGCTTCAATGATAATGCCAGCGGGAAGAAGCGAGGTTTCATCGTAAGATCCTGAAATAGATCGGCCTTTATTACGGTTTTCTGCGTGTCGATCTTCCAGATCTTGACGGTACCATCTGCGGCTCCAGATGCGACGATAGCGACGCCATCAGCAACGGCAATCGTATTTATTGAGCCTGTATGTCCCTTAAGAGTATGTGCATGGGTGAATTTGGTGGGGTCGACTGCATCAGCCCGCCATATCCGAATCGTTTGGTCAATGGAGCCGGTAAGAAGCAGCTTCGTACCAGTGGCGGGACATGTGTAGAATCTGACCGCACTGACTTTGTCGGTATGGCCAACGAGGAGGGCATAAACCCCGCACTGAGAGGCATCCTAGACAGGCAACAGCAGTATTAGTCCGGTTGCGTCGAGACCAATTGAGGCACTGAGGAAGCTCATACCCTTGGATCCCATAAGGCCACATTGTTATCTGCACCAAAGGCGAGCACACCTAACTGCACATCCCAGTCTGCGGCGGCCGGATGCCTGTTCCCCCAACACTGATGTATTCTGTCGTGATTGACACCATGAATGCGCCGGACAATGATCGCCAATTAGTGGTCTAAGTTGGTATAGAAGTGCAGCGACAAAGTCCAACTATGGACACGGGCAGAGAGGCGCTATCTTTCGATTGCTGAGGAGAGAATGGATCGATGACCACTTTTTGTGCTCGGAATTTAAGCTTATCGATAAGCGCGGCCATCGCAGAGCTGCCCCTCTCCGTTTGCATTTTCCTCCTACTCGTATGTCTTCGGTCAACGCGACTCCTCGACTATTCCTGAATCAATATTTGACGGCCACATTTTCTCCGGCCGTGGGTCCATTCTGAAGCAGTCATGGCTGACCCTTCTGCCGTGAAAGGCGGTGCCGATAGCATCACCATTACTGTTGAGTTCACGTTAGACCGTCCTTGAATGCATTGCTTTCACCTCAATGCCTGCTGACTCCCATTCGTACAGTGGTGGTCTGGAGATTCTCTTCTCCAATGAGCGAAAACATCATATCACGCTACCCGCTCAAGTAGATGACGGTGGCCGGCCAACCATCGCTTACTTATTACGATATCTGGTTGACAATGTTATGAAGGATCAAAGGAAAGAGCTATTTATAATGGAAGACAATGTGTATGCCGCGAATGGGGCCCCCATGAATCAGTGGCAAGGCTGACAGAAAGTGGTAGACGACCTGGTATCCTCGTCCTTATCAACGATGCCGACTGGGAACTGGAAGGCGAAGAGAAATACGAGCTCCAGTCAGGGGACAATATTGTATTCGTCTCAACACTTCACGGAGGATAGATCCGCCTGGAAGCCTACATGCGCTCTATAAGAATCATCATTTCCATGCACTCGACATGATCTAAGGTCAATTGTATACCGCGCAGCATTTGAGTCCAGACCGAACATACGATCAGACAACATCGTCCACATGCTGTTGCGATATCCTCTCCGGCTCACGAGGAGTTCGAAGGCCGCTTTGTGGTGTTGAAAATCCATCCTTGGGACTGCCTATTCCTCCAACCAAGGGAGACGGCACCCCACTGGGAGGTACCGGAATCTTGATATCTTGCGGAGAGCCAGGTATAATTTCTTTTGGCAAATCAGGGATGTGTATTCTGCGCGCCTCGTTTTGGTAGCTTTCCGGGATAATCTGCACGAAGTGGTTTTAGTCGGTTGCTCTTTAGGTTAGGGCGTTGAATGTATCCTTACTTCGATGATTTCATCACGTGGAAACTCCAAGAACGGAATATCAGCAGCATTGCACGCCATGAGGTAACCATAGAGGACTCTTAGTACGCTTTCATGAGCTATGATGAGAAGATCCTTCTGCTCCCGTTCAAGTTCCAAAATGATGGGTTCGAGTCGCACCGCAAGGTCATGGTAGGACTGTCATAGTCGTAAGCTCGGCTGGTCAACGTCAGATTTGAAGCGTAAATTGAGCTTACCTCCGCTCGCGGGTACCGATGGTGGTAAGGATCGAGCTCATGCTTAGCCACCTCGTCCGGGTACTCTTCGCGAATTCTTCGCTCAGACATTTTCTCGCAAACACCAGGGTTCAGTTGGCTCATTTGTGAGCGTTGCCGGACTTTGTACCCCTTTTCATATAAATATTTCGCTGTCTCAACCGTCCTGCGTCTCGTGGATGTCCAAACAGTTAGTGGTTTGAGTTCATAATCCGTCTCTCCTCGGTCAATCATGGCCTGTCTTTCAGATTCCCTATGCTGCAGGAGACGTTCAGTCATTTTCTTTGCGTAGTCCTCTCCCTGCTCAGACAGAGACGCATCGGCTTTATAGGAATCTGCCTCCAACGAAACACCGGCCTAATGAAGATTTAGTGTCTGAAGAATCCATTCACCCAGAACTCCACTTACTCGTGCAAAGTACGTATGCCTGGACTTGATGTGAAGGTTGAGAAGATAGAATACAATTCGGTTAGATAGATAACCGAAACTTTTATTGTTGACAATCAGTCTTTCTCCCGCGTTTATCATCTGTACTTCAATTAGTATCTAAGCTGGCATGCCTTTCCGCAAATGGATACCTTGATGTAATTCAAATCTTTCTCCTCCATGGTTTGAAATTGAGGGATTCTGGCAGATATCCTGGTCAAGTAGTGTTTCACCGCATCCTCTGATGACCAGCCAACATACTGAAAGAGTTAAGCCATTTTGATCAGACACATGCTAGGAGGGCCTACTTACGTCGGGGGATGAGATCTTGACTCTGCGAACATTCTCCTCGATAATGCGCTCGTCATCGCACCATGATTCGATGAAAAGCGTCTGCGCGTGTTTTGACCGTTAGAACAATCCAACACACAAATAGTATGGTGAGATGAGATGTCTTGATACTTTCATACCTCAATATCTTGTTTGGCAAACTCCTTCGCGAGCGATCGTCGGCCAGAAGCTAAAGGATTGACGGCATCATAGATCGCAATTTGGCCATTTTCGAAATTCAGGTACTGGTATATGTCTTCACGACACCTTTTCATGATCTTTTGCCTCAATAGAACCGATGATGCAGATGCTGTATTCAATTAGCGGGACGAAACGACGTCAAGGATATAGATATCTACTGGTGCGAGTGTAGTGCGGAACGTGCCATGTAGCAAGAAGAACAAAAATGAAACCGGTGGAGAAACTCGAATCACTCACCATTGACAAAAAAGTAGTCATCTGGGATGTCTTGACCAACGGGGATCGTGGCTCGTCTATAATCTCCAAGGTGGAAGATCCTGGTTTTTACACCTAGCCTGCAATTCCCTTAGCGAAGACAGCATGACCGATTCGACAAGAATACCAACCATCGAAGGTAGCGCGCCAATGCTACTGAAATATGTCTGAAATACAACATGAACAGTCAGTTACTTGACTAGCTCGATTCTCGTCAAGATGGTGAAACGAACGTCTTGCCCCTCGCTGGTAAGCCTACAGTAATAATTACAATCCTTCCAGAATGGAAAAGTCGACCAGACTCCGTGCTATACAGCTGAGCTGGTGCCAAATCGGCCTTCTCTGGCAAATCATGAATGGCATCAACGAATGTCGATGATTTCCTTCGGAACCGAGGGGAATTGGCCACGATTTCAGCCGTTCTGAACAATGTTAGATTTGAACAGTCTGATACAGCAAAATGGAGGGTATGCCCAGAGGAGGGGATATGATTCGTTTCTTGACCAAGCTTGAACCGGACCGCTTTGGCGGCCCGGACTATTCAGTGCATTGATGTAAGGGAATAATAACAATCCTTACAGTAGTGTATCCATCTTAAAAGACAGGTTTCAGACACTGAGCTCTGACTGAGAAACGATCCAAAAGATATATCTCGCGAACAAATTGCAGGCGAGGAAGTATCCGTCAGACAGGAGATATTCACCAAGGCTAAGTGCCAAGGCACCTTCGGAGTTGGGAGCTTCGGACAGATGACGAGGAAAGGCAAAGGTAAAATGGAAAAGAAAAAGAGAAAGAGACAATGATAATAATAAGATAAAAAGGGAAGAAAGGAAAATAGATTGCAATAGGTTCCTGCGAGCTCCAGTAATGATTAGAGGTTGGCAAAAGACGTCTTGTTGGCGATAGCGAATTGTGCCTATGGCAGGCGTCCAATATACAGCCCAATGCTGGTTTTGGTGCAGTGAGTGTAATGTACCTTCGGGGGTACACGGTACACTTGATCAACTTCGGCAGTGCTTCTTAGAAATTGCGCATAAAACTTTTTGAATCTTTCTCGCAAGCTAGATGTTTTCTGCCGAATAGAGGCTACAGTAGCTACCAGTGACCCTTCATCTAACTTACCAATCTGCAATTATATCATCATCATCAAAGCCCCAATGTACCATTCCCAGTTAAGCCCGAAGCGGCATAGTGTCGAGTCCTGTGACTTCGGGACTCTGTATGTGCCAAAGACGCATGCCGGGGCGGAAAAGCAAATGTCGCTTTTTTTCCCGTCAGAGGCTGCTTGGGAAGATCAATTAACAATTGTTGCGCTGCGACTCTTCCACTTACCTCTCAATCCCCTAGAGCTGGTTAGACGCAGCCTGCTATCATTTCAGTTACTCGGCAACTACTAGCGAAGTTGCCTTCGTCACGTTCTAAGTGCAATCTCGGGGCTGGTCTCAGATCTCGTCTTTCCTCATCTCATCGACAGCGAGAAGGAAAGACGTCCCTCGAGCCCGCGTGACGGTCAACCTCATTACCTGATCATCCTCTTATCACACCAGTTCACTTGCACAGACAATCACAATGGCCGACTTTTTAGCCCTTCCTTCTTTCCTTGCGGAGAATTCCGCTGCCATCGCCCTCAAAGATGCATACAACTCGTTCTCCGAGCGAAGGGCGGCCCTCGGCCTGTCCAACCCAGGAACTGTGGATAACATTGCCAGGGAAGTGCAGAAGGAGGTCCTTCTGTCTAACTTTATGTTCAGTGGTCTCCGTGCAGACCTGACAAAGGTTTTCGGCATGTCTCCCCTGTTCCGTGTCTCGCACGCCTTCTCCATGGGCGGGTCTGGCAACCTGCCTCCATATGCCTTCTCGGCCATGTACGGAACTCCTAAGGTATGCATCATCGCTTAATCGATGAAATGGGCTCCTTGAATTTTGCCAACTTCGGTTACTAAACTCTCATCTCGGCAGGTTTTCATGCAAGGTAACTTCGGGAGCGATGGCGCTCTCGCCGCTGTTTTCAACTACCGATGGAATCCCAAGCTGGTCACCAAGACCAACACTCAGATCATGGCCGGTGCTAGCCAGGGCCTCCTGCAAATCGATAACGACTATACCGGTGATGACTTCTCCGCATCTATTAAGGCCTTCAACCCATCCTGTCTGGACGGTGGCCTTACTGGAATCTTTGTCGGAAGCTATCTTCAGTCCATCACTCCCAGCCTTGCCCTTGGATTCGAAGCGATCTGGCAGCGCCAAGCTATGAACGCCCGCCCAGAGACTGCCCTTTCCTACTGTGCGAGATACAAGGCAAACGACTGGATTGCCAGTGCCCAGCTGCAGGCTCAGGGCGTTTTCACTGCCTCCTACTGGAGAAAGCTCTCTGAGCGTGTTGAGGCTGGTGTTGACATGAACCTTCAGTTTGCTCCTAATGCTGCTGCTGCTTTGATGGGGGGCCCTAGCAGAGACGGTACCACCTCTATTGGAGCCAAGTACGACTTCCGGGCTTCGACATTCCGTGCCCAGGTTGACAGCGCTGGTAAGGTCAGCTGCTTGCTGGAGAAGCGGATAGCCATGCCCATCTCTCTTACTTTTGCTGGCGAAATTGACCAGGCTAAGGTGAGTTGTCTGTCTTTATACAACCTTTGTGTGTACGATGGGTTCAAATGGTTACTGATTCGTATCGCATTGTAGCAATCGGCCAAGCTTGGTCTTGCTGTGTCCCTCGAGATCGCTGGCGAGGAATTGATGGAGCAGCAGGAGAAGATCGAGGCTCAGGGCATGATCCCTCCTCCTTTCTAAACCCTCCCTGAAGCATAGCTGGAGCTAATCATACCCGCTTGCTTGTGGGAAACTGGAGCTTTTTTTTGGCTGCTCCGCCATCCAGCTTGAATTATTTCTCCACTATCTGTTTTATTAGATCTTCTCTCTCCACGTGTACGTCTGGAAGATGGTGTATCACCTCGGTTACGCCCTTGAACGCGATTTGCTGGTGCAGGAAGGCGGTCGTTTGGCGCCAGGGAAACCAATTTTTGTATAGATCCATCTTCGATTTATTGGGGAGTCTCCTATTATTTCTCTTCCGACTTCCGCGTCATGGCTTCATCTGTGAGACTGTTGTTCCTTTTTCTTGTCCTTATTGGTACCACGTTTATTTGTGATGGGCGATGCTGGCTTGTCGACGGGACTGCAGAGCATGGAATGCATGGAAGCGATGGCAGGAAGCTGTTATGTTCATGACATCTTAGAGGGATCAATGTAAAACAATTTAAGTTTCCTAGCAGTTGGACTTTTGGAGACGGGTATGTGGACACAAGATCAACGAACACCGCAGTTGTCATTGGATATCAAGCCACATAGATAGGCACTTCTCGAGAGGGACAAGAGAGGATTCAGTGGCTCAGAATAGAGGCCATGCCCGGCACCAATGCAGCTTTAGTCGTCCAATGCAAACCGTCAATTGTTCAATTCACTTCCCTCTGAAACCTTACAAAGTACTCTCTCAACAACCCGCGGATGGCATCGAGCATATACGTAATATCTACATACCTATCACGAGATTTGACTAGGCTAGTCACTGGCTCGCGCAGTACGCTGACTACTGATTTACCCAGATACTCTGGAAATAGGTACACAATGGATGATACCGTGAGAACGCAGCTCCTGAACGTACCTGTATAACTCCAACCCACATAGGTGAGCTTGTTGGTCCACTTAGGCTCGCTAAAAAGGTCGTTTGCGCAGAGGCTCGACAGTCACTCCTTTCTCAGGCCCCACGTCTGTTACCTTAATTACACATTCGTATCAGGGTTCCTCCTGGAAGTATCTATAGAGTATGCGGATTGTTAGAGAGGCAAAATGCTCGATAGTAGTACGCAGTTAGGTCGAGCTTCGAGAGCGATTAGGCCCATCTTCTGTGGCGACTTTTGGGCCACCCCCAACTTGAAGTCGCGAGGTTGGGCGATGGTGAAGACAAGATAATCAATTTCGAGTCTTTTAAAGAGTCCCTGAATCCCTGCAGATACCTATTCTGATTTGCGGTATATCCACGGTCCTAACGCCCAAGTAAATTGTCTCAGCCCCACCGTGACATCATTTTCCCCCGGTTAAATTATCTCTTGAACTTTTAGAGTAGCAGAGAGGTAGATAGAGGACAGTAGTGTCAGGCGAGGTGGGTATCTTTTACTGTTTTGCATTGATACTATAGCAATGGTCATTATTGTCAGTAGAATAGGGTCATAATCGAAGGATAAGGCAGGTAGTTGTTCGGTATCAGCTCCGTACTTGGTGCATGTATATCTGTCTTTCGTCTTTCCTTGCGAGTAGATTAACTCAGTCAAATCTACCAACCTAAGTGAAGCGAGAATACATGAACGTCGTATATAGCAAAGAGATCGCCAGTATATTAGACTAAGCGGATACCCAGAGGGGACTCTAAGAAGCACTGTTGCAGTCGACCAAGCAGTTCTGGTTGAGGATGAGGTCTACGACTTGATTCCTGCAGCAGTATATCTAAGATAAGTAGTCAAGACGGAAAAGATATGAAATTCAAACATTGTCTGTTCGACTCTTTGAGATATGGATGGTTCAGGGTCAAGGGCAGCTGCCTGTCAATGTCAGAACATCCCTCCTGGTCTCACATATACTTGAACCGGTACGATTTGATTTGCAGCAGGACCTCTCTATGGATTGGTTTAGGGCCATGCTACTTGACGACCGTCTTGTTCATCCACTTTTCGCACACTGTTCGCAATACTACAAATCCCAGATATATAAAACTATTCTCAATGAGCGATTTTGTAGCATTGATTCCATTCCTAGCAACCAGAGATCATGATATGCATCGTCTTCTCACAGGATCGCAGCCCCTACCACCCAAGAAGTTAGTGCCATGCAAGCCTCAGTCACCTGAGAACAAATTCGGAATCGGAAAATTGACCCAACAGACCATGATCTGCTGACCGCACCAAGAGCGCTAGTACTTACATGACCTTCTCAGTACCCACAGCCTGGTTCAAATGCTGGAATGCGGTGCCTGGTACCATGGAATAGGAAATTATCGACATACATGACCGGCACCGACAGAGGATCTATCATGGAGGCATTTAGGGAGGGTACAGGCAAGTACCTACCTAAGGTAGGTAAGGTACTTTGCAACCGATATTGTATTGGTAATTCTCGGAGTACTCACACCACAATACCCAGTGCACTGCTCGCCTATCTGTGTTGATTGCAATATATGCAATCTCCCTCAAGACAATCCCCTTGAAGCTTGCCTCGTTTGATCTATATTTGTAAGAACCGAGACTGCGGCGTTCTGATTTCCTGCCAATTGAGATCAAGTGGTGTTTAGTTGGAGCCTCGTGATGCCCACCATCCTTGAAGCGAAACAGGTCACCTAACCAAAACCATCAGGATCCGAAGGGATATACTAACGTAATTCAAGCATGATAATTCAATAATGGCCGTAATGCCACATATACATTAGGCCGAATCATAGAATCCGAAAACACGGACCGGAATAGCACTATTAGAAGTAGTAGACAACATCAATGGCATGCCCAGTCCGTTCGCAGATCCAATCCAGGTTTAGTGACATTCATGGGGAAAAGCCGAGCAGATTTCGTATTCTCATATGTCCAAAGACTCAACAAAGTCCCAAATGCCCATGTCATAAGGGGGTCCCTAAGACTGCTGTCATGAACGGGCTGATTCATGACGATCGGGGGCAATTCGGTGCCAGCGGCCGATTGTTCAGATCCATGTTATGGGATGCCGAAAAAAAGGATAAAATCACACCGGTCTTGGCCCATCGCGTCGGACTATCTAATCTTGACAAGTATCTATCTATGCCGCGGATATAAACAGGCAATGCGTGTCACAGTCGTGCTTCAAGACACAACAGAAAGGTGGCGCAGTTTGTCAAACTTGGCTTGTATGCTAAATCCCGACTCCAAGGAGCTTCTGGTCACTTGACAAGCAGATAATTTCACCGTGGACCGGGGCATGATCGCAAACTGCCTACGTATGGTACCTGTCAGTACCCCTCGAGTCAGCAGGTGGTCTGAATCATCAAGGTAGCTAAGGTAATATAGTAAGTAGAGATCTAGATCCTGGACGGCGCAAGTATGCGGCGGCTCGAGATTGTACCAATTCTGTTACTTTCATACGTCGGGTGAGTGGGCAGCAGAAAAGGTAGCCAATCAGGTGGATTCCAGTGAAAATCATGGCTGGTCACTTGACACCAGCGGACCAGACACATGGCGCCTGGTGCCTCTCCTCTTACCTAAGCTCCCGGTAAGTAGGTTAGGTCACTCACAGCTTGGTAAGGTATGTACTCTGAAATGATGACCCAGTAACCCCCGTACACAAATACTAAAATGATAATCTCAACTTATGACCAACATATCCACCAAGTTGAGTGGCCAAAGTTGCCCTGATTCATGAACGTCGCATTTTCTCCTTAGAATGGTCCAGTGATACACTTTACATATGAAATCTATCGTCATAATTGCGTTGTTATGGTGCTATCTGATATAGTATTTGTAAAGTTGCTTCTTTTCCCCTTCTTTGCTCTTAAACATTGCGTTTATTTATAGTCAACGAGTAGCGACACCCCTAGAAATACAGAACACTTGAGAGTCTCTAAATCAAGGACAGAGGATCTACGCCTAAAGTGCCATAGTGCGCCATGTGATCAGACTTTGTCCATCTGCTTAGCTTCCACGGAGCATGATAGTGATCCATGACTAGTTAATCTAGCAGTTGATCCAGTTATATAAGGAATACCCTCTCAGATGCATGAATTCTCGAATCCGTATTATAAGAATGCAATCATCCTTTCCTAAAGTCCAGTATCCGAATTGAAGAGAAGGAAGCAATTCAATCATATACATATGGTGATGGGCAATTGTTAGGGAGCCATCTACATAACTAGGATCCGATCAACTTCCCTTCCTGAGTCCTCATAGGCCTCATGGCACTGGTCAGCTGGCTTTGCCAATAAGAATATTGGACTACTTCAGGTGCATTATCTCCCTAGTTCAGCATTATTATTATTAACATAGGCTCGTACCTACCGTCCAAGCTCGAAGGTCCCACAAAAGCCGCCGTCGTTATTGGATATTTGGGAGTAGCACAAGACTTTGCCCTAGATAGTCTGTAGAGACTTGGTACCTAGCTTCTTCTAAAGGCTTGAGGCATGATCAACAAAATAATAATAAGTTCTTTTTAGTTATCTAAGGCTCGACAGCAACGACTAGGTAGATACTTATTGGCTGTGGTGGACAATTTTCTGCTTGACGTTGTTCACTTCTTACTGACCCAATTCAGAGTAGTATATGATGCCATGTCCAATGAGACTGCCTGTGACTGCCCTGGTGTCCAGTCTGTATGCCTGTGCGCCCAAAAGGGCACTAAATAGGCACCTTACTTCAATTCCTGCAAGGGAAATATAGCGTCATGATGGATAGCTGGAGGTACCCACTGGTCTTGTAAGTTACTGTATCAATACATACATACATACATGCATGTACCTACTTAAAATCAGATTGTCCATTGGATAGCCGGGTAGGTAGTTAGGGACTTAGAGTAAAGGTAGTTAGCATATGCCCCTCTTTCCTGTGGCTCTTCTGGGGCCCCTGGCAAGCAAATCCATATCTGCCTCTCCGCTTTCTGGCTGGTACGTACTGTCATAAATTACTCTAGCAAATTATTCTTTCCCATGAACTGTTACTGTTAGACTTTTGAGGACAAGATTGGATTGGAATGAATTAAAAAAGGAGAAAGGAGGAAACTAAGGTACGGAGTATTATTCTACTTGACTATCAGCACATCATGTCTGTGGCCATAAACAGAAAGCCAGAATGCGCCAATAGAAGACATTCCTAGCCATTATCCTTCGCCTCATCTACACACACTGCCACAACTGTCTAGGTATGCAGCAGGTACTATATAGAGCTACTATCTAACTACTAACTACTGCACCACCCTGTAGCTCATTTATTATTCAGAATTCATTAAGAATCTACAATTAGGCCGCATGCCATACTTCAGGATCATTCAGTTGGTGAACTTGTGGGTTGGCTACCGCAACTAAATAGCAGCAGTAGTGGTAGTCTCTAGTAGTCCCGCCCCCTCCTCTCTGCCCCAAATTATTGCCTCCTCCAGCGCCATATTGAACTTCGATCTCACTACGATCTATTATTATTTCTCTTCCCCCCGCTCGACATCAAGACGCTTCCTCGCTCGAATGGTTCTTTGACAATTCATATCTTCTTTGCATCAATCTTTAGAACGTTCTTACTTGACTGAAGATAGCCCGAGTGTTCCTTGCTTTTCATCCTCTACTCCCGGTTCTTTATTTCCGCGTTCCTGCAGACCTCGCGTGTTCGGGCTTCGTCGCTCCATCAACGTCACCTGCTCTCCCTCCCTCTCCCTCTCTCTATCCTACCTTGACTACCTTAATCTCTCTCCCTCTCGCTCTCACTCGTGCTCCCTTTCTTCCTCTTCCTTTCCGTCCTCACTACCTTTCGAGGACATCAATCCAATATAATTTCTGAACTAGAACGCCAAATTTGCAAATTCCCTCGCCTTTCAAGTACTTCCACTCCTGCCTTTTTCTTTTATCTTTTTCATTTTTTATTTTTTCATTTATCATCTTCGTTTCTGTTCTCCAAACGAATCCATTATTATTTCTTTCCCTTGGAGGTTTCCTGCTGTGGTCTTGTGTCTGCACTCTTGCCAAGTCCATTGGTCCTTGCTCTAAGCCTACCACCTACGATTCGCCCGCCCATAAGTCCGCCTCTCTCAACCTTTCCATCTCACACGCACCTCCACTCAACATCCACCATTCGGATATTCCGCCCATCCAAAGCGAACACCCCTCCTTCTGCTCCACCATCGATTGCAGTCTGCCCAAAACGGACTTCAGAACTCCCTTCTACGCTATTTTCCGCCATTCACTGTTGAAGTGCAGCCCTCCATACTCTCGATAGCAACTGCCCAACCCCCCTCTTGTTGCCAACCCCACAAGTTGCCCGTGATGTCACAAAATCGACCTGGGGTGTTCTCGAATCTGCGCATGGGCGGTAAGAAACTTCCAAATGCTGAGTTCAATTGTTCAGAAAACATTACCCAGGAGCCTGTGGAACTGACTGCTTCGCTTTCCGACCATGCAGAAGTCGTCCGCGAGAAGGTCCAGGATGGACTGACAGGGGAAACCAAAGAAATCTCGTACTCACAATGTAAAATCGTCGGCAATGGATCGTTTGGTGTCGTCTTTCAAACGAAAATGATGCCAAGCGGCGAGGATGCTGCCATCAAGAGGGTCCTTCAAGACAAGCGCTTCAAAGTATGTGTACATTATGAGGGCAATTGCCCTCGCTGCCCAACCCCACGATACCGTCGCTGACGAGATACCAGAATCGAGAACTGCAGATTATGCGGATTGTCCGCCATCCTAACATCGTAGAATTGAAAGCCTTCTACTACTCGAACGGCGAGAGGGTATGCGACTCTCCTGTGTTTCCCCTTTCGTCCTAAGTTGCCTTTTGCTGACTACCCTACCATTGTCTTCAACAGAAGGATGAAGTGTACCTAAACCTCGTTCTCGAATACGTACCAGAAACCGTCTATCGGGCGTCGCGGTACTTCAATAAACTGAAAACGACTATGCCAATGTTGGAAGTCAAGCTGTATATCTATCAATTGTTCCGTTCCCTGGCATACATCCATTCACAAGGCATCTGCCACCGTGACATCAAGCCCCAGAATCTCTTACTCGATCCAAATACCGGCATCCTCAAGCTCTGCGACTTTGGTTCGGCCAAGATTCTGGTAGAGAATGAGCCCAACGTTTCCTATATCTGTTCCCGCTACTATCGTGCGCCCGAATTGATCTTCGGCGCCACTAATTACACAACGAAGATCGGTAAGTCCTCACTGATTCCTCCTTCAATTCTGACACTGTCATTGCTGACGATCGTCAAGACGTGTGGTCCACAGGTTGTGTGATGGCTGAACTCATGCTTGGTCAGCCATTGTTCCCTGGGGAGTCGGGAATTGACCAACTGGTGGAAATCATCAAGGTCCTTGGTACCCCTACTCGGGAGCAGATCCGCACCATGAACCCAAACTATATGGAGCATAAATTCCCTCAAATTAAGCCACACCCATTCAACAAGGTGAATACGCTCTGAAGGAACTTCTTGCGAATTGTACACTGACTCGATGACCCCCAGGTTTTCCGGAGAGCTCCTCACGAGGCCATTGACCTGATCTCAGCTTTGCTGGAATACACGCCGACACAACGTCTATCCGCTATCGAGGCGATGTGCCACCCGTTCTTCGACGAACTAAGAGATCCCAATACCCGACTGCCCGACTCTCGGCACCCTGGTGGCGCAGCTAAGGATCTCCCCAATCTCTTTGATTTCTCCAGACATGGTTCGTTGTCACTTGAGGCCCAAACTTATTCTTCCAGATGGCTGATTCGCTGACGATTCCTTTTGTAGAACTTTCTATTGCACCTGCATTGAACAGCCGGCTGGTTCCCCCTCATGCACGCGCCGCTCTCGAGGCCCGGGGGCTAGACATTGACAACTTCACTCCTCTCACGAAGGAGGAGATGATGGCACGTCTCGACTGAGTCGATAAGTTTCTCGTTACGAATCAAACGCCCGTTCGATAGTGCTTCTATCTGCACAACTGCGCGAGGATATGATGTCATGCGATGCAATTCACTTTGTGCACTGGGATGTTCTTGGACCAGAAGTGGCTTTTATGGAACTTGTCGACCAGAGTCGCTGGCTAGACACCCGGGAGTTGGCATCTCTTCTGAACGTATGAGGATACAAGGCAAATCCCATATTCAAAAGAAAAGGTGAAAAAAGAGAAAACAGGAGAAAAAAAAGGAATGGGAAATACAGAAACATCGCATTCTGGTGACAACATAAGCAGTTTTCGTGAGGCGGTGGTGCATCATGACAGTTTCATGCAACAGGGTTGAGGGATTGTCATAGTCTGGAGTTTTCGAGGTGTCTGAGACAGCTCTTGGGAAAGGAAAAAAAAGTGATACCCTTTAGTGTGCGAGTCTGCCTTCGGGGATTTAAGTTGCATAGCTTCATTCTCGTTTGAAGGAGGGCATGACCACTCCAATGCCGCAAGTCCTACTGAGAAATGCGAAGTGATCCATACCCTGCGGAGGCTACAGATACTGTGAGGAATTTCTCGGCTTGGAGACACCTAACATTTGTGTCTTTACAGTCAGTCTGTGTGCTCCGAGTACCGGCATTGGAGGTCCCATGGCCCGCTCAACTTGCAGCTTTAGAAGCCCCTTCCTTGTGTTCACACTTCATTTTCGATTTTTGTGTCCTTAGCACTTCTCATCCTTTTTCCCCTCTGATTTTCTCTAAACTCTTGTTTGTTTCTAACGTCCGATTTCACCTGTTTGGCTTCGATGCCCACGTGGACTTCGACTTGGCCAACGGTGATCACAGCTGTTTTTTAATGCCAAGAGGATAGCCTATTTCTACACCTCCATATACATTCAGAGATTCTCAAGCTGTATGTCTGGGGACTTCTCACTCGCTAGTATGTATAAACACAGATACGTGTATCATTTCTTCCTGCTGCCTCTCGTCTCTACTTTCCTCTGATCAAGTACACGGGATCTACCTGAAATTTGTGCTGTGTAAACTTGTTATCCCAGAACCTCCCAATTCGCAGGCACTTGTACGCGCTCTGGTTGCCCTCTGTCAAAGAAAGAGAGAATTGAGATTCAAAACTAGAGTCTGCTCCTTACTTTCACAGAAGAAAGTCATTTCCATAGCCTTTTCGTCATCCTGAGCATAAATGATCCTTACAGGGACTCTTCATCTGATAGACGCAGCGGACTTAAGCTGGTATAGGGTTTCACAAGGATCAATAACCGCTGAAGCTGCTAGATACTAATCTGCTTGCGCCTGATAACAGAAGCGACTTGTTATAAGCCCACCTTCAAAGTAAGGAAGATGAATCCGCTTACCTCGCATTATCAGGGTCACGGTCCTATAGTTAACTAACTAGTTATCAGTAGGGGTTATATAAGCCATGGAACGGAACATCTAATGTTCCAGCTTTGCGCCGGCCGAAGCTGTTGTCTGGCATGCGGTACTTAGCTTCAAGTGAACTACCTGGTCTTTGCCAACGAAAGGGGCCGTGATCTTATTTTTAAGTGACAGCTTCAGCTTCAGCTTGGGTATCCACCGGATAGATACTCTGTTGGAGTCAATTGTTGTTTGCGAGTTGAGATCTGTCGTTCAATCCTAACATGGCCGACTACGAACGCCGACCACACGGACCCTCAAGGGGAGGGCGCAAGAGGCGTTATAGAGGTCGGTCTACGATAATTGCGATCCTTACTGCTCTGCCTTTGGCTGAGTAGAAGGTCCTCTCCCTTACTGGTTTTGATTGAACTAACATTGCTCCGGTGGTGCATAGATGATGAGGATTCTGACCGGCGTCCGCAGAGGCGCAGATACGAAGAGCCACTCGTGGTCAAGGTTCGACGACAGCTGCTAACTCTTGCCGAATCTGTACGAGTTTCCTTATCACATAAGACCTGGTCTTACCGATTGCAATTGGTGAAGCTTACTTGTAAATGCGCTCTAGGCTGCTCGAAGAGCAGAGGACGACGCTGTGGTCATCGCAAAAAGTGTCGCAGAGAACTATGAGGACGAAGAGCTGAGAAAAAGCTATGTCGACATAGCCATTGATCTGTATGTGAGAATAAGCTTTCTTTTCACTCCAATCTCCCCTGCGCCGTCTAGTGCTAACCTTTCGGCTTTCTGCTAGTGTCATAGAGCAACCGTTGAAGATTCCCTTTATCGCCGCTACAGTTCTGGTCGCCAATAACTATAAATCAGAGCTTGTGGAAGATGTCCTCAAACGAGCACGCGAATCACTACAACAGTACATTGATGCCGGAGCCTGGCGCGAGGTCAAGCTTCTTCTGCGATTTCTGGGTTGCCTTCAATCTATTTTCGAAGGAGACGGTGTCTTTCCAATCCTGGAGGAACTTTTTGCACGTGCGGTTGATCTTCAAACCGCGTCATCTGAAGACGTCAGTTATATATTCAAACATTTCTTCGAGCATAGAGGTTGGCTGGGTGCTGATGTCGTCTCTATAGTTGCTAGGACTCGAGCTCGTCAAAATCATTCTGTTTACGATTCCATACACTATGGCGTCTCCAGCCACCGGGTTTGAAGCACAAGCAAGTGCACTCCTGGAAAAAACAGACATCATCGCCTCAACGCCGCATGCTCTAGTTGACTTGGTGAATCCATTCGCTTTACAGGATGGTGAACCAACTGCTGTGCAGAGTGTCATCGGCTTGCTTCAGAACCAACTCCAAGCCGAGGCGAACCGTGGCTGGGAGCTTGCTTGCCTTCCTCGGCCCTGGAAGAGGTCGGAAGGCGAAGAAGATGGTCCTATAGAAGCTGGGCCTAAACATGCCTTCCCTCAGATCACCGTCCCAAATCCTGTGCGAAAAGGAGCCAGGGCGATTTTTCCCGAGATCTACCTCTCTGTATACGCGAATCAAGACTTGGAGACCGTCCCTCCAACCTCGGACATTGCATCGTCTTTATTGAGAGAAGCTCTCGTGGATACAATCAACATCCTCGACTTCAACCGCATCGCTACTGCCAAGTTTTTGATAGATGTGGATTGTTATTTCACGCCACACACTTTTGTGAAGCGTGCTACGCCATTTGACAGGCTGCGCGATCTCCCTGGGGATCGCCCTACGTGGAAGCCTGAAGATGTTGCCGTCGACGCCGTCTTCTCCCAGCTATTCCAGCTTCCTTCCCCAGAACACAAGCTGGTTTATTATCACTCGGTACTCACTGAATGTTGCAAGATTGCGCCCGCGGCAATTGCTCCCAGTTTGGGTAGGGCTATTCGCTTCCTGTATGGGAGCCTTGACACAATTGATTTGGAGCTCATGCACCGATTCTTGGATTGGTTCGCCCATCACCTGAGCAACTTTGGATTCACGTGGAAATGGAGTGAATGGTGGGTGAAGTCAATCCGGAAATCATTGTCTGTATGCTGACGTCTGGTTTCAGGATTGAGGACCTGGAGCTCCCGCTTGTCCACCCAAGAATGGCGTTCATTACGGGCGCTATCGACAAAGAGATTCGATTGAGCTTTGCCCAACGCATCAGAGGAACTCTGCCAGACCCGTACCAGGAATTGATAACTGAAGGAAAGGAGAAGGATACTCCTGATTTCAAATATTCCTCAGATAGTGAGTCTTACCTCATACGTCATCCGCGTTCTACCTACTCGGTAGGGTTAACTAGTATCCTTATTCCTACAGCTACTCCTTACGCCAAAGAAGGCAGAGAGATCATGCAACTCATTCGCAAAAAAGCGGGCGATGAGGAGATTCAGCCACTGGTCACCGCCATCGAGGAGCAAGCCCAGGCTCTAGGAGTCGATGATCCTATGTTGCCCTCTACCGATGCCTTGGTCACGTCTATCTGCTTCGTTGGATCCAAGTCTCTTTCTCACGTCCTGTCATGCATTGAGCGGAACAAGGAAAGGCTATTGGCGATCGGGCCCAAATCAGCTCGTGCCCGTTGTCAGATCATCACCTCGGTGATGGAGTACTGGGTGGATCAACCAGGCGTCGCGATCAATATTATCGACAAGCTGTTGAACTACACGATTCTGACACCCTTATCCGTCATCGAATGGGCCCTGGTGGAGAGGTTGCAAGCAGGAACGATTCTTAGCAGAACACATATCTTTGAGATGATTTCTGCTACGGTTGGCAAGGTCACCAACCGTCTGCGGCAGATTGTGGCTGCACGCACCCAGCCGGGTCTATATGAACCTCAATTGAGTGTCTTGGACGAGACCCTGAGCCGCGAAAAGGCCGATATGCAGGCTCTTTTCAGAGTGATCGAAGACTCTATTGTGTCGGTCGCTGGCGGTAGTAACGATGGACTGATGGAGAGAGGTGATGGAAGTGGGAACCTGCCAGAGGACGAAATCATCCGTCAGTGGGGTCGCAGATGGCTCAGGGTATTCAGACGCAAGGCTGGTGTGGAAGAATCATTCATCACGGAAGCCATGGCTGATGCCACACCGGTCGGGACGGCCGCCCCTGCGCCCCAGCCTGCTGCCTCTGACACTGGGGCGGCCGCGAATGTAGCAGCAGATGGAGACATGGACATTGCTGGCGCAGATGAAGCCGTCGAGATTTCGTAGGGCAGTCGCTCGCAACCCAAACAGCCCATCAGTCTCAGTTGCTGCCGATTGGCTTGGCTGAGCCACTGCGTCTTGTTGAGTTTCCTTGAAGCTATGTATTGATAGGTCATTGTGGGATTAAGGTAAACAGAACGAAAAAAGACCATGTACTCTGTCCTCTTATTTCTTGATCCGTCTTCGGCATTTCTTTACCGCTCCTTGTTCGATATACATTCAATCATGGACGTTTTGTCTGCTATGCCTGCATTTGAGCCACCTAATAATGTCTGACACTTGTGGAATCTCCCATGGGGTCGTCGACCAAAAGGGACCGTTATGGATCTGGTTGACGCTAGTAATATTTCGCTTGAAGGGCACCTCTGGGTATTCAGTAGGTTTATTAATGTAATGTTGGTATGTGTTTCTAATAATTGATGAATTATATACAGCAAACTTGCACAGGTCCTGCCAAAAGACAAGCAGGGAAGAGAAGAAGAGAAGATTCCGGACCTCCATGCATGCAGATGATTAAAATGATACAATAAGAATGACCATGAAGGAAGACAGGGAATGATGTGTTGTACAAAGATGATTAGTGTATGGGCAGTGGCCAAGAAAGGGAAAATGTGAAAGCACATGACAGTCATAATTCACGTCAAGGTTGGGGACCAACCTGTCCAAGTGGTCAAAGGAGTTATGTCAGGCCCTCCTCTTTTCGTTTCGATGGGCTTTTTGGTAGGTTCTTTTTGTCTGTTTCCGCCTCCATGAGCAGTTGACCTATCCGCAACGGAGTTCGATTCGGATGTATTCTCCGCCAACGCAGTCTGTAATAACTGAGGACTTTTGGCGTACTCCATGGCGCGACGATATCGATCACAGATCCTTTTTAGTCTCTTCTTGAGACAGATACTTGCGGTCGTCTTCGCCTTCAACTGTTTTGAGGATTGTCTCCATTTCCTTGGTCTGTCTCTTCCACTCAGCTTCGTCCATCTTCGTCTCGCGCCGGAAGAGTTCTTCGTTGGGCTTCCGGTAGCTGCCACCGAGGCGGTCCCACAGTGTCGTGAATTGGCCATAATTGTAGTTGAAGTAGAGGTGGTGCATCGTGTGGCAAGCAGCCCCGTTGATGATCGGGCTGTTGGCAACATATTCTCCGTCGTGAATCATTACCGTCCACAGGTTAATGAAGCCGAAGAGGAAAACATAGGCCAGCTTCTGTAGGGGAAAGATGAATGGGAAAACATGGTAAGGAACACTCTGCGACCAACCATCCAAGGGGTGGAAGGCATGCGACGCGAAGGGACTGGGCATGATCCACTTGTGATGGGGCTTGTGGAGGGACTTGTAGATCAGCGGGTGGTGCAAGCCGCGGTGAATCCAGTAGATGCAGAAATCAGTGAAGGCGATAAACAGAGGGAACTGTAGAATGCTATAGTAAGGGAACGGCTCTTCGTCGAAGGAGTCGTACAACTTGGCGTATCCCCTAACCTCGGCGACCAAGAAAGGAGCGGTCAGGAGAGACATGACGGGCATGGATCGCATGGTCTGCGCAATCTCCATGGTAATTTGATTTTTGAGGAACTTTGGATGCTTGACTGTCGTCTTGTCCCAGATGAAGATGTAGGAGAGGGTTGCGGAAATAAAGTACACGATAATGCCGAAGATCCTATTTTGAAAGAAAATCGAGGCATTAGTTAACCATCTCTTGGACAGGATGCGGTCAAAGATGATCTTGCATACCAAACGATCAGAAAGAAACTCAGGAACTGGCGGTAGATGTTGTTTCTGGGCCATGCGCTCAGGTAGGCGTACTTGGACGGCTCCAGATGAAACAGTTGAGTGGCGGGTTCGTACACAAACGGCTTGGAGGCACCAAACAAGGACAAAGAGCTATTGGCAGCATTGGTCAAGCCTGGTAACGAGACCGTCGAGGAAAGCGATACAGGTAGTAGGGCCGAGTATACACGGTCCCCGATGAAGGTATCCCAGATCTCAAGAACGATATCCATGGTGCCGGGAAATGAGAACTATTTTTTTTGCGCCAGAGAAGAAATTTGGCAGGGGTTGAGCGCAGCCCAGTCAGTCGGTAGAGGGTCAATCTCGATAGAATGACAACAGTATGAATTTAGAGACAAGAAGAAAGATAAATCATCGGTGGAGGGAGGAGAGGATAGCAAAAGGGTATAAGAGGAGGTGGTGGAGGAGGTTTAATAAAAATAATAATGATGTTTTGGGAGACTTCTAATCAGGAGAACCACGGAAAATCGACCCTGCAGTAGCGTAGTTATCACACCAGGGCGGAACAGGCACAGCCGATCCATCAGTGGATTCGGCTCGTGGAGCAAGTAGTATCTGGAGATACTCCGTAGTATCTACTCCGAGGTCTAGGTTGCCTCGAAGATTTCAATAATAATGACTTGCAGATGAAGACAACGACAACGATCACTCAATAAAAATCCTCTGTAGGTATTCCACAGGAAGCCGTCTGGAAGTTCATGTGGGGATCTACGTGCCTACTCCTTCGTCCGCACTGATGTTGTTTAGGTAAGGCGCATTGAGCTGTATCGAACCTCATTTTTTTGAATACAGTGACAAGGTATAGGCGTATAGGTGCCATCAATATCAAAAATCCGTACACTGTAACCAAGACTGTGCCCAAGTAACCTCAGAATAATTGTTGATGAAGGAGCTGAGGTAAAGTACGAAGTTATCGAAGGATAAGATCGATGCAGAATCTTGATCTATCAGCCAGATAGTTGCCACAGCTTAAATCTTGAGAGCATAATACTCGATGATCAATAAACATGACTAAGATATGAACACTATGCATGAAGAATAGTCTTGCCTTGAGTCTGTGTCATTGACTGCTCTACCGTGGTTAGTTGTCTGCAAACGGCCCTCATATCTCACGATTCTTTTACCGCTCAGTCGAGCCCCACCAGTACTAATCCACAAATAGTAAGTCAGGTACGAACTTTACCTACAAAGGTTAGTTACAATACTATACTGTTTTAGGTAACGATCCAAAACCAGCCAATGCGCGCGATTTCGCTTCTGGAGGCTTGGCGGCAAACGTTAGCCGCCTGCCCCGGCTGACTTTTTTCCTTCTTTACCTTATGCTACCTACCTTATATAACATATGTGTCCGGGTGTCAGTGCACGCTTACTAAGGTACTAACTACTGTCCCACTGGCTGCTGAGTCTTGGAAGCCCCAAAGTCCCAGCTCGACACCTATCCGCCTACCTTACCGATCTTACCTCCTGCTACTCAACTCTGTTAGCCTCCTCATCCTCCTACTCATTCCGTTGCTCTTCTTCACACACACTTACACCCCGGCCACAGATTATCCTCACCCTTCCCACCCGCTTTTTCCTTCTCCTGCATCATTGCAGCGGCTTGTCCCTGTCGCGCTGTGATGCGACAGGTTTGACTTGCGTTTCCATCTGCAGTGCCTTGAGAGGTGTCATCCAATTTCAACCCGAACCGCCCCTCTTCCTTCAATCGTCAGCATCGCTCGGTCGCGGCACGTTGCTGTTACAGTCATCCTTGCAACTGGACTATATCGCACTCCGATCTCGATTTTCTCGAAGCGATTGATTTCAAATTTTGACGCGCAAAATGTATAACACACATCGTGGGATGGTTCCCGCTCCCAACTCCCGTCTTACAGAGTTGCTGGACCAGCTGCGCCAGGAGTTTGAGAACCAGTCGAGAAGCACCGGAGAGTTCGAGCACCAATGTATGTTCTTTACGTCTTTTTCATATCTCTTAGGTTATGTTCGACGCTCCCACTTCCATGTGTGACCATATCGCCATTTGTCCATCTGTTCTCTCAAGACATCGGGGGAGGGGAAGCAGACCGTGGTCGTTCAATCTTCGCCCGATTCACATGTCATGTGGACTACGGTGCCGCACAAGTCTTGTCATCACTTGCAAAGTTATCCTCGAACCGCGCTAACTATCTACTCCAGTAACCGGTCAGCTCCAGGAGATGGAGATGATCCGACAGAAGGTCTATCAGCTGGAGCAGGCACAGATCAAGATGAAGCAAGAGTTCGTACCTCCAATCCCCAACCTTGAGGGAAAATGGAAGAAGGAAATACATAGTTGGCTTGGCTGCTAACATAATCTCGCTTTCCAATAAAATAGTTACGAAGCAGAAATCCGAGTCCTGCGCCACGAGCTCGAGTCGCGCGGCGTGCAGCCCGTCTCATCCCATATTGCTGGCCCTGCGCAGCATGCTGGCCCGTCTCAGGCGCCTCCCCCGGCCCTGGGCCATGGCCCCAGCAATTTGTTCGGTGGAATCATGACCAACCAAGGAGGTAGTGGTCCCGGTCTTGCCCCTCCCCCTCCCCAGGATCAGCAGCCTCCCCAGCATACCCTTCAACAGCCTGCTCCCGCGGCTCAGCAATCAGCGCCCCAACCGCCGCAGAGCTCCTTTGGAGGATATCAGCCTGGTGCTGCTGTGAACGGTATGTTCTGACTGTATTTACTTTTGGTTCTCTGGCGTCTGACCCTGCGATGATTTTCGTTTTCTATTCAGGCTACGGACCCGCACCGCCTCCGACCGCTTCTCCTGGCCCCGGAAAGAGGCCTCGCGCCCCGCCTGGGCCTGCAACTCCTCAACAAACTCACCAGCTAGCGTATCCCGACCCGCGTGTGTCCCCTCAAATTGCCCGTCCCACTCCTCCTAGCCAGGCGCTCGTGACGTCTCGCGGCGAACGTCCCGGGAACATGCTGGCTAACTGGAACCCCGATGACTTGCCCGCTTCGCAGAAGCGCGAGGGGGCCGATTGGTATGCGATCTTCAACCCTGAAGTTCAGCGAGTGCTTGATGTGGACCTCGTCCATCACCTGGTCCATGACAGCGTTGTCTGCTGTGTCCGTTTCAGTCGCGATGGCAAATACCTCGCCACGGGCTGCAACCGCTCCGCTCAGATCTTCGACGTGACCACTGGCCAGATCGTCGCTACCCTACAAGACGAGAGCGTAGACAAGGATGGGGATCTTTATATTCGCAGCGTCTGCTTCAGTCCTGACGGCAAGTACCTTGCCACCGGAGCCGAAGACAAGCAAATCAGGGTATGTTGAGTTGTTCCCTATTGGAAGACCGGGTGGCTAATACAAATGCATCTAGGTGTGGGACATTGCGGCGCGTACCATTAAGCATATCTTCACCGGACACGAGCAAGATATTTACTCGCTCGACTTCGCCGGCAATGGTCGATACATTGCTTCAGGCAGCGGAGACAAGACCGTGCGTCTCTGGGATATCCTCGATGGTAAACTCGTCTACACTCTCAGCATCGAGGACGGCGTCACCACTGTGGCCATGTCTCCGGACGGCCACTACGTTGCGGCCGGCTCCTTGGATAAGAGTGTCCGTGTTTGGGACACCACCACTGGATATCTTGTGGAGCGTTTGGAGAGTCCTGACGGGCATAAGGATAGCGTTTACTCAGTCGCCTTTGCTCCCAATGGTCGGGATCTGGTCAGCGGCAGTCTTGACAAGACGATCAAGCTCTGGGAGCTAAGCGTCCCCCGGGCCGGCTACACAAATGCCGTGAAGGGTGGTAAATGTGTGCGCACATTTGAGGGCCACAAGGTATATCCAATATGACGCTGCTTGCCTTCGCAAGAAGTTTGCTCGATCGATGCTAATTTTACTGGGTAGGACTTTGTTCTGAGCGTGTGTCTCACTCCCGATGGACACTGGGTCATGAGCGGTTCCAAGGACCGGGGTGTTCAATTCTGGGACCCCATCACTGGAAATGCACAGATGATGCTCCAAGGACACAAGAATTCCGGTCAGCACCTCTTCCATTATTTGTCTTGCCTTTCTCTCTTGTCGATCTCGTGGATTTTTCAGGGTCTAACTGTCTTTTACAGTCATCTCGGTTGCCCCCAGCCCTACAGGCAATTTGTTCGCCACTGGCAGTGGCGACATGCGGGCAAGAATCTGGAGGTATTTTTTCACGTTCAATTCTTATCGCTGATATTGAAACTAACGCGGTGGTGTCTCTGGCAGATACTCCACTTATACCGGACGGTAATGGGCTTGATGATGGGAAGCTTCGGCGCAAATGTGACTTCTTTTGTTTGTTTAATCCACAATGTCGTAGCCTCTTTGAACATGGCCTGGGTTTGTTTATGCGTTCGACCTTTGGAAGGGTCTGTCCCCGTCACATCGCAACTTCAGATTTTCGTTTCCTCGGTGACGTTACTTGTTGAATTCCATGTTTTAAAAAATGACAAAACTCTGCATGTACGGATAGCAGCTAAACTGATATTTTGACTGACACGAGAATCTTCTACTTCGGCTTGCCATGGATGTGCTCCTTCGCGGATCTGTTAACTGAGGTGCTGGTTGTCCTGGACTGGTCGCAACAGCGCCGAGCATTATTCGCGATGAGCGTATACGTATGCCCTGAAGCTGACGTACGTGCCAGATACCCGGAAGTCAGTGGCTTCACGGTGATTTGATCTATGGAGCCGTTTGCCTCCTGGACAGGGTTCTAGGGTTAATGGGAAGATTACATCGTTTTGTCCAGTCATAGACAATGTCTGTTACGGATATCCTTGCTTGGTACATGGTCAAGGGCCCCTTAGATGGAATATGATGCTTGAGGCACCAGAAACAGACCGAGACCTCGATATCAGCTCGGACCAGCCACATGATCCCAGGCTGGACGATGGATCTCACATATCGCCTGCTGCGGGATAGGGTGTCTGACTCACGGATGAGAAGAAACATATATCAACATGGTCGATGACAGCGGTATCCCAGGATCTGTCAATGCCGGTAGGAACATGATACAGACCAGGTGCCGTTTTCTGCCTTAGGAACAGAAACTAC